CCTATGTAGTGAGTTTGTCGTTCGCTCTACAACCTTGAAACCACATGAAGCAGAATGTCGTGATAATTGAACTTTTCAAGACGAGCTGTTCGATGTCTTTTTCTAGTATCTTAGCATATATTGTTTTACAAATTAATCAGAATATATATATACATGTGTATATATATATATATATATATATATATATAATATATATGTATATATATATGTATATAACATATATAGACATGTATAAATTTTTTCAACTTATTTTCAGTTTTAGTTAATATTTGTAAATGTTTTATATAAATGGAAAGCATTAGACTAGTATTATTGTGATGGTTATAAAGTGATGTTAATATACTTGTGAGAAATAAAATTTGATCATGAGAAAGAGGAAAAAAGAGAAATATAAAATTTTATGATTTGTTGAATAGTTACTTAGTTAACTGTAAAGAAAACTACTGTGTTAAATTATTTTTTTTTTTTCATATGATTTAAACATAATAAAATCTGCTTTTAGTAAGAAAAAATGATGCAAGATGAGGATTTAAACTCTCGAGGAAGACGGAATGTTGTCTGGGAAGCAATAGGGAAAATAAAACAGGTTGATCAATAATTTATTTAATATCTAATAGTTTATAGTTCATATAGTTCATATTTTGCTGTATTTTACAAAATAGTGTCAGATTAAAGTGTTATAAAAACAAAGAGAAAATATCTTTTATATATATATATATATATATATGTACACTAATAAATACAGATAAAAATTCGTAATAAATTATATATTCCTTAGTTTATCTACTGCTTTTACTTGAAAAAACTTAATGTTCTTCAGTCAGTTGTAATTTAACTTTGCACTTTGTTTATATGTCTGCTACTGTATATAATTTTTTGTTTTCTATGTTATATACTGTGAGATAAATACACTTTACTTTCCAGATATACCAGAGATATCTAGATTTATGGACTCCTCATGTAATATCAAGATGGATATTTACTATATTTCTAGTAATTCTTTTTATTCTACGTATAGTTATCTCTCAAGTACGTCACTATTTATCTTTCAAGTTTAATTCTTTATAATTGACGACAGCCAATATTAGAAACATTTTTTTTATTTTTACAGGGATGGTATATTGTTACATATGCATTAGGAATTTATCACCTCAATTTATTTATAGCATTTCTTACTCCTAAAATTGATCCTGCTATGGATTTCGATGGTGAGTATCTTTTTTTTTTAAACTGTGTTTTGCAAATTTATACATATATAAAAACTTCTGTAAATAAATTTAATGCAATTATATGAATAGGATAGATTGCAAATTTCTATTTATAAGAAATGGTTACATCAAGTGTTGATGAAAAGTGTTGATTGATTAAAATATTCAAATTGACAAGATTTTATTTAAAATCTATTAATCGATTTAGACAACACCAAATATTTGTAAATTACAGATGGAGAAGGTCCCGAATTACCAACAAGGTCGAATGAAGAATTCAGGCCATTTATTAGAAGATTGCCTGAATTTAAATTTTGGTACTCAGTAACCAAATCCACAATTGTTGCCATGATATGCACCCTATTTGATTGCTTTAATATACCAGTATTCTGGCCGATACTTGTTATGTATTTCATAACACTGTTTCTTATTACAATGAAACGACAATTAAAGGTAAAATATTGAAGATATAATTTCTTTTCAAAGATTATTAATAATAGCGATTAATATATATATATTAGAACTATGTAATAGTCGCGCACACATAAAGTTTAATTGATGAAATACAAGAACAACTAATTTGTTTTAATTAAAACTTATACGTTGATTAATTATATGTTTTTCTGTTTGCAGCATATGATTAAATATAAATATCTGCCATTCACTTATGGCAAACCAAAATATCAGAATCATGAGGACACCTCGCGGTTAACATCGCCAAAATGAATAGAAACAAAGAACATATTGTGCCTGTGTAGGCGTGCAACTGTGTAGATTTTAATTTTTTTCAATAGCGCGAGAAATATTTAGCAAAGAAAGAAACAAGCGAGAAAATTCTTTATAACATTAACAGGAAGAATACAGTAATCGTGTAAGGAAAGGACAAATTTCGCGCAAGGACATACCAAGTAACTATAAATTATATAAGCTGAAATATAAATTGAATTATCTCTTAATATATTTGTATCATACATCTTGTACAAAGTATTGTTAGCCTTTATCTCATAAAAAAAAGATAAAGATAACGTGGTCACAATATCAATGTAGTTCTATGACTGACCGTAAGAAGTTCGTGGATATACAAGGATATCTCTTAATATGATAAAATTTATTTTATTGAGAGAGAGAGGGGGAGAGAGAGAGAGAGAGAGAGAGAGAGAGAGAGAGAGAGAGNGAGAGTGAGAGAGTGAAAGAGTGAAAGAATGAGAGAAAAAATTGTTTTCGAATGTGTACATTCCCATTCATTTTTTTATTTCTAAAATAAGCAGCTATTGAGTTTGATTTAGGTACATCTACTCTTATTTTTGTCAAAAATGATAGAAAAGAAGCTTCTATTCATTTATTGCGTGGATTACTATATTATTTTAATCAACTTTATATATAACGCTTATTTTTTTATAATTTCAGTAAAAAATCAGATAGATCAATAATATTTTAGATGAAAATGTGCTAAGTGAGAAATTAAAAAAAAAATACATTTTTGTATATGCTAATTTACTTTAATATGAAATACACTACTCTTGTTCTTAGCATTCTAAGTTTTTATACAAACACAGGGATTGGATAATAACTGTGCTGTATACACAAAAAAAAATATGATACTTTTCTGTAACATTTATATACTTCAGATGCTTTAATACGAGAACGATTCTCAGAAAATTAAGATTCATACGAAGAGAATTTGGTACAAGAACTTTTATAAGGAAGTATAAATCAGTCGAATTTATTTCATTGTGTACGTAGTAGAGAATTAGTTAATAGTAAAATATCTGTTTATACAGATAAGAATTAAGCTTGCAATATGCGCGATGCCTTGTTTTCGATGGTTAGGTTGCCATCCCATACGAAGAAAGACATCGTGTGTCGCAGGCATTATTCACTATTTTAATCGCTTACGTACATTATACATATATTACATAATGTAAGATATAAACCTGAGAATCAACAGGTTATTGAAGATCGTATTTTATATATATACATATATATATAAAATATATATATATATATATATGTGTGTATGTGTGTGTGTGTGTATATATATATATACATATATACATAATATACACACATACCTATATATACATATATGTTACGTATTTAATATATTAAATATTATATTATGTCCAAAGATACGTGAAGTGTGTATAGTTATATATACATATGTTTTATTTCTACACGCGCACACTTTTTTATGACAAAAAATTTGTATTCTCGGCGAAACTTTACAAAAATGGATGCTTGTTTTGTGTATCTTGTGTATCTTTATCGGGTAAAAAAAATCTATGATATATGCAAACAGAACTTTTTAAGAGAGACAAAGGAAAATACAAAGAAAAAAAAAGAATAAAGAAAAACAGATACCATTTTTTGCATGTTTTATATTAGAGCTCGAAAAGGAAATTAGATAGCGAGACACACGGGTACTGTGACGATCTGACTTTTCTGACAAGGAGTTTAATCGCCAAGTCCACAGTTCTTACGAGCAAAGAAGCTGTTCTACGGATATTTAAAGAACCATATAATTTGAAATAATATTAACACGTTCGGGGGGCTACCGCGGTCTGTTTAGAGAAACCGATCCTACAGTCTAAACGTTTCTTCCAACACTATACTCTACTTACGTGACGCTGGGCTCTCGGAACAAATCGGCGTGTCATATATGTAACGCGTGATAGCAAACGTGTTAATATAACAATTATATAATTATAATTAGCAATAATATAATAATTATATAATTATAAATATGTGATATCTGTTATTGACAAGATAATTTATTAACTATTTGTATGAATGTGCAAATATTAGACGTATACATGAAATATGCACTTGCAAAACATAATTATAAGAATATTTTAGTTAGTAAGCAATGCGGTTCTATGATTTTCAAGATATTCGTAGAACCAAATAATCTTAACGGCCGATTTGCTCGTGGAGTCGATTGTAGTCTGTGTAAAGGCTAATGTAAGGAGAAGAAATTGCAAAGTGGATCACAAATTCAGATCTAGGCAACCAAAATTCGAAAAAATAAATATATTTTGTAGTATAAATAGGCAAATTAGATTTTAGAACGATCAAATATTATCATGTTTTACCGTTCTTTTTAAATAATATTACAATATAACAATTACATTCGTAATATACATAATAGCAAATATTTGCAAATATGCAGAAAAAAAATTTAATTCTTTTATAAGTTATATGCTGTTACATGAAAACTTTCATACGTGATATAAACGAGCGCTTTTGGAAATATGACTTTTTTTATGTGTCTAGACGCTTGTTCTATTATTAAAGAAAGTTTTTTCAGGTTCGTACGATCAAACTTCAGAAGAAATTTATGAATTAATTTCAGAGTAAAGAATAACTAGATAAAATTCTCTTGTGTAAATGTTATTTACTGTTAGATTTAAAATGTAAAACATTAATTACTTAGGAAACAACCATCCAGAAAGATATTATTCATCTTGAAGTTTATACGAAGCAGCTGCTTTTGGAGTAAATTATATTTAGTTCAGAATCATCAGAATTTATAGAAAAATTTAAATATTTTTTATTTTGTTAAATATATATATGTTGTAACACAGTGATATATTTGCAGATATGTAATATTACACATCACACAATTCAATATTGCATAAGAATGTATTGATAAAAATTAAAACTAACAATAAACTTTTATTATAATTTGTCGATTTAACGTAATTTCAAGTAAAATTAAAAAACATTAATAAAGAAATGTAAAGTTAGATTTCAACAAAATGTATATACAGATGTCAAAGTAAACTTTTTTTCAATATTTGAAGTTTGACCGTTCAGATCTGATTTTTGCTCACTGAAGGTCGAACTGTCAAGTATCCGGTTTTTCTAAGCTTTAATTTTATATTTGTTTTTTTAGCGTGACTATAATTGTTTCTCTGTTTTACAGGTTTTAATATAAATTTTAATAAGAAATATACGACAATTTATAGAGAGATATTATGCTTCTTACAAAGGAATTTTACTTAATTTAAAAAATTTTATTTTAATTGTTTTCTTAAAATGTGCCATGTGTATCGATCTTTTTCGTAGCATTTATGTTTGATTAACTGTAGAATATCAAAAAGAGAAGATTCCGAATAAGTATATACGGTAGGTATACGATACTATTTACAGATAGTGACGTCTTTGTGGTTTTTTGTTTAAATATTTTGCTCATCACATCTTCAAGAAGTTAAACGTATAGAATTATGTAAAGAGGTTTTATTTACGACGTTTATACAATGTGTTGCAATAACAATTTTAAAATCTTTTTGTACAACATAAATATATATATACATACATACGTACGGACATTTATATTGCTTAAGTTAAAAAAGTAAGAACATACAACAAATTTTTACAGCTGTTATTTAACTATAAGTTGTTTTGAAACAACATATATTGTGTGTGTGTGTATATATATATATATATATATAAAACTCACACGGTATACATCGTAAAATGATATATGTATGTATGTACATACTGATCTCCTCAGAAATTGTAGGTACGTATACACTTCGACACACAAGGATAAACATTTTGTTAATATAATTGTTATAAGTCAGTTTTATATATACATAATAAATATACATTTGTTTCTTTCCCTTGTATTTGTAGAAGTCGTTATATTATTTACATACATTTGATTCTTTGCACCGTTTCATGTATTCGTTTTACCGATGTATTTAAAGTTAAATTACGATAAATCGCTATAGCTTTCTCTCTCTCTCTCTCGTAAATATGATCAATATTTAACGTAATGTATATTAAATTTTATACTAGTTTTGATCATTTGTCGTAAAATATACCACGTTCTCATTGACTGTATTTATGGAATATTTTGCTTGAAATCCATTTAAAAAAATACTACTGTTGTAAATATTACGAAATGTTATTTGTACATAAAAATCTTATACTTGGATGAAAATATGAGTGCTGTATATATTTGTCATGTAATGCATAACAAAAATTATTTTAATGATATTTAAACGATAAAAAAAAAACTATTATACTGCAATATAATTTAAAATGCAGATATTTTACAAGCTAAAAACAATTCCTGTCAATCTTATTAATCTATTTTATTATTCTATGTTTGTTTGAAATGATATAATTGAGATTCTCTCCGAAGTAAATGTTTCAAAGATGTCACGGAAAAGAATTATATATAGGAATTATAGTAGGATAATTTGTTTTTTCATAAATGACGCAACTGGGGACATGTCATTTATGAAGAACGTCGCTTATCAGCGACGCAAGTTGAAATCGTCCAATTTTGGCATTTCTCTCGCGAGTTTTCTGAAGTCTCATTCATTGTGGTTCTCTGAAATAATCTTCTTAGATTTATCAAGAAACGTCGTGGTGGAATTCGGGCCTATCACTGTTGTAGTTGTGGTTTCACTTACCGTAGACTCTCGCTTTCCATATGGATTCGACGGTTGGCAGTACAACCTGTAAATCGATGATAAGAAAAAAAAACAAAAAACGAGTTAAAGCTAAATAATTTCCATCACTCAGGATAAACGTGAAACGAGAACCTTATGCTCTCGGTTCTGGAACGGGGAGACCAATTGTTATAATATCTCTGACGGGTACCAAGATTTCGCTCGGTGTTCCATTGTGCAAAGTGATGCTTGACTGCGTTTTGTACTTCGGTATTGAGAAAACAGTAAAACAACGCCACAAGAAATCCCTGAAGGAAATAGAATGAATTTGACAGCGATGATTTTTTATATTTTTAACGAATACATAAAATTTTCGAGAATGTCTAACTACAATTTTCCCGATTTATCTTTTAGTTTGAAAAAAACTTTCATCGGTTTGGTTTTTTTATACATCTTTGCAAATACACGTACCTGCATAGAAAGAAGAATCGCACGCGTATAGGAAAACGCATTGGCGACCTGGCCTTCCGTAGGTCCCGCTATGACTAAAATGTACGTCACTCCCAGAAGCGGTATCAACACCAAGAGAGCTTTGCTGGCTTTTCGATATTGCTGCGTTTCCATGTTATTGGCAGACCAAAGCTTTGTTATCAGCACCTGCAATAAACGCACAATACAGTGTATATTAGCATGTTTTTATATTATTAAAAACAGCACATGTAAGAATGAGTTTTTATGTTAAAAAGTAAGCATATATTCCAAAACTAATTTCAGCGTGCGATATACATACAATACATATATATGATACACTCACTCACCCACATAATCATGAAAAGGAACATCATGTTTATTGCAAGAACTGTTATAGCGGGTACTTGATAAAACCAGTCGTAAGGATGTGGTATCATCCAAGGACAATGCTTCCAGAGCGCTTCTTCCTGCCGGCAAATATTATTTTTTCAATGAATGCACTCTGAACACTGTGTGTGTGTGTGTGTGTGTGTAAACTATTGATAAATGTTTATAAAGCTGAGATCAAATCTGAGCGTAAAAACTTTACTAACAAACCGATATATGTTTTTGTATATAAATAAAAAAAAGTAAAAGATTTTAGTAAGTTTTTAAAAAATGGGGCTTTAATTTTAGAAGAGTAATGGTTTTCTATCTGAATAACAAACGTCAATTGTAAACCGATATTAGATTAAATCACTCGGTATAGTCGACTTTTTAACCGAAAAACACGCGATTGATTGAATAGTCCGCATATTTACTGTACTCTCTATAAATTTGAAAACATTTTATGGTTTACAGGCAAATAATCGCGATTAACAGCGATTTGTGCACGTTTTTGGTTTGAATACATTGTAAGACGTCCAAATGATGATAAACATTTTTATTTAGGACACTTATAGGTTTGTATATGCCGGAAATATTTCAATCATTTTGTGGCATCGTGTTTGCGTTGTAAATACACTTCAAAGAAACAGTACATTTTCCTAGAAGTAGAAATAAAATTAATACAATTGCTATGCATTAAAAAAAAAAAAATATAGAAAAAAGACTGTACTAAAATTCAGCGATATAATAACAACAATTTTACTCTTTAAGATTTTCTGTGCGAGCCGAAAACTCCGGACAAAAACTCAGAAAAAAGTAGCAACTTGGATTAAAAAAAATCCTTTCCCAATTAAAAAACAAAATAAAAAATAAAAAATAAAAAAAACAAAACAAAACACGTACGCAAAAGACTGTTATTTGATTGTAAGTTGTGCATGTTGAGTATAGATATCCGAGTTTCACGTTTCTATGCTCGGGAATCTCGGAGTCTCGAAGTTTTCCAATAACTTGAAATCAAACATGGAGGTATCATGTTCTTCATTAGAAGATGGGCTTTGTGTAATAAACGCCTTGTTACGAGCGGGCGAAGAAAAAGTAAACGCGTTAAATGTACGTGCTTAACGATGTGTAACGGACGTAAACTACCCGACGTGAAATATACCGACTAAGTCTCCCACGTGGGCGTTGTACCTCCTCCCAACGTGTGTCATCCTTGTCACGTTGTTGGACGTACCGTTAATAGACGAGCATGGATGAAATTTCGATCGGTACTTTTGGTACCGTATTTGCTATCAACCCCCTACCCGTCACTAACCGGGAAATGAAAGATTCCTCGTGCCACGAGAACGGAAATTCGCTGTCGGATTCGCGTCCGCGAGACGCTCGCGTTTTTATTCACACCTACCTTGTTAGCTTGTTTCATGACATTCTGATCCAGCGACTTGGCAATTCCCCACGTAGCTATCACCAATATTGGAATACCTGAATGTTATATTTTTAAATTAATTATGTATCGATTATTGATATTTTTTGCAATTAAATGCAGATAGAACTAAACTCGCTGATCGTGTTTGTCCGTGGTTTTCTAATCAAGTACCGAAGCAAATTTGACACGTGTCGACTGTTAAAGTGCTATTTCCGTACGTTCAAACAACGAGGGTGGTTTTGGCTAAATTCGCCTTTTGTCGTTTATTTTTGTTTACTTGTGTGTTACAGAGGTGTTAAAAGCCTAAAAGGAAAAGTTCTAAAAGCTTTTGCATTCGCGTTGAAAATCAGTCTGAGATTCTCAAACGAAGAAAGAATTGATAAATTGCATTTGAACAATTCGGCCACTCTCGACCAATTCGATCAATCAATTTCCTCTCGGGAATCTCAGATTGGTCTTCCGGATCGGTCGCAAACACAAGGCTTAATGAACAATTTCCTATATAATTTCGGAAAAAGATTTATTTCTGCTTTTTCATCTAATAAAATTTATTAATTAATTTTTTAGTCTAATAAAACAGACTACTTAATCGTACCTACTTACCCCAACCGATGATTAGACAGAATCTCAGCTTGATATTGTCGCCAGTAAATGTTTTCACGACCAACAGATATAGATATAAACCTATAAAAGCGAAGCGCGCTTTAGTTCGAACAATATAGTTTTAATAGGTGGTTTTTAGTTGCGCTCTTTTGTGCAGCGCGGTAATTTCACTTTGTGAAATTGCTTCGAAGCAATACACACTGCGTTACCGTCTAGTAGATAGAAAACGCGATCGTCACGGAAAATCATTATTCACCTTCTACGAACATCCAGAAAAAGTTCGTCAAATGGAAATAATGAAGGAGCGAGAAGAGCGTTACGCAGGTTGGTATATCCGTTTTCATTGATATCTAGAAGTTTAATATTTAATATTTAGGTAATATTTAGGTAATATTTGATGCAATTAAAGAATTTTAGATATTGTATAAATTTGCAATTATTTGTATTATTCAATCTCGTATATAAAGAGTCATTTATAATAAATGCATTATTATAAAACAAAAAAGATTTTATACAACGGAAATAAAGAAAAAAAAAAAAAAAAAAAACTACACAATGTGAGAATCACCTGCATAACAGTAGTAAGTATCCATGTCAAGTCAGCCAGAATGTACGTGAACATGAGATTCGTGTGTATGTGATTTCTGAGACATCGTAGTTCTCTATAAACACATGAAATATTTGAACTCTACATATATATACATGTGTAATAAAATGTTCTATCAATCGATAAATAGCGTGCTGAAATATTTATGTACTTGTAATAGATAAATATGCAGACGGCCACTATCAGAGTAAATAAGGAGAGGCTGTAACCGATAAAATACAGCGTTGTCGTGATTTCCACTCCAGGCTCGACGACCGGCATTTGTAGGTCTCGACACAGAGAATAGTTAGAATAATTGTCCCATGTCCCATTGCCCTTGCACCACCGACTGGCGTTTTCTGGACATAAATGTGATCTTCTATTATAGTTCAGTATGTTGCGATCGCTCATGTTTACCTCGCGCGCGCAAAGCGTGCTTTCTCACAAAGAAATAAGATATTACAGATGCGTGCGAATAATTTAAAATTAAAATCGAGCAATTTTGCGACTGAATATCGGGAACTAATATTTTCCGCTCGTTGCACAACAATGTGTTTGCATGATGTTTTTTTTTGACATTTCTCTCTCTCTCTCTCTCTCTCTCTCTCTCTCTCTTTCTCTCGCGTGTGCGCTAAATATAAAACATATGTTATATAAGTCTAGATAATTAAAGAAGGTAATTGCCAATAATTTTTCACAATGCCACGATGCGAATATTACCTGCGTTACATTATTTACAATCACAAATGATGAATGAGTCGATACGTGACAAAAGAAATCGTTCTCGTAACAACCAAATGAGATCCAGGAAGCACGGTATTGCATATCTATTAATAGTTTTCTCAATCTAGACCAGTATGACGATAAAATCTTCGGGAGCGATAAAAGAATGAATGACTAAATAAAATTGACAAGAGATACGATATCTTTGTATCATTTTTTTTTTATTAATGTGCTTCGCAAAATTTCTTTCCAATTTTTTAAATAAATTTAAATAATTTACCATAATAATATATTTTTAAAATAAATTTAAATAATTTACCATAATAATATATTTACTTATTTCTTGTTATCTATCTTGTTATCTATCTACTATTATTCGTCTAATTTAATTTTTATTTATGTGTTACGGAAAAAATAGACAAACATTAATATTTTTTCTCATTTAAATTATCTCTTTATCTAATCATCAGCATTTATATGCTAATAATCTAATGTTTATGTATGTATAAATATATATATATATATTTATATTTATATATCTTTATATGTATATATACATATACACAAACTGTTATTGTAGAGAAGATGCTTACTAGGTGTCGACACAATTCAATAATCAATAATAGGTCGGAAATAATCGGAACGGTTGCTATATGTACTGAAGCGGGAGACACTCGAAAAAAGACAGGTTGTTTGGTAAATCAATGACGTAACGAAGTAGATTAAGGCAGAAATTACTTCACGCTAAAATAAACAAAAAATATCAAGCTCGGTGTATTTTTTCCGAGAAAATTAATTTTTATTTTCATGGAAATAACGTCTCTCAAGCGCATCTCAGATTTAGCGGTCAACAAAAGAAAACGAAAAATAAAAATCACGTTTCTTTCAGGCTGCGTTTCTGTAGTAATGCAACACTTAGGTTGAAAGCATGTTGAAAGTTGAGTAAAACCGTCGCTCCAACTTTTAATCCGGTCTATCTCTCTTATTGTCTCCTTCCAAGCGCGTCCAAATACATTCATTAAAATATCTAATTGTCACGAGAAACAAGAACAAAAAACGTATTCTCGCGATAACAAACTGTAATCTAGAACGCGTACCAAAAAAACTACCACCAAAAACAATGTGTTGTTCTCTTTGTTTCCAGAGAATAAAGAGATAAGAGAAATAAAGAAAACTCACACAATGTTCGCAAATTTAATGAACGAATTTGCACGATTTTAGTGATTCAATCGCGCGCAATATTTCATTTTTCTTTTTAATTCGATTTTGTGTTCGCAGAACGCGCTAAAAACTGACTATTTAATCGCATTATTGTAGTACTTATATTTTGATATATTTTAGCGTCAATGTTAACATTATTATCAGAGCGTTATTCATACGACAAGTTTCCCGGCCTCCATATCGATACTTCGCTAACTATCGATAATTACAGCCGATAATAATGCATCGATTTTCTCCGTGCCGCGCAAATTTGCGGCTCGCGTGTGTGTTGCGTTCCCTTAGATCAAATAAGAGTAACATTATTACATTACTTTAATAATACTCTCTCTCTCTCTCTCTCTCTCTCTTTCTCTCTCCCTCTCTCTCTTTCTCTCTCCCTATCTCTAACAGAAATCGAACAATTTTGCATCAATAAACAACAAATGTTCACGACAACGTTTTAGCCACAAACGAGCAATAACAAATAATTGGAATGCGTCGTGAATTGAAATTTCTATCAATAGATTAGCATAAAAACACATATAATAAAATAGATAAAATGTTTAAAGTATCGTTTATATATTAATGTAAAGTTAAAAATATCGAATAATAAAACGTATTACTTTTTTATTTAATTTTAGAAATAAATATAAGAATTCGCTTCTCATATTTATCTTATATTTTCACAAAATATAATATTACATATATGTAGGTAACTAAAGCACATCTTACAAACACGTACTTTTTATATCATCCCCTTATTTCGTATTCCTTTTAATGTTATCGCAAGGGAATAAAATGCTGTAGCATTGGCAGAGGTGCATTCTCGGGGATGAATTGTACCTTTGAGAATTTTATAGTCGTCGAAGCAAAAAAACTTTTTCTTTTCTTGGAAGAGTTTGTTGCAGTTTGATTAGAAAATGTGCACGTTCACACGAAACGCGCTGTTGCTCCCTCGGTTTAGCACAAAACGTAATCACGTAGCAAGATAATTTCATTCTATCAACGAAAATTGAATAAAATTAATTAAACTGCCGGTGGCAATATCGTTACACTGGTCCTTTTCGTTGTGTTGAAAATATTTAATTTTACGTTGCATCTACGTATTCACCTTTATCATGACAAAATATCAAAATGTTTCGTAAAAGTCAAACACAAAGAAAGTTTTTTTTATCACATAACGCTTTTATTTTGCGCTAATTTTGCGCTCGACAGCGAGAAAATAATTTATATCTGTAAATCATATGTTTATAATACAACGTATGATGTATTTTTCGGTAACGTTAAAAGACCTGCGAGTCTTTTGCGCTTTAATTATTTTATAAACAGGTTGCAATATGGGAACATCAAAAGATGCGATTTTGTTACGTTATTTGCGAGTGAAATACAAAGTAGCATTTGTGTTATTGGCGGAAATAGTATTTTACAGCAATAATAGTGAAACCAATAAACTTGATGACACATCGACAATTGGACGAGTTACTACTCTTGAATGTATAAGATAATTCACGCTGTTCAACACACAGCATTAAATTTCCAAACCATGTACATGACATGCTATTAAATTTCATGCAATCAGATAAACTTTTATCTTCTTTCTTTTCAATTGAACAACCTCCTTCAGTGTTTTCTTTTCATGGATATTTGTTCATATTGTAATAAAGTATTTTCTCTTTTTTGCATTAATTTAACAAGATTATCTAAACTTTGCAAGTTACATCTCATGTATACTCAGTCTTATCAGCAAACAACACACGTTCTCGCTGACTTCTCGTACTTCGAAATTGCATACAACGCCATTATCTTATCCGGACACGTTACGCGGATGTGCGTTAAAACTGAAGAAAGATGAAGCAAGATGAGTTGCAATTGAGATACTTAATCTCAATTTGACTAAAAATTCCAAAATTTGAATATTTCGCAAAAGAGATTGCAATATAAATCAGTTTTATTCATTTAGAAAAAATTATTATATTTTCTTGAAACCTAAACTACTTTACATATTTTTAAAAAATCTCTATATATTAAAAAAAAATCCCAAAGTTATGTGCATCGCGTAAAAAAAAATCATTTCTTTTCTCATCGAAATGTTCAGAAGCTGTTCTAATTAACAGTTGTACGATAATGTAAATTGTATACGCGTTTCTCCATGAATCCCGAGTATAAATACAGGTGTGTACGTGGCTCGTGTATACGAGCAATTTAGGACTGTTGAATAATTATCGATGGAATCGGCAGCTGCAGATCAGAAGACAGAACGCGCTGGAGTTGGATAATTTTGTTTATACTATCGTTTATTTGATCCGTACGCGAAACATACTAAATAAAGTTAGTAAAAAGTTAAATAAAGTATTATTTAAACCAGACGCACCGCGCTGACCAACAAGCGCGTTAATTTCTTGCACAATCAAGTTTATTCAAAATATTTTGAAAAACTATCAATTAATCCGCAAAAAAACTGATGTCAACTTTTAGCAACTGTCAATATCATTGTTACGTCAAATGTTACCAAACTTCAACGCATTCATGAAAAAACGTCAATAAAAAATGAAGCGCATTGCCCATGTGTGCCAGAGAGGAGGCATTACTCGAATCACTTTACAAATGAATGTTGCTCTCGAAATAAGTTGGAATTTAAACAGAAAAAAATTATGTTAAAACTCTTCTGTACGCATTTCGAGCCTTATTACGTGTAACAGAATAGCACCAGTCTGGCTCTTTCGCGGATAATTTCGTTTACAGCGAGAAAGCGTAGCGCCTTGATTAATTTAACTCGTCGAGGCGAAGGGTTTGAGTGCTTCTATATCGCAATACTAGTAATGCTTCTGGAATAACCCCGGAGTGGTTCACGGGTATACTCTTCGAGATAGACGGCGGACCAACCTTTGTAAGTACAGTACACACAGAGTTCATAATCTCTCTCTTATTCTCGTATATATGTACAAAAAAAAAAAAAAAACTCTAATCCACCAAATATATAGATGTTCCATTGCTAACTTTTCACGTTGTTTTTCCTTTCACTTGTCCTTTTAATTGTTCACATGTCACATGTCATTTACTCGAATGAATACGAAGCGTCGTAATAAAAAACCAAAAAACAAAATAAAAATAAAAATAATTGACTAACAAAAGAAAAGAGATCGCGACTACACGATCATAAAAACGGATAACTACGTGTATGTATATTACATACTCACGCGAGATCGCGAATCGATCGGTTTAGACGGATAGAGCTCTCAAAGTTCACGCCCAAAGAGGAAACAAACAGCGTACTTGTGAGGTGGCGCTTTAATTAAAATCGATATTTTCAGAGCCTTTGCACTTTGCCCAGTCTCCGCCGCAAGTCGATTTGTTCGCGCTGCGTTTTATTTGATTGTTTTACACCGCGTTACATTAGACATCATAGACGATGACAACGACGACGACGATGGCACACCGACGTGGATTGCACAATTTAATTATTCTCATACCCGTTGCTAATGCAGTGTAATCTAACTTTCTTCACTTGTAATATATAGATTAAAATCCAGAAAAATTCTCTCCAGAAGAAAAAAAAGCAATTGTACGCGATCTCAGACAATTATAATATTTCAAGTCAAGTATAAAAAAAAGAAATGTTCTCTTTTTCTTTCTTTCTCTCTTTTTCTCTTATATCAAATTCGACAAGTTGCACGAACTCACAGTTGATTAAACTAGATGTTTGAAAAACTTCCCTCACATCATATATTATCTTATTTTCGGTTCAAGGTCGTGTATGTTCTCGAGTCTAATTTTCTTTTTTTTTTTTTTTTCAATTGCTACAACTAATTCGCGGAGAATAAAGACAAAACTTTTTTATATTTCACAAGCCGCGAGCCAAGAGAAAGTCTTCTCGGTTTTATTTCCAGACATTTGTCACGACAATAAAAAAAACCTTAAGTGTCTGAAAATTCAGATAACCGATTTGATTTTAAACATAAAGAACAATAATAAAATTGTCCATAATCACAATTAGTTTTTCTTGCAAACAAGTTTATTTTTATACTTATTAGTTGTAATTACTCGCAGATTTGTTTTCGGTTATTTATTTGTTTCAACAATTATACGCACGTAGTTTAGTTGAAAAATAGATTCGCCTTTAAACTTTAAATTAACCTAAATCCACGTAAGATAATCTTGAAACAGGAGAAGAACAGTGTTGAAAAATATCTTTCCTAGAACACAAGTAGATTACTGTTTTCCTTTTCAGATCGTACAGTTTTCACGCAAATTTGAAGACAAAAACGTCTAATTGCATTTCGGAGGGAATTAAAGTTTTAATAATGGCATTAAAAATGTTGGTGTTGTTAAACGCAAGCATCTTATAAAACTTTAAGCAGACTAAACTTGCTTATACTAGAAGTTTGCTTTGATAAGATCTGATTCGAAAACCAATTACAGATTCTTCCTAAGACGCAATGGCAGTTCTCCGATGAATTTTGATAACATAATAAATTTTAGGAGCTCTGACCTATATTACGTATAAGACTGAAGATCTCAAACTGTAATCCATCAATTAACTTGGGAATCGATATATCGCTCAGCGATATATCGCAATTGTTACATGTACATACGCAAAATAAAGTTGAATAAACTTGCTTTAATTTGTATTTGATTAAAAGAAGAAAAGGGATGAAAAAGTAAGTTGACAATGAAATGAGTATTGTGTGCACAGCGAAGATATCTCCAACTTCATTTTCAACGGCGAGCGATTAAAGATGCACGATATGATAGAAAAAGAAAAGAAAAGCATAAATGTCTCAATAACCGGACAAGTATTGTTGGCCGGATATTTTTGAAGAAATAATTATAACAATTTGTGTGTAAAATTAGAAAATACTAATAAAGTAAAAATATATTTTAAAAAATATTTTGATTAATATTTACATATCTAATAATTATTTTTTAAATAAATGTCTTGTCATTGGGACATTTATCTTATTTGAGAATTATTTGGCTCACAATTTATTTAAACTTGCTTTATTTAACAAGTTTTTTATTTATTTATTCTTTTTTTCACGGTATAAAAAAGTTCGTATTATACGTACTATGTGCGAAATATTTAGAAAAATGGAATTCACATTATAGTTCGGTTTATTGTCATTACAATAGTGTTTCCCGATCAATTTAGAATTATTGATGCTATGACATATGTCTACTCACGAGTGTTGTCATAAGGTATTCCATTGAGTTCGTCGAAACAGGGGATGGTGGCTAGTGTGCCAGGGGATGTCCGGGGCCAGCACAGTATGGTGTCCCAGTTTACCTGGCATTCCTGCTCCTGCCGTGTGTTTTGATTCTGCTCGAGTTCAAGACACTTGAGCTGTTCAGCGTTGAACGACTCGTTCCGCTCGTTAATGTACTTTAAAGCGTTCAGTACGTAATTACCGTCGGCCGTGGACTTCGTGCCGTTTGCAGAAAATAATAAGTCTAATGCCTCCTGGGTTCGTTGTGTTGTCATCCTTCTTTACTGAGATCCTTTGATTCGAGGTAACAAGAAACTCTAGAAAAAAAAAGAAATAAGTCCTTTATAGCTTCGTTTCTTTCGGAATCTTTCCGTCACTTCTCTATTTGCGTTATTCGTATACTTGTTGCTGTCTCGCTGCTGAATTTTTGCGATTAGCTAAAACGATTATTTTACAGACAAAAGACAAAAATTACGTTCGTATTGAAAATATGTACAACCGTGATTCGTAAAGTGTTTTAAGATGTTTTTTTTTTTTTTTCGAAGTACTTATTCGTACAAAAACAAATATATATGACGCACATTCGATGAAATATATTCGACTTAACTATTCTTCGTGATCCGTCAGCTCGCATTCACGCTCGAATGCAAGACAGATCTGAATTAACTGTCAAACGGTTTGCGACTATCCACCCTGAAGCTCTCTTGATCTACGAAGGTGCCACTTGGATACTGTTAGAGCTCGTGGATACTCGAAATCAATAACATCGACCATCAATGGCAATAGTCACTCTCTTGCAGAAGACCCACTGTACTGGAAGCTACGGTAACGCATTCTCCCATTATTCGTAAAGCACTCTCTCATGTCATTTCAGAGAATGGAAAGTCTAGAAGGGCGAAGGTGACACCTACGATGATCAAACACTCCGAGTGTCATCAGGATCTGGATTGTCTAAGGTCCGATTGCGCAAAAAAAAGTCTCAAAGTCACGTAAAAGGCACTTTTGTCAGATAAAAAAAGAACATTATTTTTTTAAGAGTAAGTAGGGTACTTTATAATCGGATCTTATATATTTAAGATGTACGTTTTATATGTATTGTACGTATAATTCTATGCACACATATATAAATAAGACGGTTTTATATCTGGAAAAAAATAACGACTGCTAATATCGCTCTAAATGTATTCTTGTAGTTTTTTGTTTATATATCAAAGACATCCCACGTTTCTTATTAATCCTCAAGCCGATGTACTCACGCTTCCTTAATCTTCGCGAGAGTCGCGTTACTTCGTCGTACTCTGGAAATGAGTTCCGGATCGCTAATTTAAAAGCGATTACTGTGCAGCGCACTCAGCGAGAGATTTATCGGTAATTATCTCTTTCGATACTATCGTCGAGGTTTTATATGTAAGTGCACGGGGATAAAACTTATTGCCCTCACGCAACGAAATGGCGAATCTCGTTCTTTATACGGCAATTTTAGTTCTTTCCACACAATTAAGTAATTAAACAATAAAAATATTGTTATATGTACATATATAAATTATATATATATATATATATATATATATTTTGTGCAAATTATTATAGAATAATAATTTGCACAAAACATTAAGAAATACAGAGAAAATAAAGAGAGTAAAAATGAAATAGTGTTTAATATATTCGTACATTAAAAAATATCATAACATGATATAATATGATGTAAGAATCACATCTACAAAATCAAATTGTGCAAAACAATGAGTTAAAATAAAGCAAATGTTAATAAGTTTAAGAAATATTAATTGTGTTCTCATCTTTACACATGTGGAAAATACCAGGTTGTGTCTTGTAATTTAATTAATTATTGTTTATTCATTTAATAAATTATGTATTGTTGTTTGATTCTGTACGTGTTTATATATTAAAAGTTTGGAGAAATTATATGCCGCGAGAAAATTGCGGCAAGCATCATTAGTCGAGTCCATTTCGAGAATTACAGAGCTGCGATTTCGTGTAAATAAGGAACGCGCGTGAAATGCGCAGAGAATTATAATGAACTGAATATCATGTAGCAGTTAATAGTGCAATATAGCATTTTGCACTGTACAAACAGTATTTCGTTTAACAAAACGAATGTTACAGTTAACTGGAAATAGCGAGAAATTCATTACGTATCAATGAAAATTGTTGTAACTAAAAGTACAAAGAAATATACTAATAATGTACGATGGTTTCAATCGAGCTGATCGAGTCACTGTATCTCGCTTGAAAATTCTCGATTACAGGAAGAACTCTATCGCACAAACAATATTGTTTCAACTGATCTCAACAGTTGCGCAACAGCTGTTCAACTGCAATTTCTCGAAAAGTTATGTTTATACAATCATAACGGATTGATAATAATTAATTATGATTGCACGATGGATAGAGTAATCACACACAATACGATAGTCACATTTCGTGTCGTTTAAAATATTTATTTTATCGGGATTCGCTCAATAGCCTACCGTTGTGACTGCCCCGCAGAACAACGACGATCACTTGATAATGTGTCTTTTCTGCAAACAGTTATCTATGCTTGATGATGATTGTGAAATACAGCTGTTTAACAATCATGAAGACAATCGTAACGTTGCAATGAAATGCGGCACACTTATTACGTACGATACACTCGATAATGTGTTAATTTTATTATTATTTGTTTATTTAGTGATGATTTGATTGAAGATTAATTTTTTTCACAAAATGTTTCTATTTATAGGCGATGATCGTTATACAAAATTTCACCAGGACACGATTTTTGTATAGTACAAAGCAAGTCTGTGCCAATTTTCTGTTACGTTAAATCAGTTAGGGTTCACCGCAAGAAGACAAGTGTTTTCTAATATATTACACTGTCAGCTCATATCTATCGGGCGCCGACGACACGCGACTGCCAAGTAGCGGCACGTGTTCCTGGGCGAGGACCATCACCGACCACCACCTTCGCAGCTCTGCGCGACGACCAAGTTGGCTTTGCGGCGCTTGCGTCCGCGAACGGTATTTTCAGATCCAATTGTATAAAATTATGTGCGTGTGTGTGTGTGTGTGTGTCTACCTAACACAGGTATGTAATTGTTACACTTAATTTTTTAATTAATTAATTTTAACTATCACACACAATATAAATGATAATTGTATCAATCTTGTAATCAAATCTGTATGTCTATGATCCAATTATGAGTTTTCTGAAACGGTAGCTGTGGTAGGAGCCGATAGAAGGACACAGCTGAAGCTTTGTGCAGAACAATGCAGGATAAGGAGCGGACATGCGTACTTTTTTCCATTCTTTTTTGACATTGTATTCCTGATGAGATCGTTAACGAAGCTGAAAAACCATATACCATCTGTATCTAATCACCACATATATCATATGTCGTGTTACATATTACGTATTATACCACATAAATCACACGTTAAGAGATTAATCTGTCAGAAACAAAAGCGATATTGGTTTCTTTACATCTCTGCCTGACTCGCGATTAATTACGATAAAAAATTTCTCAAGTGAGATCAATCAAGAAGCTGAACTTTCGCACAAAAGTGACAATTTCTCAACTTTAATTGAAAGTTTTAAAGTGAAAGCTTATCTAACTAATTTTAAAGCGTATTTTACAATCTTTTCAATTTGTACTATCCGCATTTAATGCATCATTTCCAAACTCGTATATTTCATTTCGCACATAGTTTGCATTCATATGTATATTTGCAATAATTTCCCATAGAGCGTAAAGCAATAATTTCCTATGTATATAATTTTGAGGCGACAATTATAAATTTATATTACATCGATAGAAAAAGTCATTGAAAATCAAGTAAGAGAAATGTCGTCTCTCATTTTGTGCGATATTTCGCGCAACGCGCAAGAACTGCGAATTTCAAATGGAAAATTGACTCGGTCGATTGTTCAACAATTCGCACTCCGCACGTACTCCGCACTCTCAATCGACTAAACGGCTCTTCCTGATTCCGCACATGTGTGCTAAGTATATTGTAAATACAGCCATCTTTTTCACTTACATGCACGTGTCTCCTTCCGTTCTTTCTTTTCTCCAATACACATCTGTTTAGCTGCAACCAAAGCTGATCACATATACAAAATAAATACATCGCTTTAAAACTACGCAACGCTCTGTTTTCTTTCTAATTCCCTCGTTTTTTTTTCAATCGCTTCAACTATCGACTAACATTGTTGTTTGACGTGCACACGCGATATTTTTTTTTTACATATTCATGCTAAAATATACAATTGTATGTGAAAACAAAGCACGTCAAACAATTAAACCTTTTTCTTTTCTACGTTTTGTTATATTGATAAAAAAAGCACCAAGTAAACAAAAGATGTGTATTTTCCGAAATGAGTAATTAACAACACACATTACATACAACAAAATAAAACTAATGCACAGCTATCTTTTACGTATCGTTAAAAATAGTACAGAGAAAAACATCAAATGTTTTGATATACAAAATACTATATATATATACTTTTAAAATCCATTTTGCTTTTAGTGCGCCGCGGATGCGATGTGACAAAAGAGAAAAGTTTTAAATAAAAGCGCGCGTTTTATCAGAATAATATAAAATTGACAATTATTCGATTAAATTGTATCAATTCCCTAACAAGTTCCACACTGACTCACTTCTCTCACTCCTTTTTTCTACACATATTATACAAACATATTTTCTCACCCTTTTCTCACTTTTGATATCATAAAACGTATGTTATCTTGTAACGTACTGTTCGCGTTATGCGCTATTTATGCGAGTGTGACATATTTTATCTCAGTCACGCCAGAAAGTTTTATCTCTATCAAATATTAACTATATCAATAAAGAACACCGTCTTACGTGATGTGTTCATCTCGCAAAGAGAACGCTCTTTCCGCGGAGGTCAGCTTACAAATGGAAAACATTATGTTAAAGACTTCATGTGTTTCAACACAAACGATTCTAAGTTTGATGCTATTTAGCATGATTTGTAAATGTATTTTTCCAGACAACACCAGAATCTGAAAGATGTCGTAAAGATATCTAAAAGATAGCTAAAATAATTTAGGGTTATTTTCTATCTACAACGTGCGCTTTTCACGTACAATGCGCTATGCCACATGTATATCTTTACAATTAAAAAAAAAAAAAAACTTAAAATAAAACAATTAAGGAAGAAATATCTTCTAAAATAGCAAGATTTCATCATTATAATGTCAATGTAACCCTTTCGCTGTGGCATAGAATTCTAATGCAGAGCGTGTGTGACAGAGAACGAACGTTTAGCCGCGATCGATGCTACAAATGGCGAAACTTTTCGCGCATTCGGTAGAAAGCATAAAAGTCATCAAAGTTGAATTGAATTAATATAAAGATATATGAATGCTGATAACAAGTACCAAACGTCTGAAGGCGCTAACATATGACAAAGCTTACAATTTAGTTAAACGCCAGTAGGCGCCAATAACAATAAAAAGGTCAGTTTTCGTTATTATGTGTGACTAAAGTCAATTGACTAAATAATGACTTAAAGTAAACGTCAAATATTCCTGATACACTGTTGCCACAGAATATCGTTATCTTGATATTTATACATTGGTATTGTATACTTTATTTGTAATTTAGGCTTGTGAACCTAAATTGCAAAGTACACAATACAACTTCACACAGAACAAAAATCTACAAGAAACTTCATTAGAGATTTTATCCATTAGACATTGCTGACAAGAAAATGTGAACGTTTAATTGATATTGATCTGATGAGATTTTTATTTTGTGTTGGACATTGTGTCGTCGATAGAATGCTGATAACACTCAAAACATAAATATGTAGCCGTATCAGCTGTAAAATCAGGATAAAGGCAGAAAAAAAAAAATAAATTGATTTGCATGACGATATCTTTTTGGTCACATGTCAAAATGACTATATACATATAAATATTTCTTTACGCGGCTTTCAATCGTCATTATCATTACATTACGTGTGTATTATATCTATACATTAATAATAATACTCGACAGATTGTAACTCAAACACAAAATCATAATAACTACGATTAATTTTATTCTGTAGTTATTTATCACAATCGATTATATTGTAGTCGTAAGTAATATTTCTGTTCACATTATTTGATGCTTTCTCTGTTACTTATTATTTTTGTTTTTCTCTATTAACTCTTCGCCTGCATCTGGGAGACATAGGTCTTCCAGACGACTCAAAACTTGCGTATCAGCGTTTCTAGAAAAAATTAGTTTTTTTTAAACGCTTATATCTTCAAAACTACCAGAGAATTTTTTCAATTTGTTTTTTTGACGCAATATTGTTCAAACTTTTGATTCAAAAAAATATTGATTTTTCGCAGAAATATTCGATTTTAAAGTCGCGTGAATTTCACAGACCCAGTCTGTCTTACTTGTAGGTCATTTTTAAGGTCATTTTTACGGCGAAGAGGTAATCAAACTTCTTCGATTTATCATCAACAGTCAACCCAGACAGTACAGAAGTTCGAAAGACACCAGATATCTAAAAGATGTTTAAATTATTTTAGTCATTTTCCGTATGAAAAATACGAGAAATCATATATAGAATCACTTTAACTCACAGTTTATACAATTTTATTTTGTTATATGTATTATATTATTACATATATTATATATTACATCTGGTGATTACCTACACAGAACAAAAACTCTATTAGACGTCCATTAGACGTCAACAGCTGCGATATCTATAATAGATGTCTAATGGAATTTTTGTTTTGATATTTTTGTGTGGGTACACACACACACACACACACACACAGAGTGAATAATTTTAGTATTTTATTCAGACAAGTTTTAAGCCTATGTCACACTACGGATTTGGATTGAAATTGGATTGCAATTTGGTCAATCAGAGCGAAGATCAGTAAACTTAGGATTGATTTTCTTTCTTCTGATTGGTCAAATTTCAACCCAATCTCAATCCCAATCCGTAGTGTGACATAGGCTTTACTGGCTTTCTGAGGTTTGATGTATTCAGACTACAATATTTACAAACATAGAGTGCTTTCTATTGTTATAGTGATACAAGTCGATACAAGAGTCACTCTGTTTTTTTTTTGTTTCTTATTGAATATCGAACAAGGACAGAATGACCTTTGTGTCGACTTGCGTCGCTGTGAAAAAGCACCCATATACTTTAATTAAGTTATTTAAAATAATAAGCGAAGCAAAGTGTGTGTGTCCAAATATTATTGTAACTTTAAAATCAGACATTATATTATTTACACTATTTTATAGACACTATTCTATTTACAATAAATTTTATCATAATGATATTAAACATATAATTGACGTTTATATTTTTGTTAATTCAATATCCACTCTGTAGTGTAAGGGCCTGAGCACAATAGAGAAAATATTAGAAATAGAAATTAAAAACAAAGGCTAAATGTAATGTTCAATGCGAAAAAATAAAATATAACATTTAAATATAAGCCGAATATCATGTAACCATGACATACTTCCTGTATTTATATGTTATGTTATATTTTATTTTTTGTCATTGTATAGTACTTTTAACTCTCTCTTCTATTTCTAATTCTTATTCCTAATATTTTCTCTATTGTGCTTAGGCCCTAATTCTTCTTCTTATCCCAGACAAAATTATACTGCGACAAACTTGTTTGAAAATTAAAGTTGTTTATTAAATATATACTGAATAATAAAAATAAAGTTTGTTATATTTTGTACTTATCTTGTTCGTCGAACCAACCTTCAATTAATTCCATCCAACTCGATTGGTCGATTAACATTGCATTGATCGATATTAGCCGAAATAGACGGTTGCCCACACTGTTCTGTTCCATTCTGTTTATCATGGTGGCAACGTAAACGCGCGCCACAAGTCAGCGCAAGTTTGTCGCACACATATGCGAATGCATGTGTATGCTCATGCATGTAATATTCACACATCTATCGGTTGTTCGCGAAGAGGAGGAGGAGGAGGAGGAGGGTAGACTGCTCCGTAACTATCATTTTCGTCGTCTTTGACGTCGCCGTGTTCTTGTTGTCGTCGTCGCAGCCGTATGTGCAATTTTTATCATCTTGTCAACAACCAAACAGGTAGCAGTGACAAGAAGAAAAGCAGGTAAGTTCGGAAGGAAGAGCTCTCGTCCCTTTTCGGAAGAGGGTTTCTTTCATGTCTGAAGCGACTTAAACAAAATGGCTGTCCACTCGTTCGCTTCGGCGATGCTGTTATTTCATCCGTCGGGATATCGCGCTGCATTACTTTCCGACGAAGAACGAGGCGCACTTATCGATTCCTCGGTTTTTATTGCGCGCGCTCGTTCGCTAGGCGTCACGGCGACGTGTCATTTCGTTTGATCGCGATATATACAAGTTGTTGACACTTGGATACCATTTTTTTATGCAGGTAACGCAATACTTGGCGCAATTGTAATCATTATTGTCATCGCAACGTCGTCTGTGGACTTCTTATGAAGAGACGCTACGTTTTGTCGACGTGGTCATGCACTGCCCAGGAATACGTGCAGCAAAATATGCGAACGCAGCGTGCCGTTATTAATATACACACAACCGCTATTCCACAGAAATTTCAATATATTCTGGTTCGTGGGAAGTGAGCTTCAAGTGAGCATAGCTTTCAAGGCTTTACTTTGTATGTATTGTGTTTTATGATAAAAAGTTCTAAGTAGGGCTAGAAGCATGATAAAGCTAGTATAGAACCTTGTATTTTGTATTGGTTTAAACATTAAATAATGTAAGAAACAATGAAAAAGAAAATTGAGATCATGATAAATATAGCAAGTATTGTCACAACATAAAAGATATGCCAATCGATTGTTTTAGGTGGAAAAGATGTCTAGTTCTTATATCATTGAGCCGCAAGAAAGCTCGGAAAAAAAAGATGACACATTGATCATTGTTGTCAATGATGATGGAACAATATCAGTTGACGAAGAGACTTTAGAAAACATGATAAGTACGTAATTGCATGTATATGAGAATATTTAGTATAAAAGTATGCGATGGGTCAATTTCTTATGGTTTAAGTTAAAAACTTATCTCAAAGAGATTCATTTAAGCAAGAATAGTTAAGAATAAGATCTTGTATCTGGAAAAGTAAACAAATGTACACATATATAATTTAATGTATATTAATATTTTAGTAAATCAATCAACTGCTAATGTTAGTGTGGTAAGAGTTGGACAATCAGATGCTGAAAATGGAGATCTAACCTTGACAGTAGACCCACCATCGTTTACACATCCCAATGTAAATTCAGGAAATACCCATGTCAGTGCTGACCCGGGTGGATTGGTGGATCCTTTTCTGGAAATGGATCAAGAACAATTGGAAAGATTAGAAACAGCTCTTCATAGTGAAGAGGCCAAGCAAATACTTGGGGAGAATGTTACTGCAATGCTTGGTACTTTGTATATTATTTTATTTTTATTAGTTCTTCTGCTATTTTTTTGCAACAAAAGAATTAATAGAGCTAATTTTTTTTTTTAGAATTTTTCTCTACATATTATAATTTTGTTCTAGATATGTTGTCAATAGAAGAGCAGCAGAATACAATGCGATATAACATACAATTGGACCATTGTTACACAAGTAGATTATCGCCAAGTGATCCAGTACCAAGAGATCCTTTACCGATTACTGATGATTCTCCTGAGTCAAACGATGTGCAGTATGTGCATCAATCAATACCTTCACGACCAACTATTTCAACATCATCCATTGATGCTGATACTACTGGAATAAAGAATAAGAATATTGTGAAAAACGTAAGTATAATCACTGCCACGTTACAAATGATGATATTATTATCTCATAAGTTACAACACACTAATTTATTATGCGACTGATATGTCGGATGTTCCGTCGTTATTGGATCAACATTTGATTGATATGTATGCATATATATGTATGTATTCTTGTCCTATTAGATACCATTGCAGAATAAACAAATGAACAGATCAATACGTAAAGCCAATGTACCTACAAGTATAGCTGGACTTCCTAGAGCTAATACAAGTATTGTTGGAACTCCAAAATTATCAGGAAAGCCTATACCGAGAAATATAACAAATGTTCAACAGGGAATTAAAGGTATTATATTACAGAATTTTACACTCACACTGCCACTCATTTGTGATTCAAATTAAAAATACACGATGAATTATTTAAATATTAAATTTTATCACTATAATATTATCAATGTAGCGCATATTTAGCATTTTCATTTTAAAAATTTTAATAAAAAATAGATAATGCAGAGAATATTTTCTGTTATAAACACACATAACGTCAATAATACTACGATACATTGAATCGAGAGAGAAACACCTTTTATTAACCAATTATAATTAGTTAATATCTTTCTTACACAATAAAAAAAATTTTTATAGCACAAGGGAAGAATAATGAAGAGGAGAAAGATGATGAAGGCACAGAATCGTCCACAACATCTTCAGAATCAGAACCACCATCTGATAATGACAATGATTCTGACTTCGGTCCTCGTAGCGTTAAGAGAGGTAACGTCAGATCTCGAGGTGGTGGCAGCAGAAAAGGCATTACTACGAGAGGTGGTAGCATGGCAGCTGTTCGAAGAAGAAGTCAAAACAAACATCTGGATGTAGAACAGGTACGAAGGTTAGACATGGAAATGGCTGCTGCTGTTAATGCAATGAAAAGTGGTGAAAAAGAAGATAGATCGGGTAAGTAAATTAGATTAAATCAATATTTTCAATTATATATAAAAATAAGTAATATCGTTAGTTAATTTGTTAACTTAATAATGTGTTTAATAATTAACTCAAATAATACGTATGTAAACAATAATTAACGTTGATTAATCTTAATATTATTAGAGAGATTTAATCCTGCCAAAAGCAGGAGACAAATCAAGACTATTGGTGGAAAGAAAAAAGAAGAATTTCCAGAAACGTCTTCATCTGTATCCGAGGAAATGCCGACATTTGAAAAACCGTTGCAAACTACAAATCAAGTGAAAGCAAATCTGATCAACGCCAATATGATCAAAGGCGATATGATATTGACCAAACCCGGTCAGGGGAGAAATAATCAAAAAGTCACTTTCGTTCAGAAACAAGTCTCGATGAAGCCGGGCGAGTTCAAGCTTGGACTTGAAAAGTCTGCGGCAGTGTCCAAAGGAAAAATCCAAGTGACCTCTCAAAAGTTCTTCGCGACGCGACTTAAAGATGGAAAATTGATACAGGTACCAATGATACCTAAATCAACGAGTTCGAATGTACAAGGTCTTCCGGTAAAGACAGTTATATCACAACAAGCTGGAAATCAAGGATTATCTCTGCAGCAACAATCGAAAACCGTTTTGTCGACGAGTAGCACACCGTTGAAGATTAAAGTAGGCGATATAAAGAAAGAAAAGAGAAAAGCTGACGCTCTAGAGTCTATATCAAAAATAGAAGAAAGTCCTACAAAATCCACGGATAATAAGGCGTTAGACAGTCGGTATTCCGTTTACTAATAGAACTTGAAATAATCAAAAAAGACATTGTTAAATTCTTGTTCAAATAACACACATTTTTACAGGTGCAAAGAGACCCAAGAAAGACAATCGAAAAATTCCTGGATATGTGACGGATACTTTAGGTCCCGCTTTGTTTTCAACACCGGATATTATTCGGCGCGTTGGCTCGAATAGCGACGGAAAAGTTGCCGAAAATAGTACAACACTTCAAACTACATCTACTTCAGCATTATCTTCTACCATTCCTATCTCCACAGTTGCCTCGTTGAATATCGATACTCTTGATAGCTCTCATGCAACACAAAGTGCTCCTAACTTTAATAATAAAAAATCAGTGTCCGATACTTCAGTACAGTCTGTACAGTCGGAACCGCAATTAAACTTCCATGGAAGTAACAATGTAGAGTCAGAAAACGAGCAAAAATCGGAGACTAAAACACCTCTGCCTGAAGAATTGCAACCGTCTCTAGACACAGGTAAATTTTTATATCTAAGATCCATAGTATTGCTTCCCTAGTACCAATCCTATTCTTATTAAATACAACTCACATTGTTTATTTTACAAGTGAATTGCATTTAGTTTGAGAATATTTGTTAATTGTTTTTGTATTTATACTTACAATTATAATGCAGATAGTTCTTTATATCGTTGTTCTGTTTATTCATTCCTCCTTAAAATATTAACAGTTACACATGAAGAAACGTTGTCCTAATTATTTTTCCCTGTAAATTCGATTTGCTTTCCGTGACCGCATTTAGCAAAATGCAATACGTTGTGACGTTTTTCACTCATTGAATGGTACCATCAATGACAAACAAATGCTTAGCACTATTTACTAATAGTATATCTCTAGGCCGCTCTTATCAATTCTGGTTAACTTCACCGGATAATTAAGTGTCAACTACGATTGATCAATTTTGCTAAATAATTTCTGCGATTGATCAATTTTTACTGAAATAGACTGATTAAGTTAACCTGAATTGAGATCAGCCAACTCTCTACCTTTTCTTTATAACATTCTCGCATCTCTCCATCAATCTCTTCCTTCATCAAAAATTGCTTTTAAATTACCAAAAAATATCTAATTTTTTTTCCGTTTCACTTTTATCTTACTACCAAATAGAAATAATATAAATAACCCTCGTACACGGTACTTGAACAATTTATAAATTGTGGATTCTACTTCCCCGTTTTATCAATCTGATCTGTGGGCTTATGCAAACCTTGTATAAAGCGATTCATATAACGGCGGCTCTTTTGTGGAACAGAATATCCGCGTTATACGAGGGTTATCTGTACTTTTTAAGATAATATCTGATATGTGTATACTTTATACATAGGGTTACTATATTTTAGAAAAGATAATCTAAGACACTTTATGAATTAATTTCAATGTTGAGAAAGCCTACGACTTGTACAAGTTTTGCTTTTATACATTAATAATTTATTTTTTTTTAACTTTTATAACCACTCATTTCAAAATGCAAGACTGTTCGAGTTAATCCCGGACATCTAGTAAAGTAACCCTATTTATACATCACGTGTAGACTAACGAAAACTAACGCCCACGTAATGGTAACTGTTTCTCTTCACACACTGTATTTTTCGTTAGTTAGTAATTTTCTTATATATGTGATATAGTAAATATCATACACATAATATATACTATAGTATACTATATACTATTATATAGTATATGCTATTAGTATACTATAGTACTATGCCAGTATTACTTTTTGACGTCGGATTAAGTTAAAGGAGAGTTTTTTTTGGCTCTGGAAAAATTTGGTAAAATTCTTTTTTTTTTTTTTTTTTTTAAGAAAAAAAGTGCTATAAATTTTTACACCACTTGAAAGAGGAGCAAATGAACTATTTATAACGTTTTATTTATTTATTTTTGTGAAAAATTTTAAGTGACGCATTTATGCGTCCCCGTACTCTCGTCCCAAAATCTTAATGATAACATATATATGCGTCATTCGGTGTTAAAGTGGTATTATAGTATACTATTAGTATACTATATAGTATATATTATTATATATGCTATATATTGTATATATTCTATATATTATTATATATTATTATATTATACGATAATAATTAGATATACATTATTAAAGGTGGTTTAGAGGGAGAAGAACAGTTATTTGCTACTTTAGAGATGGAAGCCAGCAAACATGAAGAAGAACTACTTGCTGAGGCATTATTGTTACAAGAGGAGCTTGGTGTCGACTTAGCTGAACATGTAACAAATATTATATATTATTTTTATTTTTTTATATCACATAAAAATATTAAAACTTTTTCTTTTGAGATCTAGAAGTATATTTTTTTGTTGTTTTTTTGTCTCTCTTCAATCTTTCAAATTAGTACAGTAAACTCGCTAACAGTTCATCATTGGGACCTTACGCTATTGGTTCATTTTTTTTTGGTTCATTTCATTCCCAATGTATCATCATGATATTTTCTTTTTTCTTCGGTTGTGTTCTGCGCATGCGTGACTAACGAGCATATGTAGTAAGATATTAACAAGTATCAATCTCTAGCGAGTTTGTTGTAATTATATAATCAAAATTTTGTTGTTGTAATCATATGGCTAAAATTTTTTATTAGTCACTAAGTCTTAATTAACTTTCTATTTTTATTGTATATTCTATTTTGATTTATATATATAGTCTGCACTGGTCGATCCAACGCCAACGTTATCAGAACCATTAGCATCGAGTAACATACTTATGCCTACATTGATGTCAACCGAACAAGAATCATCTAAATCAACAGAGTTACCATCTGTGGCGCAGGCTCAGATGAATAAAGAAATTAGCAAAAAGTCGTTGAAAGATGACAAGGAACCTATTCAAATTATTCGGGGCAATCGTGTGATTACTTTGCCACCTATCGAAGCACCCGCTACTAGAAGTAAGCGATTGCAAGCGAAAACCGAAGCATTACAGAAAAATTCTGAATTAGTCAAGAAAAGTGAAAAATTAACGTGAGTATATTGTGTTAGAAATATAAAAGCTATGGCACACACAAAAACTTAAGGAGTAATATAGCTACATTTGAGATAATGCTAGCCTGTGATTAGATGATTTGTTTACTGTTAAAATTTTTGTGTGTTCCATATTTTTATAAGAGTTAATTGTGTGTGTAATCTTTAAACAAAAAAATCTTTTATGTAATTTTATATAAGGAGATTAATTAATGTATTTTTTTTTTAATTTTTTTTTTTTTTTTTATTTTTTTTTTTATCATTAATGTAGACCACAGGCACAGCAACTATCACATACCAGGGAAGAGTTACGAACAGGTGCAAATGAAGAGGAAGACGATGACGAAGAAGACGACGACGAGAATTCAGATTCGGAAGATGATCCAGACCGACTGTGGTGTATCTGTAAGCGGCCGCATAACAATCGGTTTATGATATGCTGCGACGTTTGCGAAGATTGGTTCCATGGGAAGTGTGTACATGTTAGTAAAGCTATGGGTAAGTATTCAAGAATTTTAGCTTAACACTAGATTTACCAGACCAGTCATTTTGACTGGTCGTGCAATTTCAATTCAAAATTTTTACTGCATGTAACATTTGCTTTCCGAAATGATGTTATGACTTTTGTAGCTATAAGTAGAGAATACATTTTATGAACTTAATGTTACTTTATATACTATATTCGTAACAAATATATTTTTTGTATTTTTTAATAGGTATATTTAAATAGCTGGTATATCTAGTGTTAAATACAAAAAAAATTAAAGTATATTTAGTTTTGAAATAATTACATTCTTTGTCGATGAGATGATCGTACTTTTATAATAATATATGCTTACACAATATAAATTACTTAAAATAGGTCAACAAATGGAAGAAAAGGGCATAGAGTGGGTTTGTCCGAATTGTCTAAAGAAAAAGGCTGAGGAAGAAAAAACAAAGTCAAGTTTGCAGTCACTGACTGGTAAACAAAAAACGAAGATAGAACCGTCAAACGAGAATGTAATATCGCAAATTGTATTACCGTCAAAAGAAATATTAAGTTCTTCCGTCGATCATAACGCAGTTCCAGTTTCCAGCACAATGCAATGTGTCGTTTGCAAAAAGGAAGCAAGAAATTCTAGCATTTATTGTTCAGACGCGTGCATTCTCGCACATGCTCAGGAAACTCAAGCTCTCAAGGACAAACCTGTACCAACGGGATTCACTGCGAAAGCAAACAAACAACCGCTCGCAACAGAAACTGTCAAAGCAAAAGTCGAGCCTAGAGTAATAGTCATTGACAAAAAGACTAACAGAATTCTTACAGGTAAATAAATCGCTTAATATTGAATATGCGTTAAATATAAATTAATATGACATATATAAAATTTTAGGCGCTGAAGCTCCTTTAAGATCTAATCTACGAACATGGCTGAAAGAAAATCCAACGTACAGAGTGCTACAACCTCAAGATGTGAATACACTTCAAGTAGCTGGAAAGTTAGTCACGCAGATTCAAACATCTGAGAAAATTGTATGTATATAGCCAACCAAACTATATATATGTAGTAAGATTTATATAAATAATTTTCATAGTATATTTTTATATTATATGTGTAAAAACATATCTGAAGATATATGATTAAGATAAAAATGTGCGCATTGTGTTTTCAGGGCACAAAAATTACACAGATGTCTCCGACTAAAGTGCAGACCGTACCAAAAATGATCTACACGAAAATACCTGGAACGAAGCAAACGATCTTAACGGCTAGTAGTAAAGTGACTCCCACTACATTGCAGCAATTGCACGTGCAATCCTTGAACAAACCCGTGCAGTTAAAACAAACAGTACTCACTACGACACCGGGAAAGGTTCCGTTAATACTTCCGAAGATGGCGAGTCCGAAGAATGTTACAACACTCACACATGTGAAAGCCCAAGCATCAAGCTCACCTAAGCAGACACCGCTGAAAAAACCAGAGCCGAAGCCATCACCGTCGCAACCAAAGCAAACGAAATTAACGCCAGCCAAGAAGACGGAGACTACAGAGCCTATTCGGGAGAGTGTACGAAAAACACTAACGGACGTGTTATCCAGTCGCATTAAAGAAACCGAAGATCTGCAATTAACCGACGAGGAAATAGTCGACTTAGCGTGTAATATAGAACTCGAAATGTACAAGTACTTCAAGGATACAGGCTCGAAATACAAAGCAAAGTACAGAAGTCTCATATTTAATATAAAAGACACAAAAAATTTGACTCTATTTAGAAAAATCGCCGATCGTTCGTTGACACCGCACGCAGTTGTGCGATTAAATCCGGACAAAATGGCCAGTCAGGAACTGGCTGAATGGCGCGAAAAGGAAGCCAAGCATCAGTTGGAAATTATCAAGAAGAACGAATTGGATCTGATGGCTCAAGCAAAATCGATCGTCGTGAAAACTCACAAGGGCGAGCAGATAATCGAGAACGACGGTGGAATTGATCATGTCGATCCTAAGACGCCAGTGCAAGATATTGTGAACGCACTGAATAGCGGCGACAGCATAAGTTCCACGGTTGATGACATAGAGAAAGAGAAGACTAAAGAGGAGAAGCAGAAGTCGCGAGCGGACACAAAGAAAGTGAAGAACACGGACGAACGAAGAAGAAAGGACAAGGAGAGAAGCAGAGAACGCGATAGCTCGAAATCTAGAAGTAAAGATCGGCAGGAAAGTCACAGTCGGCATCGTCATAGCCGTGATGATCGTGATCGCGATCACAGTAAAACACGAGATAAGAGTAAAGAGAGAAAGTCAAGTAGAAAAGAGAGCAGACGTGACAAAGAAAGAGAGCGCGAGAAAGATCGAGATCGAACAAAAGATCGGGATAGAGCAAGTAGAAGCGAAAAGGAGAAAAATCGAAAGAAGGAAAAAGACAGGCACAAAAGTACCGATAGCCATATGAGAAATCGTAGCGAAAGCAGGGAATCTAAGGACGTTGACAAGAAGGAGGAAGAGCGTAAGAAAGAAATAGAAAAGAAGAAGGAAACCTCACCGCAACCTACGGAGAAACCGATAGAAGATCGCCTTTGGCGGCACATAGAGGACGAGACGACAACAAATACAATCGACGGTAACGATTCCGACATATCCGACAGAGAACCTAGTTCAACTGTCACAATCAAAACTCCCGACATAAATGAGGAACCTGAGAGAGACAAGGAAGTGGAAACGAACAAAGAAACGCCAGGAAAGACTGTTTGGCGTGGCTTTGTAAACATGGTTGATGTCGCCAAATTCTTCATAACCGCTCAAGAAATCAGCGGCAACGCCAAAGATCTTATGGATGATCTGCCAGACACCGTTGACGTCGTCGGTAGGATCAGCCACCAAACTGTTTGGGATTATATATCAAAAATGAAGAAAAGCGGCTCAAAGGAAATTCTGGTTATCAGATTAACGGCCGCGAATGACGAAGAAAAGATCCCCTATATAACGTTATATAGCTATTTAAACAGCAGAAGTCGGCTGGGCGTCGTAGGCAACGTTTCGAAAACGATTAAAGACTTCTACATAATGCCGTTCTCAAGCCAAAGCACGCTTCCGCCGGTTCTTCTGCCGCTTACAGGTACCGGATTCGAGGAACACAGACCGCATCTGCTTTTAGGTATTATAGTTCGCAACAAGAAAAAACGATTGACGACCATACCGCCGGTCATGTCCTCGAAAACTTCTAAAAAGGAATCCGACAGAAGTTACACTCCGCCATTGATCGGCGTGCCGAAGGAGAAAATCTCATCGCCACCGCCATCTTCGTCCTCTCCTATAATGTACAAAACGACCATGCTAGATTCGACAAAAGAAAAACCAGTGACACAGATGACTTTAGAATCTTTAAACAAAGCGTACATAGGTATGTCGCGCAGTGTTATCGATACCGCAACGATATGCAAAATCGTGCCGGAACTGTCGTCAAAAATCGATTTGACCTCGTCGCCCAGCAAGGTCGGTTTGGACGACGACGGAGACGAGCCCTACAGCCCCGGAGAAATGGACGAGGACATAAACGGTTTACAGGCTAACGACAGTGCCATCGGCAAAAATTCTACTGAACTGCAAAAGAAGATGGAAGAATTGAATCGACAGATTGAGGAGCAAAAACAACAAATCGAAGAACAGAAGCAACAAATACAGAGTATAAGCTCGTCGTTTCTCGATGATGAAGCGACGCCTACTCTACCGGTGAGAATTTTTATCAGGCTCATTTTCCACGATCTCGATTATTGTTATTGTCTTTTTGTTCATCTTGATGTAAATAAAAACTTGATTTTGAGTCCACTTATTCCCCACCTTCCCTTAATTCCGTTCTTGAGCTGCTTTAGATTCTTACTTCTGACAGAATCGAGTCGATTGTACTGCTTAAAGTTAGAAACCTTTGTATCAAATATGTGCAAAGAAATTGTAAATAAATTTTTTCTATTTCCTATATTACATTGGCATTAAATCTTTATAATTACGAGAAGAGTAACAATATTTGGATTATTAGAAATATATCGAAAATTCGATCACAACAGATTTGAATAGATTGTGTATATACGTACATATACATACATATATATATATATATATATTTATACATATATATGTATATGCATATATATACATGTATGTTTATACGGATGTAAATATGTGTGTGACATTTTAGATAATTTATATGTTAATTAGCTGATATACGTTTTTTGAAGTAGAAATCTATTAGTAGCTCTTCTATATATTCTTCCTTTTGTGTGCTAAACTTAGCTCAGTGTGTGTTTTAAGAATGGAAAAACTTTTATTTTTTTAGAAACTATCAACACACCAAAAGCAGTTGTAACTATAGATGTGCATGTATATATATATATATATATATATATATATATGTACTTTTTTGTTCAAAATAATATTTACACGTACATGTTACAGTATTATTTAATATCTCAAATAATGTACTGATGAAATCAGAATCGGTGATATTAATGATTTATCATCAGAACTGCTATCACGACGCTCAGATGTAACGTGGCAAGTTCTATTGACTAATTGGTTGTAAAACTTATCAATTTGTTACCGATATCTCTTAATTGTATTTATATTTTTCTATCTTTATTGTTCTATTTATGTTTAATATGTGTTTTTAGGGTTTGGGATTAGATCCACCTAATGATTCCGAAGAAGAAGCTTACAGTCCGACGAACGCGCGCTCCTTCACACCGCCTCCGCCTGGCATCTCCAAATTCGCGCAGCCCATTCTCGATAAAGTCTCGGACATTACCATACCGCCGAATCTGCAGGAAATCCTAGCGAACGTCAAGCGACAAGAATCGTCCAAAGTGGATCCTTATCTTCCGTCTAAGCCTAGCGCGACGTTTTTGCCTACGGCCAGTACATCTCTCTACCAAAATACCGAAAGTTATTCGCCGTCTTCATCTAAAATTAATCAGTTGGAAGATTCGAAAGAAAGCAAGAGCACGTTGAGCACTCTGAGCGATTTAGATCTGATTCGGAAGGCGGAGGAAGAATTGGCTGCTGTTGCTGCTGCAACAGCAGTGGCATCTACAACACCACCGTTACCGCCACCGTTACCGCCACTACCACCATCGTCGTCATCCTCATCCACACCCTTACTCCAGTCTCCGGTCTTGATAGATACATCGGTACCACCACCGTCACAGGTTCCACTTCCCGCGGAACCTGCGAAAGAAGTAGATACACCGTATAAGATAGATTCATTCAAAAAGAATATCACTCCGGAGCAACCAAAACCACCTGGTCTTGAAGACGAAGACTTTCCTACGTTCCCGTCAACCATACCGACGACACCACCGACTCTTGCGACACACTCTAAGATTACACCCAAGAGCGGTAATATTGTGTTGAATGTTAAAAGAAAATTGAATGATGACGGTCGTCCGGCGTCGCCCACTAAAATATCAAGGACTAAATCACGTTGGAGTCAGGGGCCATCGGAATAAGCTGGCCAAACGGGATGCGCACGCGATACACACGGGATGCACGGAATGATCTCTCGGGATATAATCTTTCACGCATTCAGTAAAATATTTTTAACTTTTACAAAAAGTAACGGTATTGTAAATTGTTTCGCTCGGAAAAAAATATTTGCCAACCGATTTTACTTGTGGAATAATTTGTTATAAATTATAACCGCGAGACAAAACTCTAACGCATCTCGTGTGCGATGAGAAGAGAATGGGAAGACGAGGAACGTAAAAAATGAAGTTTCAAAGAAGAAAGAGAGAGAGAGAGAAACAAGAAAATAAGTTTCCCTAGAAGGTATCGGCGAAGTGTGACGTATATAATATAGAATATAAAATAAATTTTTGACAAACAGTGTGTGTGATGAGAGGGTTCGTTATACAGATATAGATGTAAGTAGCTTTCTTTAATATAGATATAGATAACTGAAATTTGTAAGAAAAAAAAAAGAGCAAGATATGCCTCAGCGACATATACCTTGTACAAAACTTATCTACAAAAGAAAAAAGATACTATTACTCTTCCGCTGTTCTCCACCTACCTACCAATCCTTTGTCTGCCGAAACGCATTTTGTACGAACTTAATTGCGATAAACACAAAAACATCTCCCAAGAGTTGCTTTTAATCTTCCAGAAAAGATGTAAAGAAAGTGTGTTTTGGGAGATATAGATATGTCTAAGGTGTGTTGTTTTCTTGCTCGCGTTGGACTGCATGCTAAACTATTTACACGTAAGCCCGAATGTATTATATATTACTTGTAATGATACGAAAAAAAAAAGATATTGCGGAGTGAATACATGATCGTGTTCGTTCGGTTGATGCGCGAACAACATGTAAACTATATAAACTTTTCTGCGCAGCTGAATTAAAACAAATTCGCTGAAATCAGATATTGATCGTGTATTCTTGTAAATACCAAAGCAAAAAGAGAATAAAACTTAGCGATAAGTTTTCATATGTGCTAGATATATATATATATATATACACACACATACAAGCAAGAGAGTGTGTCCTGTAATATATTTTTATTAACTTCTTGTTTTTTGTGAAAGTCCAGATTTGCGAAAACATCTAGGATATCTATTTAAAAGAATAAAAATAAAAACTGATTTATTTTAGACATACACTTGAGATGACATCAATAAATGTAATTTTATAGATACAAACTCTATGAAATTTCACGTGCGTCTATGTATGTTTCATTTGCAAATTTCGTGTATTCCAAATACGCTATTCATGATTTGCGTTAAATTTTTCCGCTTGGAACGTCTTTTGTCATTTCTTTTAAACGGAAATAAATTATTTATACATAAACGTATAAATATTATGTTATGTATTACGTATTAAAAAAAAACATATGTACAATATATATAAATTTTATAGTAAATTTCACAAAACGTGGATTATCGGTGGTCTATGTGGCGTAAACGGAAAATTCACATGGAAAATCTTCAGCACCGAATCTGTTGATACACCTTTAATAACAATTACAGGAATAAATGTGATTTTATATTATAAAGCTATAATTCCACAAAACATTTGATTATCTATGATACGGATTCTAATTAGTTTTTCGATACATATGCACATGTCTATGTGTATGTCTAATTAAATACAGTAATATATATATATTTATATATATATTTATATTTCTGATGGTTTCAATTATATAATAATGGTTTTTTTATTATTGTTTTCTCCTCATAGCGACATAAATAAGTGCGAAACTGGAGTTGCATTTTACAATTAAAAAAAGCATTCTGTAGTTTAAGCGAAAAAAGATATGTATTTACACAATTTGTGTAATTTTACTGACACATCTACTCCCTAAAGTACCGATTTTAAACATTCATTGTACACAAAATTCAACTGTAACTTGAAAACACTGTGTACACGATGTGCGATTAATGCTGAATATACTTGCACACTCGGCATATATCTTGCGCATATGTATACACATATAATACATAAAATATTCTGTAAGTTATCATCTCTATTTCTCACTTTCATTTTCTGTCTCTCTCTCTCTTTCAAAGCGTGGAAAGTAGCTAGGATCGATAGTATATATAATACATACGTTTATTCAAAACAATTTTTGTACATGTGATTATATCTAGACAGGCAATATATATAAATATTAAAACACACAGTAGTAAAACTCGAATATTACAATCTTTAATCTTGTTTTGAAACTGATTTTAACGATAAGTGTGCGCTTGCGCAGAAGTTTAATTTATTAGTTTTCATTGACAAAAATATATATACATACATACTGTGTGTATGTATGTGTGTCTATATTTTCGCTTTATAAAATGTGTGCATAGATCCTCCTAGATTTATCTTTCTCTAAAAGAAAAAGATTCACATTAGTTTTTATTTACAATAAAGTTCTTGAATAAATAGTAAGAAAAATATATAAGCACAAAATCCAGACGTTTTTTCATTTGTTTTTAAAAAAAAATGTGTGTACGCATATTTAGCATATTATTCAATGTAATTTCCAATCACCTCTTCCATTCTTATAAATAGCACACATGACAAACGTAGACGTGAAAAGTGGCACACAACTGAATATATATATATACGCAAAACAACTGTAAATATATTTGTTTCCGCAAAATTTGTACAACACACGCGTAGAAGAGTGACATATTTCTCGTTTGTAGAAAACAAGTTGCGTTTGCTTTGGGCGCTTACGCGCTTTAAACGTCAGTCCATTTTTACTGCCTTTTAAATGTAAGACAAAGATAAACCGACGCTCAAAACACATGAGCGTCCAAAGCGAACGCACTTATATCCATCTAATTTAAAGATTTAACACTTTGACTAATAAGCGCCACACATTCTCTCTAATACTAGTACAAATATATAAATATTAGAAAAAAAACAATAAACTTGGCAATAATGAAAAGATGACATACATAGTTGTATTTTTATTTTTTAATTATATTTACTTTTTCAACGCAAATATATAACTGTATATAGTACATACACACAAACACACTGAAAGTCTTCGCAAACCAGAGTGCTAGTGACTAATGTTCGATAATGCGTGTTTTTTTTTATTGTAACTCAGTTTTGATAGACGAAATCTATGAATCGAAAAAATATGAACAAAAAAATACCGCAAAAACTTTATGGATTGTAGAAAAATCAAAGAAAAATACGTTACACACTGTTTTTGAAAGCTTCCCCGTTCCGACAGAGATTTTCCTCTTTTCAATTCCGTTCTTGCAGCTGTTTCCATCTATTTCCGGTAGTATTGGCCTATCGTTGCTCATCATCCATTTTTCGAGATGCACACAACGGACATGGAGCCATTTTGTATCGGAGGTGATCGGTGGTCCGACGTGGCGGTCGGATTGTTGGACGTTCTAACATTGCAATATGATTTTTCGTAAGTATATATATATATATATATATATATATTACCGCAATAATCATGATCTCGGCATCACTTGTCTCTTAGTAACGAAATTGAACATTTGAGAAAAGTATAAGACGTGTCTGTACTTGAACATTCACGAGAGGGATAATGACGCCACGTGTCCGGCATATTTTCTCTGGTATATTTTTGACGATATATTAAATCATCATCTAGAAATTTATTTCACCAATGTATAACGCTTTCACAGCTGAGAGTTTGGCATAATCATTTAGATATAGCCAATCTACGATATTTTTGATTAATATTCGCATTAACCGTGGCAGTAAATCTAGTTACATAACCTCAAACTAACACTATTTTAGATTAAAATTCACGAAGCTATTTCGTGGCTATAAAAATAGAATAAGTTAATTTTTTTAAGAGGTTTGGAGAAAAAGTTATGCCACCATTAGACTGTTTATACATGTATACATAATTTATATAATTATTATATAATATATAGTCCATATAATACAAATTAATTGCAAATCTAATATTCTTATTTATCTTGCAGCTACTGTGCTGTTGTCAATAGTGACGCTATGTGTGCACTCTGTATTCTCAGAGGTTTTCTCGTCAACAAATTCTTATTTGTCGGTGACTAATAGACTACGTTTGAAGAATATTCTTGAATCAGGATTTCAATCAAACGACATATCCACAATATACTATGCTGTGAGCGGATTCAAGTTTCTTGGAGAAACTATACCAAAAGCAGATGTAATTTTTCTTTTCTTATATATAATTTCTAAAGCATATTTTAATAGTTTTTTAGTTGTTTTAATATTTCGAAGATAACAAACATTAGACATTTACTCTTATACAGCCAACTGTATAAAAATTTTGACATGATGATAAATGCCTTTTTGTGAAATTTTATGATCATTTGATTAGTCTTTCTGAAAATAATATTTTCTTCCTTGCAACATTCAATATATTAAAATAGTGCATTAATATGTGGCTCTATTATATATATACATATAGGACATTTGTAAATATTTAATAAAATCCAATGAAGAGGACATCACACATGAAACAGCATTTTATCTGGCCTCCACATGGAGAGCTATTGGGAACTGCCAAGACTTTTCTGCAACTACTGTATCTAAGGTAATATATATTTCTAATTGTGATGTAAAAAATATTACATTGATTGAAAAAAAGTATTGTAATGATGTGTATAAAACTTTCGTTCTACTGAATAAAGAGAATGTAGACAATAATTAATTCTGATAAAAATATTATAAAAAAGGTTTTATATATACAAACACACATGTATATTCTATGCGCTGTGTTATACAGTAATATTTCTTTGCGCAGATATTAACAAATATTGTACAGAAAGATACTTCTACGCTGTCTGATTTATACTATGCAGTGGGCGGTTTAACAGCTTTGTCGCAAGAAGTATCTGCTGCCAGAACTGACAAATTAGTGAAGTTAATGCAAGCAGCTCTGCGAAAAGATGACAGTCTGTGGAAGTAAGTTATATAGATATCATATTTAATTTTGAGTGGTACATTACATACAGTAATATAGTAATATATTAAAACAATTTATATAAACTCTTGCCACACTATTTCTTGGAATATAAAAACACATACATGTGTTTATATGTATTTATATACGTGTGTATAAGTTAAACAAGCAATACAGTATATACACAAATTAGGTATACTAGATATAATGATGTTTATAATACTTTCGTTCTACTGAACAAAAAAGGAAGAGAACAATTATCACTGAACAATACATATAACTAATTAAAGACATTATTATTTCCTAAGCATTATAGATTAATGTAATCTTACATTTCTAGTCTAGGATACACGTTTCACATTGCTGCTGATTTGGGCACTCCTGCTGCATTCGCTTTTGATCGTATAGAAGACGCTGTTGTACAAGCTGATGAAGTAGATGGCCAGTACTTACAATTCGAAGGCGGTCTTTCTATAACAAGTATAAAGAATTTATCTTTTTCTACTTAATTGTAAAATATATAAAAGTGTTTATTATATTTAATATTTTAATTTATTTAACATATGTATTTGATCTTATTTTATCAAATATTAAATTTGGAAATTTTCTGCATAGGTTTTCTTCTCAATGGTATTTTTAAATTGTCGACTTCATTAAAGAAAAAGCCACCGCTAAACTTTCAACAAGTCGTTAAATTTGGAAATTACTTGCTTTCGCGACGTTCCGTGCAAACCACGAGAGGTGTTGCGAACTTATTGTCTGCTTTAGACACTCTAGCGGTTGAAAGTCCCGAGAAGCCTGTTTGCATAACATTGATTGATGGAGGAATCGTTATATCAAATCAACAGCCATATGTTACGGTCAAAGTTTGCGATATTCTTGGCAACGCATTGCCGTCTGTGCCCAAAGTTGTAGCAAATTCTGCTACAAGAGTGGGTGACGATGTTGTTGTTCTCAGTAACGAGAATCTGCAACCATCTACAACGGACAAGTAAACATTCATTAAATCTATATTTTAACTTTTGCTAGGACTAAGTAGGACTTGTAGATCAACGCGTATTTTACCAAGCTTAACAAGTTCCAATAACTTTGTAGCAATTCATATCTTAGTATCTAGCAATTTGGCTTGCATTAAAGAAAATATTAAGAATTCTTACATTTACTTTTTTCAATGCCAAAACGATAAATGTATAACATGGTCCCCAATACTTTACTGTGTCAGCGTATTCGTGTTGATATCAGCTATACATTGGGGCATAGAAATAACTGTTGAACAAACCCTTTAACCTTTTTTTCAAACATAATCAAGGTTAAGAAATTCAACAAACAACACATATTCTTAAGCTGATTCAGAATCGGATCTTAACTTTAAGTAATTTGTCTTTTTTATTTTGAGATGTTGTGTAGCTAAAAAACGACCCGTACATTATCTTAAGATGAACTTTTAAGATGGTCTTAAATAAAAGATGAATTATGAATACCGGTCTCTCTTATTTTTCTCGTTATGTGTTTCTACTGTGAAATAACGTTCACTTTATTTACAGAACTCTGTTCACGATGGATCTTATGAACGTAAAGCCGGATCGCGGTTTCTACAAGATATCAATAACAGGTGCTTCTGTTACAAATACAATCACAGTGAAGGTCTTATCTGAAGCAATACTAGATTATTTGGAAATCGGTACTGGCGATGCCGATCAAACCACTCAACCAAAACTTACGAAGTAAGTTTATTTACAATGATATTTAATGTTGCTTTTGTATATATTTTATTTTTCTTTGAGGAGATTCAAGTTGATTATTTTTTACATTCAATTTCGATGATTAATTTCAGAATAAATACGGAATCTCTGTCGGGCAAACTTGATCATAAAATAGAAGCTGATTCTCAGCAGAAATTAGTTATGCGATTTTTGCTGCGTGATTCCGCTAATAAGAAACCAATGCGTGTGCATCAAGCTTTCGTGCGTCTTACGTCAGTTTCTTCATCTGCTAATGACAAACGAGGTCACGAAATCTTTTTCGTCGCCGAGCCTGATGCTACTCATGTTTATAAATTTGACATGGTAATTGCTTTTGCAAGTTTTGATATTGTTTCTAAGTTATACTGTTTATCGAGTAGATAAATTTTAATATTGATTAACAAACACGATGTCGGGTATATCCTTTTGAAGGAAACAAAAATAGAAAATGTATATCTAACATACATTTTAGCCGGTCGGAGCAGCAGCCACAAATTTTGCTTATCAGAGTGGAGAATATAACATCGAGTTGATCATTGGTGATGCAGTGATCAGTAATCCATTTCAATTTAATGTCGGCACGGTGACTCTAAAATTCCCGGAAGTAACTTCGGCAGATAGTGTGGATAAGGCATCTTATAAACAAAAGCCAAATGTATACACCACAAAACCTGAAATAAAGGTAATTTTTTAATATTATTACAGTACGTGCCAATGCTCGTTAATGACAGAAGATTGTGCGATGATTTTGTCATCTCCAAAACATTGGCAGAGTATCATGTGTCAAAGCATAATAATAATATAAATCATTATTTATGTGTGTTTCTGCTTTGACAAACAGTTTATTTGAGAAATAATTTATTTAACGTATTCTTCTTATAACTGCGTTATATTAGTGTATTAATTTTAATTTCAGCACATGTTCCGTGAGCCTGAACGTAGACCTCCGGCGTTCGTATCGAATTTATTTACAGGACTTTGTTTAGCACCACTTCTGTTGCTGGTGATTTTATGGGCGCGGCTTGGTGTAAATCTTTCGAACTTCCCTCTTTCTCTCAGCGCAATTACTTTCCATCTTGGATTGGGAGGTAAATGTTGGTGGTGATACACACACGTGCGCGCGCGCGCGCGCGTGTGTACATATGTGTGTGTAAAATATAGATACATGATAATGTAAAATTTCTATTTGTATGATGTGCCCGATAATTGCTTGACAGAAGATGATATATAATCTATCTGATTTCATCGGGCGTATAGTAAAGTGATGTTTTTCACAAATGCGATGAAACTTCTCTCGTCGCATTTGTAGCCCGTAATTCACTACAAATCATTAATTTTATTGGTGAATCGTACGACAGCAACGCAATGAAAGTAATTACGACCGTCTCATTTTCAGGCATCTTCGTACTGTTCGGTATTTTCTGGTTGAAACTCAATATGTTCGTCACGCTGAGGTATCTTCTTGGTTTTGGCCTTCTCACATTCCTCGCTGGCAATAAGATGCTGTCTCAGATAGCGCACAGGCACAAGTCACTATCGTAATGTGTATTTTAATGTGTGAAGACTATATAAGCAACGCAATTTTTTAAAGTGCATAATAAATAGAAGACTGTCGTGAAACAAGTTTCAAGATGTCGATCGAAACTTGTTGAAGTAGTAGGGAAGACATCGTCTGTTCTTTCACTTTGTCACAGATGTACATAAATTGCAAGATATTGTTTATTTTGTTTATTATGTACATTTCTTCACACACCATTAATGAGTTGTTCGAGTTTAGCTGTAAGTGTGAATATTGTTTGTTTTTGTATTACATTTATATATTATATTTATATTATATATATCGCTACTCTAACGATTACAGGTTCATAATTGAATAACCGCTAGAATTGTAATACTATTGAATTGAATTACAAGTCTAGACTCTATATAAGTATAAAAATAAAAGGATAAATTACTCGTAACTTTTAATAAAATTATTCATTTGTCTCGCTAAACACCAAAATATAAAAGTTTATAGATTAAGTTTAGTTTGTATTTTACATATTTATCAATTTATAATCAACGTTTTAAAGTTAAATCTATTGTAGAATGTAAAATTTTTGTTTAGTTATATATAATATACATAACTAATATATAATATATATAGTTATATATAATATATATATAATTTTATATATGTTTAAAAAATTTGTCACAATAATTGTCACTATTATAGTATAGTTTCAAAAGATATAGATAAACTTGCACTTTTCAAAATTGAAAATTTATTAAAGAACAATTATATATTCTTATTTTTCATTTGTTCTTTCTGTCTTTTGCATTATATAAGAATTTAGACATTTGCGCAAGTAATTTGCCTCGAACTTCAGTTTGTTTCGCTCCGATCGCATTTCGTCGGTCATTATTTGCGCGAAACTAAATCGCCGCCAGAAATTTGTCAAATCTTGAAAATCTTTCGTAATCTAATAATCAAATAGATATCTAAATCTGTTATTTAAATATCTTATCATGACGTAATACACATTAAAATATATAATTCACCTGCCGAGCAACATTCCAATCTGATAAACCAGAGATTTCCGACGAGGGAGTTATCGGATGTTTTAATTCTTTACAACCGACGAACGGAATTACTTTCTCATCTTGTGTTTCATACTTGCGACAGATTTGCATCAGTGCGAGCAGGCTTTTACCTTTGGTCACAAGACGTTCTAGATGTTTCATCGTTTTGTTATATTCAATCGATAATGTTTTCAATTGGTCTTTATCTTTTACCTGTTCTGAAAATTTTATATACATCTTTTTATATGTATATGTGTATATATATAAATATATGTATATATATATATATATATATAGAAAAATCATTTTAAAAATCAGATAACAATTCGCACCTGAGATGAAACGATTTTTTACAGTCCAGCAAACATTTTGAAGAAACTCGTGTTCGGTCAGAATATCAGAAATTTCTTTTTTAGATGTGGCATCAAACATTATTATTTTATTCTCAAACTTCTGTATTTTCTCAAAAAGATTTGTCGTGCGCAATAATTGTTGGGCTATTATGAGCTGATCCTTATCGTCTTTCTCCTTGAGTGCATCATAATGCTTACGACGATTCTTCGTTTCTGAAGTGATGTCATACTGATTGATATTATATTAGCTTGTGTAGAAAAAACAACGGTATACCAAAGTTAACTTGTATTTAATAGATTTGCAAGTTAATTAAATTACAAATTCGTGGTTTAAGTTCCATTGACAGATTATATATTAATTTTTTTTCAGCAGAATTATACCGGACAGTTTTTGATATGGCTGCCATGAAGTCAGAAATTAATGTGTATACTATACAAACAAGTAATGTATTTATGTTTAAAAAATAAAATCTATATTTAATAAAATTTCGAATATTGCAAAAACAATCATGTTAAAATATTCACTATAGAAATTATAAGTCCTTGTTTACTATTCTGATAATCGGATAAGACTTGTTGCAAGATCTGCCAAGTACTTTGCAGCTGATTTTCAAGTTGCGTTGCAGAAATTCTACGAATATTTTTATTATCTTTCACTAATGCATCTATCTTACCTGTCAAAGAATAAAAATTAGAAATTATTATATCATCTAATGTCGTTTTAGAGGTCATGAATATTTATTGTGTAAATATTTAAGCATAAATTAATTTGCATTTTATATACGCACATTGATAACATGTAACATTAGAAAAGTGTGAGAAAAACGGATTTTGGAATAATGGATATAACACGTACTTAATACAATGCCTTTGACATTGTTCAACGATTCTTCTATTTCTCGTTCAACTCCACGAGTGACTGATTGCAACAAAATCTCATCTTGGTTTTGCTGACTATAAAGTTTGTTCATTTCAACGTCTGTCTGGTCGAGCGTCTGTTTTAAGATTCTCCCGTAATAATTTCTTTCCTCTCGTTCTATTCTCTCCTTATACGTGATCAATAACTTATCTATCGCTTCAGTGTGTGCTCTTAGATTTCTCTGATATTGCTCCTCAGTCTCGCTCAATTCGTCCATCAGGAAACTTATTCTGTGGAAAGGTCATATACAAAAAGTATAAAAATATCTCTAAAGACTATAAAAATTTTTTCTAAAAAAAAGATTAAAATTTACTTATTCAATGAATCGCATTTAAATCGAAAATCATAAACTTTGAAATACCAAATATGGTTTATTATAGTTACGTTATACGTTATTATAGTAAGTACAACTTTGTGTTGGAGTTATTTAAATATTTATCTTTCCTTTCGCATAAAAAAATTAACATGTATGAAGTTAGATAACTATTCAATGTATTGAATGTAATTAAGTGGCAGCCTTAAATTTGTGTTGTATGTGTGAGTGAGTGTGTGTGTTCATTATTCATAAGTTATGTAGTAATACTCAAACTCTCATAATAAATTAGTTTGCCATTATTGTGAGTGTGTAAACCAGTTTGACAAAAGTGACCTATAACTTTTGATGTCAAATGCTCGATCAAAATTCTGCCATGCGACTTCCACATCTTCGACGATCTGCGGCATTTTAATCCTCATCATCATCTCACGCCATAGAGTGCGGTAACGCATTGTATTTAGAGCACCCATACGAATCTCTCGCATCGTTTGTTCTTTCCTCATCATTCTGGCATATTCCTCAACTTTTCTTTCTTTAACTCGCCATGTTTCTCTTTTTCTCTTTTTATCAAAGCAAACTTTATGAATTATTTTACATTTATATTATGTTATCACAAGAGAGAATCCTAAAGTTTTACTTTTATTATACAGTTTTGTATCTTATAATATTCAAAAGAGATTTTGAAATCGAGAGTTCATTTGACATGTGTCTATATTATAAAAATTTCATACATGTAGGCTTGTAGAAATAAGAAGAAAAGATTGTATTGTGTTTTACTTACTGTTGCACGCATTTCATGTCACGTCGTAATAAAACAGAGCCGTGCGTGATTGTCTAAGCCTTTCTCAGCTAAAATTTTCGAGTAGGAAAATGGTCGGTTATAGTTTTCTGTACGAGCCATATACGTTTCTAACATACATGTGTTTTATTTAGTTTGAATAATCTGTATAATTTCAAAGGTCGTGTTTTAATATTCCTCTTTCTTTCTCTTTTTTAATGCAAATATTTGCGCTGAATTTGCTTACGCATGTTTTACGCACGAAGTTGCATCCACCGCGTCCTATATTAGACAAAAAGTTATTCTTTTAATCGATGAGAGATAAGATCAATTTGACCAACTCGGATTAAATTAATCTCGCACTGGTCAATTTCGCGAGTTATAACTAACCAATTAAATCAATCAGAATTGGTTCACAACACTTGTTCTCTACAAGATGTGTGCAAAATAGCAACAACTGTCAAAATAGAAAAGTGAAATTGTCTTTCACGATGGTATAATCAGGTATAATTAAATTAGCATATCTTACACATAGCATATCTTAATATTAGCTTATTAACTGTGCGAGGTCACATTATATAGCAATTTACGAGAAAAAAGTCATGTTACACGCATAGCAAGAAATGGTAATTTTATTGTCAATTTCAATTGCTTCGCTTGGACGCGGTGTTAAAATTCTGATGGCTAAGTTTACACGTAATTATGTTGTGGCAACTTGGAGCTGTACAACGCGTCTGAATGTATATACTAAATGTGTGTATTTTTATTATTACCAACAATCTTTACAAGAAAACCGAACCAATAAAATAGAGATGCGAGTGTGATAGAAAAATTTATCATAGCTGCGTCAATAGCACCTAAATTAAAATGATCATATCTGATTTCGTTAATAATGCTCAAAAACTCGGAAAAACACTAGCTTTATGAATAAAGAATTGATCAAAAACTGGTTTAAAAAGTGTAAACAACAGAACAGTAAATCTTTTAGACCATATACGTTTAAGATCATATTAATTGGTGATTTATGTAAAAAGAGATCAAATTAAAGTAGAATATAATACAGTATGTTTTTCTTGAAAATAAATATTTTTCGTTAGTTGTTCTTTCTCTGATACTTATTGTTCTAATTTATATGCTACAGTGTTTCTGTGTGGAATAACGGCACTCTCTCTCTCTACATGCGATTACAGAAAAAATCAATTATCCAAGTAATATCCGGAATTTCCAGAAGATGTTTATGCTAATTTCCGTGTCTAGCAGTCGCTATTACGTAAAAACGTAAATACCCATGTTTATCAAGGTCAGCTCAAAAAAAAAAGAACAAACTCGCTTTCTTTTTTCTCTCTTCTTTGTTAAATATACATAATATTTAACAAAGTTTTCTTAAAATGTAGATACATATCTCTATATAAGCATAATATTATTTAATATCAAGTAATATTCTGAGCGCAGTCTTGAAATATTAAAACAAATTAACAATGAAAATAAGACACACAATCGGAATATTAAATATAACAAAACTACGCTAAGAATATTATTTGCTTATACAGACTTTTTTATACTTCTTTTGCTTTTTATAAAACCATGCCGTTTTGAAAAAAAAAAAAAAAACTGTATAATATATACAAAGAAAAATCAGTTTTAACTCCAAAGTATTTCATAATATTAGTTATAAAATTCCAGATACACAAAATATATATTTTTTTTCAATATATACGTATGAAAAAATATGCAAGAATCTTTCGTGTCAATGAAGTTTGAAAGTAAAGTGGACAACGCCGTAAAAAATAAAGCAGACTCCTCTGTGTTCGGCAATTCGATTTCAAATTCAAAATTCTTGTCGAGTCACTAGGTAAGTTCAATGTCAGCATGTTAAAAGAAACGAGTCTTCGCATTATAATTCGGTGTAAAAGAAAGAAAAAATAACTAGTCTTTCAGAGAGATATTCAGATGAAGGAGACAAGGATATAACATCTTTGCGAGGAATTTGACAAAAGTTTCCGGTGGTAGGGTGGACTTGTCCCATCCTATAAAAGTCTTTGGATCTTTTGCTTCGAGAAAAGTAAGTCTTCATCAGTCAACGTGATCTAAGGCAAGGTACGTGTTAGGCTTGTTCGTGCCATGCAAAATAACATAGAAGCGAAACTTGTAGAGAGACTGGCTTGATATAGAAAAGTTGTGACAATTTGAAGTTATTTTAGATTTTATCTCTCACTGTTAAATTATATAATTTAAAAAAAGTTTTCTTTTTGTATATACTTCATCTGGAAATAAATAAGTAAATAATATACCGGTATAGCTATTACACATGCTGCTTTTTTAGCGACAAATTGTATGTTTTTGACCGATTTTGTTATCACACACAGGGAATATATAAAATACGAGTGTGTAAAAAACATCCTTCTAAATACTATGAAAAGAAAACTAGAAAAAGCTACAATAATCATAAATTGAAAACATTATTTATAAAAAAAAAACTAATACAAAATTGAAGTTATTTTATGATCCATTTTAATAAATCTCTTTTAACATTTTATATCTGTTATTTTTTCCTCTTTTCAGATGAGGTGCATTATAGTGCTGGCTGCTTTATTAGCTGTGATTTATGCTCGAACGACCGTGCCTAACGAAGAGGCCGTGCCGCAAAAGGTGCTAATAACTTCTATAGCATCGCCGGAAGATAGCACATCCTCTGAATCGAACGAAGTAGCTGAGGCACAGACACGCACCAAGAGAGCGCCAATCATAGGAAAGGCACTCTTAGGCGGAGCTCTTTTAGGTGCCGGAGCATTGGGCATCGGAGCATTGGGCGCCGGTGCTCTGGGCGCCGGTGCTCTGGGTGCCGGACTCGCCGGTGCTGGATTGTACAAGGCTAAATAGTAAGCTATATTTATATATATTACACAATATTAAAAGCTTAAATGGTATTCTAATTTTGATAACACTCCGATCAAATTTTGTTGTATCAAAAGTTATTTGTCAAAAGAGATATCAAGAGATTGAACTCTGTTAAATGTATCTCGATAAAATGTAATTTTTTTTTTAATTTGTTCTGACTCCTATTGGCCTAATTTCTTCATTATCTATATTGATTTTTTTTTTTAGTTATGGCGGCGGATACGGATATGGATATGGATATTCCCACTATCATGATAGCTATCCCTATCATTATCACACTCATTACCATAATCATCCCTCTTACCATTATTCTTATCCTCATTATCATTATCACAGCTATGGACCGACTTATGGCTATTGGTAAATTGATTTATCTTCATGAATGGCGTGCTATATATGAGTAAGTTTTATATATAAACTAATATGTAAGCCGCACACATATATGTTTCAAATATTTGCAATTCCTGATTGTATAATATATAAAATTATTATCTTAAAAATATAATTTTGATAACTTTGAAATCAATTTATAATAATCAACCAACGTACTCTATCTTTGTAGATTTCATTGATGGAAATGGAAGTACTTGCTGTGCATGTACTTTATTGACGCGTCTTTATTTATTTACGACAAAAGCTACCTCTCCTATATACAATGTATGCTTGTATAATGCTATAGTATGTACAATGTTGCACACTAATATTTACTTATTGTAAATTGTTTTATATGTTTATAATGCGATAATAAAAAAACAAAAATTACTATAATTGTCATGTGTTAAATATTTTAAAGCACAGTAAAATCTTTAAATAAAGTTACTTATATAAACCTACATAATTATAACTTGTCATTATACCTCACTTTTATTTCTTATGAATTAATGGCGTATTTTGATATAAAACAATTATATATACATATGATAAAAAATTTTACATGTATACATGTATATACATACACTTAAAAATCTAATATGTCTAATTTTGCTAATCTATACTGTCGTGTTTGAGTATTTCTTACAAGGACAATATTGGATTTCTTATTACTTATTGCAAACAATGAGGGCAAAGTAACATATCCGATGCCAATACCTTTTGCTCGGCTGAATGAAAAATGACCTTCAGTCAGATATCCCATGATCTCTCTATCACAAGAATAGCGAACTTCTTTACATTCCGGAAGAAATAATTTTGACATTTTTTCCAAGTAGTCCGATATAATTTTGCGATGTTGCGACAAGCTATTGAAGTGGTCACATTTGTCTAATTTGCCCCCCCCACCAGATTCTTTCAATGATTTTAATAAATCGTTTTCTATCGCTTTCAGTAAATTGTTTCCTAACGCTCTCTTTTGTCGAACTCTCTGCCGTCTTAATCGCTTCAACAGCGTCAAATGGTTCTTCCGCAAAATTTTACGAGATTTCTCATTTGGATCGACATGATGTTTTTCTACAGGACCGGTCCACTTCTTGTCGTTTTCAAATGTTTTCAAATCTTCAGCCGTTGGCACGCATATGATCGCGAATTTCTTTGGCAATCCCCTTCCTATCATCGATACATAAACGCATATCAAACAGTTTTTATATTTCTCTATATCTTGAAAATCAAATTGTATTTTTTGAACCAACTGGGAGTTTTTATTTTTGGTATACGGACAAATACTTGCTCGCAAATGTAGTAAGAGTTCACGATTTCTTAAAACGTAAAAGTTCTCAGCACCTGACCACTCTCTCGTCAAAATTTTCCAGTCGCAGGAGAACGGACTGCTAATTCCGAATTTAGTATAATTAACCCTTCTATTAGGCGGATAACAAAAATATTTTTTAGTTAATTCCTCTTTTGTATTTGATGCTTCTCTCATGTAAGCAGGACTATCGGGATCATTGACATCGGGTGTGTTTCGCTTCAAAGTTTCGAAGGCTATCGATCTTGATTCTCGAAGCGCTCCTACTCTCGCGCATCGCAATATAAGCGCAAGCCAAAACGGCATTGCCCATCCCGATGGAATAATAACGTCTATACTAGAACCTAAACCTGTTAACACAAATATCAATATATTTTTATAAATTAAAAAACAAATACAACAAAATTATACATATATACATATACACCTGTAATATTTCCAGGCTTTTGAATAAGAAGAATAGGTATTTTTGCCATAATATCTTCACTGAGATACTTGTCGTTTGATACTCCAGGCACAATGCACTCACTTCTGAAGTTGTTAATTGTGCTTGTAGATACGCAAGAATTACTCACAACACGACGTATTTCCACATCCCAAATAGGAGAACAGTTTGAATTATTTGGTGATTGAGTGAGTAAAGTTAATTGAGAAAATTCTGTACACTTTGTTCTTTTTATGGGTAAGTAAAAGCGTGGATCCAAAACAGTCAATCCAATAATTATATTTGATGGTAAGCAATTTGGTGATTCTGAAGACTCCATTATTTGCCACAACTGTTTTTGTGCTTTAAAAGCTTCCATATTTGTTTTATTTTTGTAGTATTTAATATGCCATGTTTTTTCCTTAACTTCTTGTATACTTGAATATTTCGATATTACAGTGTTCTCTTCATTCTTTTTATCAATTTCCATCTTTTCTGTAGATTCTAGAACATTCTTCCTTAACAATTTACATGTGTCAGGTGTTTTATCATTTAACAAGCTCTGGGTCTGTTCTTGTTGTCCTGTAGTATCCATTTCTGACAAAAAATCTGATTCAATCAAGGATGGTAATCGTAACGCTTGTGTCAGCACATTTAACGTCAATGGCCCATGAAGTCTAAATCGGTTTAATGCATTTCTCAATATATTCATCTTACAGCCTGCATCATTTACATATGTATTATGTAAATTAGGTGTAATGCGAGTTGTATCGTTTATATATATATTATTATCTTCTATAAAATTAAAGCTCGATATAATTTCATTGAAAACATCATCATAGAAAGCAGGGTGTATCCAGATCCAAATAGTTCTAATATCCGACTTCTTTGGTCTCCAGAAAAAATCCACATTTCCAATAGGAGAATGTGGATACCCATTCTTTTTGAAGAACATTAAAGTGCCTTCTTTATGACCTGTAGTGTACTTTTTTGCTGCAAAAGTTAATGCGGACGGATCGCAATGTGTCTTTAAAGTAGTCTTTAACAAACTTTCCTCTCCTTTTATTTCAATACAAGTATAGTAAGAAATATCCTGTAATAAGCAATGCTTTTCGACAGCTCGGTAATTAGCTCTGAAACATTTGTCGTTTGAATAGCTCGCAATTCTATATCCCCATTTGTCGATCAAGTGAAAGCGTTTTGCATGCCAAATATGAGTTTCCAGCCAGACTTTATTACGCTGTCTACGTCCGTATTCAGAAAGTAACATGTGCGGTCTTCTCCGATATTTTCGAGATGGTCGCTTGTTCACCGAGATTATATTTTTGCCTTTTGCAGACTTTGCCATTTGCGCCAAATGCGCTTCTCGTAATCTACGTGGTAATCTTTTGACATTATGAGACATAACACGTCTGCGCATATATACAGGAAGTTTTTGAAATATCAATTTGGTTTGCTTGGGATTCTCTGTGTAAATAATTAAAATATAAAATATACCAATAAAAATACATATTTATAAAACATATTTTTTTAAAGACACATACCTAGTGAACTTGTCATCGCAGAAATTTCGCGGGCTCGCGCCGATACAAATTGCATAATAGGCACATCATGTGGAAGCGATTCCGATCCTCCCAAAAAAGCGTCAAATTGCTTTTTCTCCATTATATTATTTATTTTTGGTCAATATATTCCGCCCCGTATAACACAGTTACACAATTCGTACAGTTTAATTACCTACGTGTATGGTTTTGCTTTAGCTTTTTAATAACTCCCAAGCTTTAGCAACATTATATCCATACACCAGCTCGCTTATTCACCCACGTGTATCGGATAGAGAGCTTCTCAGAGGTTTGCTCTTTTTTCAGTCTTCCAGGGGGTCGATTCTGTATCCATGCGATGATGTAGTGAAAATTGCAAAAGCGAGCTAATTTACTAGGTGCTGACCAATAAGATCATAGATATTTTAGTGAATTCGCTCACTTTTGTCATTTTCACTACACTGCGTGATACAGAATCGACCCCCAGTTAAGCAAGAGGGAACGAACAAACGCAGGGCTGTGTCCAGTTAAGCAAGAGGGAACGAACAAACGGAGGAAATGCGGGAAATACAGGAATTGAAATGCAAGAATAGCAAGAATTGAAAGGAGTGGAGAAAATGCAAAAGAAGAAATGAGAAGGTGGCTCCCTGATCTGTTGCGGAGCATGCGCAGTATAGCAGACAGTTGTCTTCACTTTCTCAACTTCTTTCAATTTCTGTATTTCCTGCATTTCCTGCGTTCGTTCTCTCTTGCTTAACTGGACATAGCCTCGGCTATGTCGATTCCGCATAAAAATATGTTTTTGCGGAACGAAAAGTGCAGAATCAGCGGAATCAAGCCACGACCAATCACAAACATTCCGACAGTTCCGCATTATGCACATTGCGCACCATCTGACATTTCCCTCACTCGCTTTGTGCACTTCTTTTAAAAAAAAGTCTTCCCACTTTACAGCCATTGGTTGTCAGCAGAACGTTAGTATACTGGGTTCAAATTGAGAAAAGAAACCGGATGAACGAAAACTTGCCTGTTTCGCGCACTTTCTCTACTAAAAAGTCTCCTTACTCCACAGCCATTGGCTGTCAACAAGTATTCCATCAATCCCCCAGGCTGTGTTCAGTTAAGCAAGATGGAACGAACTAATGGAGGAAATGCAGGAAATACAGGAATTCATTAGTTCCAATTCCTGTATTTCCTGCATTTCCTCCATTAGTTCGTTCCATCTTGCTTAACTGAACACAGCCCCATGCAACGCTATCCTACTTTCCCTGCTTTTCTTTCCCTATGAGCAGTAAAATTCTCTTCTCAAATTGAACGCAGTATACGTATTTATCTTCCAACTTTTACGGCAGCGGCCTAAGTTAGCGGTTAGGGCAATTATCCTTACTATCTTTATTGTAGACGAGATCTAACACAATCCATGAAATTATGTTCTTTGAATCTCACTTTGTCATTGTACAATCGAGAATTGAAAACTTTTTTGACAATCTTCGGACATTTTTGTTTTGTATATAATTCCTGGAATTTATATACACGTACATGTTTTAATTGAAAGCTTCCAAGTCTATGATACTAACTTCACGAGTGGTACGTATGTGCATAAAATAATATATATGTAGCCGAGTTATATAGTTACATTTGTAAACTGTAAAGTGTGTGTTTGGATACATTGCACCTTTTAATGATGGCGAATCTGCGCGTATAGTTTTGCAGTGATGACAGTGACTGTGTGTTTTATCGGATGATCGAGAGTGATGACAACAGTGTGCACGCGAGCGAACTTGGCCTTCTTCCACGTTACATTTATGATCGTTTAATTGTCGCAAATAAACAAGAATGGGTGTTGGCCTAAAACCATTGGAGTTTACGGATTGTTTAACCGACAGTCCGTACTTCCGTGAAAATCTTCACTATCACGAGCGCGAATTAGAAAAGACCAGTCAGCAAATAAAGCGACTTATTAAAGAGATCAAAGATTTACTAACAGCTGCTAAAAGTAAGTTTTTTTTTTTAATATGTCAGATCTGTCGTTCGAACCATAGAAAAAACGCGAATTACAACAGCTGTTGTGCTTTTTTTTTTTTAATCTTATTTCTCAATTAGTTCGGTCAGTAGACAAGATATTCTCTGACAACACAGAGAAAATTTGTGCAAGGAGAGACATTTTGTTTATTAGGTTATTTTTTTTTTTTCATACCTCAGATATTGTCATACATACTTTTTAACAAAACTTAGTAACAAAATTTTTTTTTTTTTTTTATAGTATAACATGTAGTATATAGTCTTTTATTTTATTGGAATATAGCAAAATAATGTAAATATTTCTCTAGACTTGTCCAGGGCTCAAAGAACCTTTTCCAAAACATTACAAAACTTCAGCTTTGAATGCATTGGAGAGAGCCAGACTGAGGATGAAACTCACATATCTCAAAGTCTAAAGTATTTTGGCAAACTTATTGCATCCATAGAAGATGAAAGAGATCGTATGGTATATAAGATTACAAATATGTATATATTTGTTAATGTGTATGTTCTTTATAGAGTTTTCTTCTTATTTTCATTGGTTTTCTTTTAGCTAGAGCAAGCATATAATCAGATTATATTACCTTTGGAAAATTTTAGGAAAGAACATATTGGTGGAGTTAAGGTATTACTTTTTTTTTAATTAAATAAAATTTGAATTTAATTAAATGATATAATATCTCTTAATAATATGATTTAGTTTTTAATAATATAATGATATATATTTTACTTGTTAGGATGGCAAAAAAAAATTTGAGAAACAAACAATTAAATTTTGTCAGAGCCAAGAACGCTACTTAAATTTATCCATTAAGAAACAAGACAATGTTTTGCAAGAGGTATGCCTGGTAACTCACATAAAATTAGAAATTAGTGTTATTAAATAGTTGATATCTGTATGTGCATGTGTAGGCAGATGCAACGTTGGAAATGGCTGAAAGACACTTTTCTCAAGCTAGTTTAGAATATGTATTCTTATTGCAAGAGGTTCAAGAACGGAAAAAATTTGAATTTGTTGAAACGGTAATACAGTAAAGTATTTAATTATATAACTTTTATTATATGCACACGTAGAGGAAACATGTTAAAATTATAGTGGAATACAATGTACAATGTTCTAGTTATTGGGATTTATGTTTGGATGGCTGACGTTCTATCATCAGGGTCACGAAGTTGCAAAAGATTTTAAACCTTATATGACAGAGCTACAATTAAAAATTCAGAAGGTTGGTAATTTAAAATTTTTGTCTAATCAATTATTTTCTAACTGCACATAAACATTGAATACTGTTGAAAATAAATATATTTTTATCTTATTAGAGTATATGTATTACAAGTTAATATATTTTTGTGCAACAGTTTTAATTATAATAATATAATGTTACTTTCTTTTTAATCACATGTTATATAATTGTGTGTTGAAATGCAAGAAATTCTTGTCAAGCACCACTAACATATAAATACATTTATATACATATATACATACACGCGCACACGGTGTGTGTATGAATGTGTATATAAATATATATATGTATCTGTTCTATAGTATTTCTAATATTATTAGATTTCTTTCCCTTTCTAGCTTGAGCTAGCCAATATCGCACGTTTCAAGAAATAAATTAACAACTTATAAAATCTTTAATTACTTGGAAATTTAGTTTTGGTAGAGAATTCAAGAATGAAAAAGTTTTGCTATTAAAACAAGTCTAACTTGTGTATAGGTAAACTATACATATATATATTGTAACGGTAATTATAACAAAATGTTAATAAATTATCAATAACTTTCTTGTCTCGGAATCGGAGATCCCATTCAATTTCAATGAGTCGTAACTCACATAAAAATATCAAACGTAACAATTCGCGACTAAATTATACAGTGTGGTGTAAATATCACGATAGAATTCATAACTGCATGTATAAGAGCTTACTAATTGCAATTTTTATTTGTGTGTGCGTGTGTTTCGCAAGACTAGAGAGAATTTCCTTGCTACCCGGGATAAAACTGAATCACTTATGAATAAGATGAAGGACATGAAGAAGGTATGTGTTTTATAGAAAATTTTGCATTCTTATTTTGTATTCTTTTCTTTTTGATTGCTCAGTAAAACGTATTCACATAAAAGTAGACTTTCAATATTTTATTGTTACATGAATGTTACGTTATCATATTAGAGTGCAATAGAAAGAAAGAAATTTAGGAATAATTTATTTTTTCTGAAAATCTGCAAAATTATGTGTACTTTACACTGCCTTTACTGTGTTTATTGCGTAAAGTATATCTTTTATTCACTTTTATTACTGTCTTTCTTCTCTTAGTCCGCTGTAGAAAGTGGTCTGAACAAACTGCATTCGCGCGAAGGTTATCTATTTCTAATGGAAAAAAGTAAGTTTCTTTTATCTGTAAGAAGACAGTTTTTAGATAAAAATTTGATTATATCTTCAAATATAATTCTGATGTAAATTTTGTTACGCTATTATTATAAATATATAGCTGATTATATGCAATGCTAAAAACAACATTGTATTTGCAGAAGCGTTTGGTACAACATGGACAAAACAGTATTGCACATATCAGAAGGACAAGAAAGAATTTACTATGATCCCTTACAATCAACTCACCGGAAAATTTGTAAGTGAATGCTAATTATTAGTAATATATACAATATGCAGATATATGTATAGAATAATCTACACATATTTTGTTTTTTTTTTTTTTTTATTGACAGAGTAGCAAAGAAACTTTCACATTAGCATCTTGTATACGAAGAACATCAGACACTATTGAAAAAAGATTTTGTTTCGATATTACTGCCGTTGATAAGTAAGTGTGCGTGTGTGTGTGTGTGTGCGTAAGTAATTATTTATTATATTTTATTATAAAAGAGCAAAAATAGAAAAAATCTACATTATTTTTTCAGGCCTAATATAACTTATACATTCCAAGCGTTATCTGAAGAGGATAGAAAATTGTGGATGGATGCCATGGATGGAAAAGAACCTGTAAATATTCATTCTAATACTTCTTATTTTTTAAATAATATCTCTCATTTTATATTACTCTAATAATATTAGTTGTATTATTATTATATTTATGTCATTAATTGTACGTATTATAATAATATTATTATTGGGATATTTTTCAGGCTTGCCAACGATTAGGTTCTTCTGCAAAACCTGAAGATACAGTATTAGATGAAACTGGTTTTGCATTCATATCCAAGTGTATCGCAGCGCTTGAAAATAGAGGTATAATGAATACAATTTAGGTTTTTTTTTTTTTTTTAATATATTACGTTACAAATGTATTAGGTACCTAATGATAATCGGTTTGACAGGACTCGAAGAACAGGGTCTGTACAGAGTGGTCGGTGTTGCCTCGAAAGTGAACAAACTTTTAACAATGGGACTCGATAAGAGGAAAATAGATAAAATCAATCTGAACGATCGTTTTGAATGGGAGAGTAAAACTATTACTAGTGCACTCAAGACTTATCTAAGAACATTGTCCGAGCCGCTGATGACATTCCGATATTACAACAGCTTCATTACAGCTGCGAGTGCGTATAGGTATTTTTGAAATATAAATATTGGTTTATTTTTGCTATATATTGTATAATCAAAAACTAGAAAAAAAAATTTTGATTAATAGTTTCTTATTGTTCTTAGAATTATCAGTTTTTATTTGTTTTTTCTCTTTGATGGATTTTTACTTTTAAATTTTTTCTATATAAGTAAGATTTTCTTATGGCATTTAACAGAACAGGAAACGAAAGAAACTCGAATAAATGATGTACATAGTCTCGTTTATCGATTGCCTAAAGCAAACTTTAACATGCTGATCCTTCTCATCAATCATCTTTGCAAGTAAGAAATACATTTATTATTATTTATTTATCTCTAAATTTAGTATTTTTTTTCTCACATTATATCACATATTTGTCTAACATTCACAGAATGTATGTATTGAAAACGAAATTTTTTAGTGTGGCAAAGAAAAGTGAAAAAAATTTAATGACCGTGGGAAACTTGGCAGTGTGTTTCGGTCCGACTCTATTACGACCGGAAGAGGAAACGGTAGCATCTATAATGGATATTAAATTTTATAATATCGTTGTGGAAATATTGATCGAGAATTGTGAAAGAATAGTATCTGGACCGCCTCAAGATTCTTTACGCACAACAGCAACGCAACAGCCCGCCGCTGTTGTATCAAGTAAATCGCAATGCGTTAAAGTAGAAGAAAGTTCGACTTCCTCGGGTAATGGCACCGCATTTTTAAGATATCCACTGCACACCGCGGTCACAGTCACGCCTACATCTTCGCATTCACATGTGAGTTGATCGTAATAGGATCCACTTGATCTTGGTTTTCTTCAATCGTTAATTTTTTTAATAACGTTTATGTATGTAGCTTGTTACGAGATCCTATTACGACGGTCAGCCGTTAACGGTCATTAACAAATCGTCTGTTGCCGATGAAAGAAATAACGGAGATTACGAAGATCTAGACAGCACGAGTCATCGTATACCATCGTACCTGGACGGCCGTAGCGGTAGCACCGGCAGCACCAGTCGTATAAAACTAACCAATATGAACCTCATATATCATTCAGCCGAAAAAGGTTTTGTTATACATTCTCTTTTCTTTCATATCTTTATTTACTTCGCACACCGAGATCTGTTTTTGTAAATGAAAAATTTTTACTGCTGTCTCAGTTCTTAGTGGTGGAAATACAAGTAGTTCGAGCGAGTCGATTGCGTCGGATCCTCATCCGTTTACCAGCGAATTACCAGTGAAACAGAAGCGTGGTACCATGATGTCTGTGCACTATCCCACGGCTTACTCTCAGCGCAGTAGCTCGTCATCAATTTGTCCGTAAGTTATTTTATTTTTTTGTTTAAAAAAGAAAGCATTGTTATACTTTATTCCAAGTAGTGCTTTGTGTTGCTTGTGACCGTTTACATAATTACAGTGTTAACACTTCGCCTAGTAGTGGTCGTTCAAGTCCGGGTCAAATACCGGGTATTTGGTAAGTGCTTTATGTCTGTATGTACAGAGATTCTTGGCAATTGAGATTTGAAGTTTGCATGATTCTCAGGAGAGTACGGACTTTGTACGCATGCATGGCGGAGAGCGAAGGAGAATTGTCATTCGAGCCAAATCAAATTATCACAAATGGTAAGAACGATAAGAGGACATTGAATACTTTTTTAAAAAAAAGATAAGTAAAAAAGAGTAACAAAATAATGTTAATTGCAGTTAAAGCCTCTTTGGAACCGGGTTGGCTAGAAGGTACGTTGAACGGCAAGACGGGTTTGGTCCCGAAGAATTATGTCGAGCAGCTACCTTAAAAGAACCAAAGAGTATCAGAAAATTTAGGCAATTCTGTGTCGTTAGTGCAATGGTTTTGGATATATTTCGATATTTTTGTTATCGTAAAAGAAACGAGACTCATGTGTGAAACAAAACTATGCAGTGCGACACACGTAAACACTTGCGTTGCAAACTTCCGTACCGGAATTTCTTCGGCTGCACACTATTTAGTCAATTATAATTTTACATAAAGTATTATTTATTAGAAGCCATTTTGCTGTGTATCTATAAAACTGTATATATATAATCACACTTGTAGGAAAAGTGACATATGTTCATAGTAGAAAAAAATCATATAGATTTAATATATCTGATGCATTTCAATACATTTATATTAAATGATACTCCCAATTTATATGTACACAAGGATATTTTATGTGGAGCTTTTTTCTGTATGAGATTTTAAAGGCAATAACTATCTGCGAGTGTTTATATATATATATATATATATATATGTACACACATATATATACACACAAACATATATATATATATTATATATTATTGTATTATAATAAAATATATATACAGAATAATGTGGAAAATCAAATATTATCGAAAAATCTCAAAAGCCTCTTACTGTTAAATACGTATAAGTTCTTATTTATATAAATGTTGCACTTTGGCATAAATGTAGAAATACAAAATCAATATAAAGCTAAATAACGATAATGTGCACATTACGGTTTAACTTCGAAGACTGAAGGAGAAGCTTTTTACTTGGTCATATTGTGCTCCCAGAGTTATATAAATATATGAACAGATATTTATACATCTGAGATGTCACTGACTGATATAAAATGATATGCATAATTATATATTAGCTTTGTTTTATTTTTCCTGCACTGGCTGTACTAGTTCACAGTCTATCTTTTTTTCTCTATTAGAAGAACAAAGATAGACTGTGAACTAGTGCAGCCTGTGCAGGGAAAAAAACAAACCTATTATAGGTATATATTATTTGGTCAATCTCGGGATGCGTTCGCTTTAAGCGCTTAAAAGCAGTGCTCATGTCGTTCACTTCGGCGTTATAAGCGTTCATGAAGAGTAAACTGACATCATTGATTACGTCATATCTCTCGTTTACCATCGCTTAGGGTGCACTCGCTTTAGGAGCTTACGCGCTTTGAGCGTCAGTCTATCTTTGTTCTATATTTAAACAACAATAAAGACAGACTGACGTTTAAAGCGTCCAAAGCGAACGCACCCTTATTCTATCGAGGTAAGACATTTAAAGCGTGAGCGCTTTGTTTCGAAAGAAACGCTCTTAGCTATTACTAGAGAGAAGCCTTGAGAGTAGTCACTCGATTGTTCTCAATCTTGTCACATGTGCTCACATTCACATCGCTCACATCGCCAAAACGAACAATTTATGTAAGCGCTAGTGAGTATTCAAACGCCAAAGAGACCAAGTGCACAAAGCGCTTAAGGTAGTTATCGCGTAGAATCGATTTCTTGCCAACTCTTCCAAATTTGAACTATGTATTAAGCAAAAGGCTTTGTAAGCGTTCGTGAAATTTCTAAATGTTTGACTGTCTCTCTCTCTCTTTCAAAGTTGAGATAATTGCAAATATAAATGACGCTTTTCACATGTGTTATATGCGTAAACTCAATGAAAAAGGCATATTTAAAACTCTAGTTGTCAAAATAAAGCCGCGGAAAGATTGTAATATTTCTTGACAAGGTATAGTTAGACAGGTAATAGCAGCATCAATATCGCTTCACGCATAACATACTTAGATCTTGACACACAACTTTTTTTGTGGTTTTTTTGCCTCTATCATACTCAAAATTGTTTTTAAGCATTTTTTTTTTTAGTATCTGTATTAAAATTTGAAGTCATCTTAGTAGTTTTGTTTGACAGCTAAGCAAACTGACAAATTTGGTCAGATGTGCGTGAAGTTGTCAAATTGCCGTTTGATGTAAAGCGTGGGCAATCGTTGCTAAAAAATTTACTGCATTGGCAAAAAAAGTAAAATTGTTTAAAGAGCTTTTGAGTATAATAAAACTACTTATTTATTTCTATACTAACATGTTGATAAAAAAAATCGAATCGAAATATTTGTACATGTAAATCGAGTTCTGAGAATATTTTCAGTAGTGTAAAATTTACCTTTTGAATGAGACTGACGCGCGATAACTACCTTAAAACAAGGAAACGCCCAAACCGAATGCGCCCTCGGTAATATTGTCTTAGCGAATGTATATATTTTTAAACACTCGCTTAAAATTGTTACATTCTTTCATCAATAATGAATAACTTGGATACCAGCTTTACTGTGTTCCATAAAAAGCTTAGGCCTTGATATTTAGATTTATTAATTTATTTTCTGAGTTTTCTTTCTTATTTGCTTCAATCTCGCGATAAATAAGTGTAAAAATATAAACTTGTAGCTATAATATCACTTTTTAAAATTTGATACGTATACTCCGCAGACTGACTCTAATTCAAACCAAATATTTAAATCATTCTATTTAACTTAACAAATAAGCTTTGTATTTTTTTCTGAGCATAAATTTTTTTTTTTTTTTTTTTAATTTTGAGCTGTGTTAGATTTAATTAATTTAGTTTAACTTTTTTCAGTTTCTAATCATGTTGTCATTCAGTTTTGCCATGAAAATTTCTATTGCTGAATATCCTGCTTTTAAAGCATTTTTTTCCACGCTGTTCCATATCGTACTCATGAATAGAGTGTAACACAAAATTGCTGTTAATAGGATACGTGCTATGTTCAAACCGATGTCTATTCCTATCGAGGTACCTATGTAATAATTTAGCCCAATAGACCAAACCAACGGAATGAGCAGTATGCAACTCCACAATAAGTACCAACAACGTTGTCGCTGCAATCGTTTCAACGCGACCTCACAAATTTCAAGTGCTTCTTTCATAGAATTCGTTATATCTAGAACGTTTGTGCCATGATCATCTGCAAACAAATAAATAAATTTTTATTGCAATTGAAACAGCACAGAGAAAAAAGTAAAATTATATTAAAAAATGTATGTAAAAATATATGTATTAAAGACAACTTACTCTTTCCAAATTTAAGAGTAGCCATTACACCTTCGTGATCTGAATAGCTAAAGTTTTTGTATGGCACGCGATTTGGCAAGGGATGCTCGAAGTTCATGACATCAACCTGATGAATCGAGTTGTTTATAATATGTATGACAATTTTAAGTGATTGTCGTCAAAGTGAAATTCTCACCTTAACATTTTTCGAACCCACGTATAAAATATGATCTATACGCTTTCCCTCTGGTTTTGTTCGAGCAAGCTGTGAGCTGGTGTAACTATTGTTGGCACATTCATTGGTCCCTATATGACTCTGGCTGTTCGGGCACGCGTCTGTTAAACCAGCAACACCTCGTATAATCCTATATGCTAAATCTCCAGGTTCGGTATTGAGATCACCAACTAATATCACAGCATCAGTGCCACCACTTGTCATTCTTACAAATTGAGCAGTATCAAATGCTTGAAGCACTCTGTGAGCTATGTATTCATCATTCTCTCGATTATATTCCGCATGCAGCTGCAAAGTAATAAATCAAATTAATTTAAAAATTCATTCTTTAAAAGTCACCACAAACTGTAAAACACAGTATATATCACATAAATAGACGCTGTACTTTGTGTTACATGTAATAAAATATCACCAAAATAATAATCTGAAACAGTGCATTAAATAAACGTACATGTGCAACATAAATATTAATATTCATTTTGCGAATATTAATTTTACAAAGCCCAACACCTTTGCCACCAAACCAATCTGCATGTTGAATCTTATGAACGTAACCATTCAAGGGCCACTTGTGGAACATAACATCATGAATAGGATACCGTGATAAAATGCATATTCCCGATCCAAAAACACCACTAAAAAGAAAACTGCAATCTGTTAGTAAATAATCACAATTATCTGATAAGTTTTTTTTCACACAACAATATACCTGAAAAAGTAATGGAAATAAGGAAGCACTTCTTGTACTTTCGCTTTTATCATATTGAAATCATCAAAGGACCAAACTTCTTGCAAACAAATTATATCATAATCACTGCTAGCACACTTGTCCGCAATAGCATGCATACGTGCTGTTTTATTTTTTGAAACATATGGTATACCCCTGAAAAAGTAACAGAAGCACTAACATTCTAGTCATCTGGAAATGTGCAAATCTTTGCTAAAAAAAAAAAACAACAAAAAACTTGCAAAATATTTCTAGCCTACTTACCAACAATTTAATGTCAGAATATTCATCGATATTTCATTCGCCATCGTATCTTTTTTGAGCGTATTGTCCCTATTATTAGAGAACATCACACAGTGAGTTTAATTCTAAGAAGACATTTCATAGTTCAGCCGGTAATTTTGTCATTTGACATGGCAGCAGATAGAAAATATCAATAAGGAGTATAAAGGACATACAATTAGCAAACAAATCAAATTTATTTTTTCAATATTTTTATACTTTTTTTGACGTCGTGTGTTATCAGCAAAAAAAATATTGATAAAATCTTATTGGTACGTTAATAAATTTTTTGTTAATATACATACATCATGTTTACTGCTTCTGTCACTTGTTATGGCTCGTAACTGACATAACGAGCGACAGTGATACGTCGAAGAACTTATCGTCAACTATCAAACAAAACAGAACGTAGAGCATGCGCAATACGCACATTTGCAGAAATATGATTACCATATGAAAGTTAGAGAGCGTAAGAGCTAGGCTATGTCTAGTTAAGCAAGAGGGAACGAAGGAAATGCAGGAAAAACAAACAAACCACAGGCATAAAGATGGTTGAGAAAGTAACCTATGTATAATTGTCTCTTTTCCTCGTCATCTTCGCAAGTTACTTTGATAGACCGCACTATCTTCCGCCACAATGAGCGCTTCCTTGTTCGATTCCATTTCAACTTTCAATTTGGTCATTTTTAGTAATGACCTCAACTTCAATGGCTAATACCCGACCACAACCAATTCAAAATTGAATCAACACTGTTTACAGTTACTGCGCATGCGCCGCCTTCTCTTTTTTTCTTTTCCACTTTCTCGACTTCCTTCAATTCCTCCATTTCCTGTGTTTGTTCGTTCCCCTTTGCTTAACTGGACACAGCCTTGAGTTTCTTGATCTCGATTATTGAACAATTTGCGTATAATAAAGTCTATAGAGTATGTGCTCATTAACAGTAGAGTTTCGTGTACGAAAGTTTTTTTGAAGAATTAAGGCCCTGTACGTAACCAGTTGGTGCATCCAGATGCACGACCGCTCAATGAGCGGCTAAGTAGCAATCGACTGTGATTGGTTTAGATTAAAATAAGAGCCAATCACAGTCGATTGCTACTTAGCCGCTCACTGAGCGGTCGTGCTTCTGGATGCACCCAATAGAAAAGGTCTATCCCAAAGGTGATTCTCTCTGTAAACTCAGTGTATAATCGATATTTACCATCGATTGTTCACCAGATAGATCGAACATTCTCTTTCGATAAACTTCATTCTCGGATGTTTCTGACAATTCGTATCGTATACACCCGTCCACAGTCCACACTCGTGTAAATCCGTTTAGCGACGTTTTAGTCGTTGTATCTATTTTTCACATTTGGTAAACGGTAAATGTAAAACGATCTATGGTTCTGTGAAGCTTCATTACGCGGCTGACTTTATACGACACATATGTCGCACTAGTGTCCATTGTTTTCAAATGCTTCTTAATTTAATGAATTGAAACTCGGAGTTTTCGATTTCTCTCCCACAATTGTCGATCAGGTTTGGAAGTTTGAACATCAAATATTTGACAGCTTCGGGATATGCCACAACAATGATTGCGACAAATACATAAGTATCATAATTTTAAACGTAAATATTACACAATAATAATTGCTTATCAGAGATACTTAACCTCCTGGGAGGTTTGCCGTATTCTGCTTCCGGGACGTAGTTTCCCAAGCAATTCGAGATGACTACCGACAAAGTCACTTTGGGTGACGCTTTATCGAATGTTGACGTACTGGATGAATTTACTCTGCCGGATGAGCAGCCGTGCATAGAGGCTCAACCATGTTCCGTAGTGTATCAAGCAAATTTCGATACCAATTTCGAAGACAGAAACGGTTTTGTAACAGGTATAGCCAAGTATATAGAAGAAGCAACGGTACACGCAAGTTTGGTAAGTTTATTTGTGATTGATTGATTCTTTGTGTACTTGCTAATATGTGCACACACAACAATGCTAATATATATAATACATGTATTTCAATGCTAATACATATAATACATGTATTTCATGTATATTTCATTATTCTATGTGTACTTGCTAATGTATACACAACAATGACATTTCTCTATTCAAACTGTATAGAATGAATTACTGGAAGAAGGTCTAGAACATGCTGTTATGTTGTACACATGGAGATGTTGCTCACGTGCAATTCCACAACCAAAATCTAACGAACAACCAAACAGAGTAGAAATTTATGAAAAGACAGTAGAGGTGTTGGCACCTGAAGTGAATAAATTATTAAATTTTATGTATTTCCAAGTAAGCATACACATTGCATATTATTTCATTAATATTTTTAATCTTGTTCTATCTGTAAAATTTGCATGTGCACTTGTATTTCAGAGAAAAGCAATTGAGAGATTTTCAGGAGAAGTTAAGCGTTTATGTCACCATGAAAAGAGAAAAGATTTTGTATCTGAAGCATATTTATTGACATTAGGGAAATTTATTAATATGTTTGCTGTGTTAGATGAATTGAAGAACATGAAATCTAGTGTAAAAAATGATTATTCTACATATAGGAGGTGATTGATCAGAAACATTTTGTCATAATTTTCTTTTTTAGTAGATGAGATTTTATTTTTAAGTTTTTAAAAACTGACGTTTTTGGGGGGTTTTTAGAGCTGCACAGTTTTTGAAAGTAATGTCAGACTCGCAGACATTACAAGAGTCTCAAAATTTGTCAATGTTTTTGGCCACACAGAACAAAATTCGAGATACAGTGAAAGAAAATTTGGAGAAAATTGCAGGATATGAAGAATTACTTGCGGATGTTGTTAATATCTGTGTTCACATGTTCGAATCTAAAATGTATCTTACACCCAATGAGAAGCACATGTTGGTGAAGGTGATGGGTTTTGGTTTGTTCTTAATGGACAGCGAAATGTGTAACATCAACAAGCTTGATCAAAAGAAGAAATTAAAGTTGGATAGGATCGACAGAATCTTTAAGAATTTGGAAGTGGTACCGTTGTTCGGAGATATGCAAATTGCACCGTTTAACTATATTAAACGTTCCAAGCACTTTGACGCGTCAAAGTGGCCATTGTCCTCCTCGTCAAACAACATAAGCCCGCAGGCTGATCTTATGGTACATCTTCCTCAGATTAGAGAAGATCATGTAAAATACATCAGCGAATTGGCGAGGTTAGGTATCGTTCAGTCTCTCTGTACAATTTGTTTTTATCTTAGCATTTACTTGATAATATGTAACATTTAACCATTATCGTGTGCAGATACAGTAATGAAGTCACTACAACGTACAAGGAATGCCGAAGTGATACAGAAAATCGGGATACCGCTGAGTTAGCATTACGTGGATTGCAATTACTTTCGCAGTGGACCAGCGTTGTAACAGAATTGTACAGCTGGAAGCTGCTGCATCCCACTGACCATCATATGAACAAAGAATGTCCGCAAGAAGCTGAAGAATATGAGAGGGTAGGGTGATTACAAAATGACTCTCGATATTATTTATGTTGTTAATATTACTTAAACTTGTTTAAAAACTTTATTATGCAGAATATCTATTTTACTTATTTCTCTTTGACAGGCTACACGTTATAATTATTCGGACGAAGAGAAGTTTGCTCTTATAGAAGTTATAGCGATGATTAAGGGATTGCAAGTATTGATGGCACGCATGGAAACTGTTTTTATCGATGCAATACGTAGAAATATATATGCCGAATTGCAAGATTTTGTACAACTCGCATTGCGTGAGCCTTTAAGAAAAGCAATCAAGAATAAAAAGGATTTGATAAGAAGGTTAGTGTGTGTAATTAATTAATTACTGGTTATTACACAAATTTTCTGAAAATTGTTTTGCATGAGTTTATTTTATTTATTTATTTTTTTTTTTTCAGTATAATCGTTTCCGTCAGAGAGACTTGCGCCGATTGGCACTTTGGAGTGGAGCCGCTTGGAGATCCCGCTCTAAAAGGAAAGAAAGATCCAGATAACGGTTTTGGTATTAAAGTTCCGCGAAGAAATGTTGGTCAGTCTTTGCATTTTAAACTATCGCGTGTCATGTTGTTTTTCATTGTTAAACTGATGTTTGGTTCAAAAATTTAATTACAAACAAAATAGGTCCGTCTTCCACGCAACTTTACATGGTACGGACTATGCTGGAATCACTAATTGCCGATAAAAGCGGCGGCAAACGCACTCTGAGAAAAGATATCGACGGTCAATATCTAGTTCAAATTGATCAATTCCACAAAACCAGTTTTTACTGGAGTTATCTTCTCAATTTCAGTGGTAAGTAAATGATTATTTTCAAATTTGCAGTTACTTTTCGATTTCTCATTGTTGAATGTTTTCTCTTGTTTTTTCTCTCATAGAATCATTACAGAATTGTTGCGATTTGTCACAACTGTGGTATAGAGAATTTTATTTAGAAATGACAATGGGTAGGAAAATACAGGTAAATAATAAATAATAATATTAGTTTTTTTTTTTTTTTTTTTTTTTTTTTTTCTTAACATATCAATATAAGATTGCACTTCGTGATTTTGGTATTGCATCGTGTAATTTGCTGCTCGAAGATATCGCTCACGAAAGATTTTATTTATTTTAATTATGCATATAAAAAGTATAACAATTTATCAACTAATANTTTTTTTTTTTTTTTTTTTTTTTTTTTTCTGAACGTATCAATATAAGATAGCACAACGTGATTTTGGAATCGCATCGTGTAATTTGCTGCTCGAAGATATCGCTCACGAAAGATTTTATTTATTTTAATTATGCATATAAAAAGTATAACAATTTATCAACTAATAAACATAAGCTTTATTATATGACTTTTTGATGTTATTAAGGGGTTAACCCCTCTGTGTGTACACCAAAACTACTATTACGAAAATAGCATTTTCAACAATTTATTCCATGATTAGAAATGCCAAGTACGTCACCAGCATAACGAAGAGTGCAGCGACTTGATCACCATGGAGAAACGCATTCAGGTAATGCATTCCCGTTTGCTGCCGCGTACGATAGACAACCACCACAACGCCAAACATATCTGAAATCTCAAGTTTTCACTCACTCTTATCTCTCAAGCATCATTTTGCCGTGCCACAATACATATTGCAAGAGACGCCACATAGAGATACGCTTTTTTTTTTTATTTTACACTCAAAGAACAAAATATGTTTCAGTTTCCCATTGAAATGTCTATGCCGTGGATATTGACCGATCATATCCTGAGAAGCAAGGAGCCGTCAATGATGGAGTAAGTTCTTTGCAATAGTAAATTGGCAATTTGACCACGTTTAAGCAAGTTGACCGTTTTTAATGATATAAACATGTATAATATAGTTGATGATCGTTACTATTGTTAATTTTATAGATACGTCTTGTATCCACTGGATTTGTACAACGACAGCGCGTTATACGCATTGACAATATTTCGTAAGCAATTCCTGTACGACGAAGTAGAAGCCGAAGTGAATTTATGTTTCGATCAATTTGTTTACAAGCTTAGCGAACAAATTTTTGCGCATTATAAACAATTGGCATCTAGTATCTTGTTAGATAAACGATTTAGAGTTGAATGCGTGGCTCTCGGAGCGTATTTACTTCCGTATCCCCGTGCCAATAGATACGAAACATTATTGAAGCAGAGACACGTTCAGTTACTGGGCAGAAGTATCGATTTGAATAAACTCATAACGCAACGTATTAACGCGGATATGCAGAAATCGTTGGATTTGGCCATAAGTAAATTCGAATCCGGCGATATAACCGGAGTCGTGGTAAGTCTCTCGCGAGTAGCCACACAAATACAATTTTTTTGCAATTACATATTATTCGCAATTTAATCATTCGCTGCGTAAAACCTGACAGGAATTGGATGGATTGTTGCAAGTCAATCGTCTTACTCATAAACTCTTGAGCAAGTGGCTTGCACTTGATGAGTACGACGCTATGTTCAGAGAAGCAAATCATAACGTTCTAGCCCCGTATGGGAGAATTACTCTTCACGTGTTCTGGGAATTGAATTACGACTTTTTGCCAAATTATTGTTACAATGCCGCCACAAACAGGTATATGTAATGTTTTTATATAGATTTGGAATCGCGGTCTACTGTTTGTGTTACATTAACTTATATATTATTTAATATATTCAACAGATTTGTCAAATGTCGTGGCCTACAATTTGTGCAACCTGTTCATAGAGATAAGCCTCCGCAAATGTCCCACCACTATCTTTGGGGTAGTAAGCAATTAAACTTGGCTTATAGCACTCAGTATGGTCAGTATTCAGGATTCGTTGGTCCGCATCATTTTCGTACTATATGCAAGCTCCTCGGATACCAAGGAATAGCTGTGGTCATGGAGGAACTTCTCAAGATCGTTAAGACCTTGATTCAGGGAAGCCTGCACCAGTTTACGAAGACTCTTATGGAAGCTATGCCTAAAGTTTGTAAACTTCCGCGATACGATTACGGATCTCCTGGAGTTTTAGGATATTATCATGCTCAGTTGAACGACATTGTGCAATATCCCGACGCCAAAACCGAATTGTTTCACAATTTTCGCGAATTCGGCAACACGATCTTGTTTTGTCTTCTAATGGAACAAGCTTTGTCGCAAGAAGAAGTGTGCGATCTATTGCACGCAGCTCCATTTCAAAATATATTACCCAGACCTTATTGTAAAGGTGAGAAGTTTTTTTTTTTTTTAGAAATATGTGATATCGCGCGACTCGAGTGAAAACTAGAAAAGACATATGCGAAATTAGACATTCCTTGTGACGTGTAATAAAATTTCAGAGGGAGAGAAACCCGAAACCAAGCAAAAACGACTGGAAGCAAAATATGCAGCTCTGCAAATCGTTCCAAATGTGGATAAATTAGGCACTGCTAAAGTGAGAAACACATGCAATATCTTTCTTTCAAATATAACACTTTTTTTTTTTATATAATGTATGTAAAATATGTCACTTTGCAGCAAGCAATGATCGCTAGGGAAGGCGATTTATTGACGCGCGAACGACTGTGCTGCGGTTTGTCGATATTCGAGGTTGTGCTCAGTAGATTGCGAAGTTTCTTGGATGATCCTATTTGGGTCGGACCACCACCAGCAAACGGTGTAATGAATGTAGACGAATGCACAGAATTTCATAGACTGTGGAGTGCACTTCAATTCGTATACTGCATTCCCGTTGGTGAAACCGAATTCACTGTTGAGTTAGTATTAAATTTTATTATTTACGTATATAAATTTGCGTTCAGTATAACGTTGATACTTTGACTTTAATGATTGTTCTTTTATAGAGAATTGTTTGGCGAAGGTTTACACTGGGCTGGGTGTGCTATGATCGTTCTTTTGGGTCAACAACGTAGGTTTGAGGCCCTTGATTTCTGCTATCACATTCTTAGAGTACAACGTGTAGACGGTAAAGACGAGAACGTTAAAGGAATAGTAAGTATACGATGCAACACACGCGTATAGTAGAGTGCACCATATTGTTTCGCGTCATGGAAAGTAGTTCTACTTTGGTTCTTCCTCCTACTACCGCGCCGTTCTCTTCTAGACTCCGAAAGCAATCCTAGATCCGTTCCACATACTGTTGCGATCGATAATACCGACACGGTTAAATTAATTGCCAGAATTGTGATTTTTTGAAGATGCTGTGCCAGCTTCAAAATTTTAAAAGTCAAAAAGTTTTTAAAGGCCGCAAATTGATCTAAAACTTATCGGTTTTATATGCGCAAGCAATAGGTGTATAGTGTCTGATAATTTTCCATTTGATCCATTTGCGGTTTTTCAACACTTGTTTTTCGACTTTGAAATTTTTGATGGATCGATGCGATGCATTTACTGTACACAAGTCGGACAATCCAGTAAAATTTTCTTGAGACTAACGATGCGTTTATCTTTGAAGCACTTGAAGAGGATGGTGGACCGAATAAGACGATTCCAAGTACTGAATTCACAGATATTCGCTGTGTTGAATAAATATCTGAAAAGCGGAGACAGCGACGCAGCGAGTGTGGAGCACGTACGTTGTTTTCAACCACCGGTGCATCCTTCGTTAGCTCACGCGCAACAACAGCATTATCACGCGCCGGAGTATTTACGTCAAATAAATCATCAATAAGCGATGATAGGTAAGATAAGATTTTGAGTCACGGTCGTAACTCAACTCGGAAACAGAGCGCGAAGAACAAAGTCATTCCTTGTTTTTTAAAGGAATAATTCTAACAGATTTCATACTTTATATATCGTCTACATTGAAAATATATCATTTGTACTGTATATTTAACTCAGTATATTACTAGGACATTTTTTAACAAAAACAAAAATAAGCTTTATGGATAATGACGAAATTGCAAACGACGTATTTAAGCACTTTGTCCACAAAAGCACGTGTTTAGTTAATCTTCAAAATCCATTTCATACATTCATATTTAAGTGTAAGTTGTAATGTATAAGAGTATTTTACTTGAGATATATCAGTTTTTCAAATAACAGGACTGATAATGTGTATGATTATATCCTAAAATACAAACAATACCCGCGTATTCTCATGATTACAAGTATAGAATGTATGAATATGAATCTATATTGTAAGATATTTTCAAGTTAACTGAAACACGAAGTATTATATATATAAATATATGTATACATATATATGTATGTGAACGTTATTCATATCACACATAAGTGTAGTATTACTTGTGTACTAATAATTATGTATAAAATGCACGTTTTTTTAATACTACTCATTTATATTTATTCCGATATCTCAATCTGTCGCATTATAAATGCGTCGCGTATGCGACAGACAAATACACGATGTTGATCTAACAATTCCAAGGATTTGTCATAATATTTGAACAAGTGATCGGTAAGAAACTGTATTTTATTACGCAACAATTACAAATCCGCGAAGAAGTCGGCACGATTATTCATTTCGCTACTAGGTAGATTGTACAAGAGTTGTTTTTGTTTTCCACCTTTCACCGGTTCAGCGACGTTTAAAGTCTCGAAATACTGCACGTTCCAGAATTTGATGTCATTATCGAGCGAGGAAGATGCTATTAGAGTTCCGTCGTTGCTGATATCGAGCGCTTCGACAGAAAACTCGTGTTGCCCCGCTATGCCAAGGTGCCGATGAGGAAACAAACTAGTCGCTCTATTCATCAAACAATACTGCGTTGAAATATCATCCAAATAATATAAAACACTTTCACTTTTTCGTCTTACCTGAGTATTCCGTCCTCTCCACCGGTTACTACAACATTTTCGGTAATGGGAATCATACAATTTATGGACTTTTTCGTGACATTAGGAAATTCGTCCGAATGCAATCCAAATTCTCCCCAATTGTACACGTACATTTTTCCTTTGCTGCTGGCCACCAGTAATTTTCTCTCAGTTTTGAACAAGCCGAGACACGTCAGTTCTTCATCGTAATCCTCAGACTGTGCAGTGCGTTATGTTAAAAATCGAATTAAAACTGATTTATCAGGCTTTTTTTTATTTTTATTTTTATAATACCTGCACGTGCATTTTTCTTTCTGGTATATTTAAAGTTGTCAGATATCCATCACCACTAGCGCAGACCAAATACTTGGCATCCTTGTTGGTTATCATTGCGCTAATGTAATCTTCTGTCTCTTTTATGGAAAATATCGGATTGCTGCCTTTCTGTCTCAGGTCCCACACTTAAAATATTTTTCTTTAAATAAGACCCATCTGTGTAATCTAGTTGGGGATCTAAGAAAAGCACAAAGTTTATTACATTTTACTGTACCGTCGTCGTCGCCTGTTACAAACACGTGCTTGTTGATAATTGTCATTGTATATATTGGTTCCCTAAGCAGTAAGATCATGAAACTCATTAATATCTCATCTATGTATCAAAATTGGGAGTTACATGGAATGTAATACGTACTCGTGGGCATTTTCGCACGTTCTAATTAGTTTTTCCGTTTCCACATCTGTTATCGCTATACACAAATCTTTCCCAGCTGAAAATAACAATTTTCCATCCTCACTGAATTCAATGTCTCGACAAGCTTTAAGATGCAATTCCAAAGTTGATACAAGACTGGTCTCTTCATTGTTGTATTTATACCTAGTGAACAAAGAGAAATGTAACATTTCATTAAGAATAAAGCACAAAGAGAAACTTACATAAAAACATCTCCTGTTATACTAGCTACACCTATGTTATTTACTGTAGGATGAAAACATATATCTGTTATCGTGTCTTCTAATACAACGGATGGTGGACGGTTTGTTTGCAATTTCTGTGAATTTAATATTGCTTTGATAACTTCATTATCTTCTTCTTCTTTATCATTGTCTTTTTCTAAAAAATTTAAACACATCAGAGAGAAAAATCCAAAGAATTAACAGAAATACAGCAGAGCTCGTAATGCTTTAACATGAAACCTCATGGCACACTTGAGCATTAGATCTCTTAGTGTACGCACGTGACGAAACAGAGTGAGCTTCCGACTCCTTTATATCATCATCGCTTTCCGATGTTGATTCGCTCATTGAGCTTTCTTCGTCATGGCTTGTATCGTCGTTCATAATGTTGCCTGAAATACCATATAAAATAAACTTTCACATATCAAAATTGATCTTATATGTAGCAATATGTAAACGTTACGTATCTTGTTAAAAAAAATTTTCTTAAAAAAAGAAGCTAAACAAAATTAAGAAATTACTTTGTAATTTATCTTGTTATATCTTTTAGTGATCTATAACGTCTACTTATACAGTAATTTACTTGTATAGTACGTACTATTTCAGATTGTTTTAACCTAACCTAACCTAACCCTAATATAATCTAACACTTCTCCAATTAAGGACAATTCAAAACACGGCGTTAAAACCGCAGACTACATTAAGCCCATATCAGTCTATGACTGAGATTGAAATTTGACCAATCAGAAGAAAGAAAACTAATTTCATCAACCAATCACATGCCAGAAGTTTTGCTAACGTAAAATAATGCTAGTTTTTGAGTGGTTGATTTGCTTACAACTTTGCTGGTAACACTGATAACTAAAAACGACTCTTTCAATGACTTTAACGCTCTACTAAATATTGTATGTACTAACTATGTAGCATCTATTAATTCATTGTATATACATGGTGTATATATACATTATATATAATGTGTGTGTGTGTGTGTGTGCGGCGTGCGTGCGCGCGCGCGCGTATGTTTTATGTATTAAAATGGCTACCTTCGCGCCTAATCCCACTTATCCGTTATTCTTTCTTGGAGTGTCTCGGAGAGATGCTTGATCGCAAGTTTTAACGTATTCTCTTCATATCGGTGTAGAAGTTGCGATTATCACGTTTCGCGCTCACTATTATGGAGAATCGGAGCAACGATTCATCGGGAATGCCGGCGTCACCAGTAACAGTGAAAGAGGAGCCTCCGGAGCAGCCCAGCATGAAGCAAAATAGCACACAACAGTCTCAAGTACAGGATACAGTCTGTCTCGAGGAGGAGTGTGGCGATCAGCGTATCGAATGCACGACCGAAAGTTCGGAAACCGAGATTCGCGCGTTCCTGTCCAAATGTGTCTTTTGCAGTAAAGTATTCTCTCTGGGAGATGATCCTAAACTACTCGAGTGCTTACATGCCGCGTGCACGACTTGCGTCAATAATAAGCTCACTGATCATAACACTTCTGTGGATTCGGATGTAATGTGTATGTAACACTTTTCAATATTTTTCTTTATCTCCTCGGTAATATTTAAAATTTTAGTCCATGCAAGATTGTTTATGTGTCACAGATTATCAAATTCTATCTTTCTTTATACTGTTAGTTTTGTTTAAATTCATCACGTGCTCACAATAATGTTACATTTTTCAGTGGAAAGTGATATGATTATGTGTCATGTTTGCAACGTTCCTAGCCAAGCAAATAATTTAATTGAAAATAGATTTCTTGCTAAATTGTTGAATGAAGAAAATTCCAATCTGGAAGCAGACAATGACAAGGAAACTGAAGAGGAAAAGACGTGTACAAGCTGTCACGATAATGTTACTGCTACCAGTTGGTGTGTCGAATGTGAAGAATTTATTTGTCACAACTGTGTTCTGGTAGTTATATGGATATTTTATATGTAATATGTGATTGTTTTTATGTTCTTCAAAGTTTAAAGAATATTTAAATGAGCTATTAATTCCTATTAAGTAAAATAATATTTTAAGGCACATCAAAGATTAAAGATAACCAAGGATCATACAATTAAACCTAAAGAAGAAGTAGCAAATGACAAAGATAATGTTAAAAAAAGTAATAAAAAGATACCTGGATATTTATTCTGCACCATTCATTCTCATGAACAGTTGTCTCTGTTTTGTCAGACATGTGACAGGCTTACTTGTAGAGATTGTCAACTCAGTGAACATCGTGATCACAAGTACAAATTTATACACGAAATTGCTGCTGAAACTCGTTCTTCTATGTTTACTTTGCTCAAAGAAGTAAGGTAAGATTTATTATATGTATAAATAGTCAAACAATCTTTAAAGAATATCAGTGAGAATTACATCAGTTTAGAAATTTGCAAAAACAATTAAATAATTTTCAGTTACAAACGAGTATTATTGAAAAGTGCGATGAAAGTTATAGAAGATAGACAGATTCTAATATTGGAGAAAAAAAAGAATCTTGTTCAAGATATTACGCAAATGGTAGTACAGTAAGTATATTATTATTACATATTATCTGAATAGAAACATAAATGTGTGTTCTAAAGATAGAGCAGGTTTTCCTATATTTCTTCATCTTTTTCTATTTCAGATTAACAAACGCTATTAATTCGAGAGGAAAACAGTTGGTAATGCGATTAAACGAAGTGTGCGATCAAAAACAAAAAACATTGAAAGAAAAAAAAGTTGCCTTGAACCAACTATCGAAACTTACCGATCATTGTATACTCTTCGGCACTCACGCTCTGAAAGAAGGCTCGGATATGGAATTACTATATAGTAAAAAGTACACTAAAGATAGGGATATACACATATGTATATATAATGCAGTAACGCATGATATGATTATTGCAGATCTGTTACGAGTCATTTACAGAGGATAAAAAGTAGACGAGCCGATATTCCAAATCCCGAGATACCTGTCCGAATACATTTATCTTTAGAAAAAGTAGAGGATTTGACAAAAGGTTTGTAAACTACGCAGAATTAAGGTTTTTCCTTTTTTTTCTTTTTTTTTTAACATGTCTTATGTTGTGAATATAATCATCTGCAGTAATATCAACGATTGGAGCGATAATTGTCGATGGCAGAGTATATCCGTCCATATCTCCATCCGGGAACAACGGCACGACGACGTCTTGTAACGAGTCGCAAATAGAGCAAAAGCAACCAACCAATTCGACAAACGCTCATACGGATAGTATTGTTCCTCATGTCCAAGGATACAGGGATATGACAGGAATAGTGACGCAGCAATCTGCAACTGCACAACAGAATTCCTATCAGCAAATGCCAATGCATGTACCGCAACAACTTCCTCATCATTCGCAGAATTATATGCCACAATACACCCCGCCGCCGCCGCCGCATAGTATGCCGCCTCGATCATCGCCACAGGCTCAGCCGCGAGTGCCAGCGGCGTACCCCGTCAACTACAACAATAACAGACTGCAACAACAGCTCAATTACATCCCAATGACCGCTCAGCCGCGTCCTTTAGGTAACTGTCATCAACAACAGGTTACCTCGTCCACGCATCCCCATCAACAGGTTCAGAGTCTTGACCAGCATGGACAGAATGCGAGCCTACGGGGTTTACTCACGCATAATCCTTCTCTTCCACCTCCTCCTTACCCGTCGTATCGAGGATCGACTAATCACGTTTCTTATCGATTCCCTACTGGATACAGATATCCCTCAGGTAACAATTCTCAGAGAGGACCACCGACACAGGCGGTAGTCCAAGTACCGCCGCCGTATCAGCCGCCAAACGTAGTGCCACCTGTGACTACAGCACGTTTGCCACAATGCAATTTGACATCTCCATCGTCGCAACACGTTGGGAATTATACGCCTCGTTGGCACATACCTCAACAATCAAATCCTTGCCTTCCGTCTAGACAGCAGCAAACCACTTCCCATATGCCAGTTCCTGGCAACGACACGTACAAGATAACTTTAAGGAATCAACAAACAAGCAATATTCCAAAAAGTAACACCGTCACCACAAGCGCCAATTCGTGCGACACACCGCCGCAAAATGTACCTCTCACCGCTGCCGTCAGCTCGTCAATACCGAAAACACCTAGTCCCGCAATCACACCTGGTAAATCGGACGACACCGAAAAGAGTATAGATAAGTTTTGTCAGAAGTCGCTGAACGATCTAATGCTCACTATTGCGAAATTAGATAGCAACGGAATCGTAGTGATACCGGAGGCTCAAAGAAGTCAAATGGATTCAACGCAAGTTGACAGTTCTACCGATGAGGACATGAACTCGATGGCTGAAAATACAACAGGTTGGTTAGACTCAGCTTAGTTATTTCGTTAGTTTGTTTTTCTTCCAAAATTATTTGTAATATTTTGAAACGTAGCAAGTTCAAGTTTTCCATTTAAACTTTTCTGTTCACTCTGTATACAATTTGCAGCAGATAATTCGAAGAATTCAGCATCGGCTATGATGATGAAAGACGATCCGAATGAGGATTGGTGTGCCGTATGTATGGATGGCGGTGATGCGGTGCTGTGTTGTGATAAATGTCCAAAAGTCTTCCATCTTTATTGTCACATACCTAGTTTAAAGTCATTTCCAGAGTAAGTGTTTTTTTTTTTTTTTTTGAGAAATGTTTCTTACTTTTCTTTATTCTTCGCTGTTAATCAATTGTCTGTCTGTTTCATTTCATTCAGCGAAAGTGAAACTTGGCAGTGTATGTTGTGTACGAATGTGTTAGATTGTTCAGATGATACTGCGAGCAATGAGAAAAGACCAAACGCTATAAGCGCCAAGGAATTGCGAATTGCGCAGAGAATTGTATTAGAACTCTATTGTCAATATGAGCAAAGTCTGCCTTTTCGAGAAGTTGTATCAAGCGAGGTATGTGCGAAAAAATCTTTCTCTATGATAATACAGTTTTTCTTCAACGGTATAACTTATAGTTGATCGATTTTTTGTTGCCAGATTACTGATTACCATAGGATTATTAAGAAACCGATTGCATTAGATATAATCAGAGATAAATTAAAACCCGATCATGTGGAACATTATACAGATCTGAGGCAAGTTATGGCAGACATCAGACTCATGTTTAAAAACGCATTTACCTACAATCCTGTAAGTCTATTAAAATGTTCTTGCCTGTATTGTTTTTTTTTTTCTGTTGTTTTTTTCTATCATCTTTTTGTTCGTGTGCTTTATGTTTTTTTTTTTATTTTGTCAGGTGGATTCGCAGGTTTATCAGGAAGCGAGAAATTTGGAAGAATTTTTTGAGAAGCTACTCTTGAAATGGGCACCAAATTATGCATACGACGATCCTTTCCTCGCTACCGATAAAGACGAGGACGAAGAAGTCTTTCCACCTAATAGAAAGTACAGACGCATAATCAGCGACTAATAGAAAATGACATCTCTCTATTCGTAGCTATTGCGTCTAGAAAACAGAGATGTATCGCGCTAATGTAGTAATTAATGTCTAGGAAGCACAATGTAGACAGCATATAAAGCTAACGGGTATGTGTGTACGCGTTTTATTTAAAATGAACACTCTTATATAAGTTTTTTTTTTTTTACTTTGACAAATAGAATCAACTATATCGTTAAATCCGTGCTATTAATGTAATATTAATAACGTTATTTACAGATAAGTTGTAATTTTACACTTATTACAACAGATTTTATTATACATGATTAGATGATCTAAATTTTTACATTTAAGTGAAGTTATAAAAGCTTTTGCTTTTTAGTATACGTTGGTACATATAAATGCACATTCACTTTTACTTTGTTAAAGCCTTTGCATGTGGTGATGAAATTTTCGTCGTAACTAAAGTTGTAAACAAATCAGTTGATAATTATCAGTCAATTATCAGAATGCTGGCATAAGAAAGAAATGCCATTTATCTTTCTGAAGTACGTTCGTTCTTATTATGCCAGCACTTTCGCTAAAATAAAATAATGCTGACTTGTGATTGGGTAGTTACGACCAACACATTTTCACATGCAATGGCTTTTAGTGATTTTTTTGCATAATACTTGGGTGCTTTCCAACTATGTACATACATACACAAGCGACGCTGTGTAACACAGTGTCTATTGGTGAGAGAAAGAGCATATCAGTGTGTCTCACTCAAACTCAACGGACACTGTGTTACAGTGTCGCCTGTGTACGTAGCTCGGAAGCACCCCTTGTTAACATCTTATTTAATTAATTATTGAAATAATGTAAAACATACTTGGTGAGCAACATTGATTTCTCCTTCATCTTGTTACTCGTCGCGCGCATGTGCAAAATGTTTTATAAAAATCTTTGTATACTTGTATAAATAGGAATAAATGTTTGTTTATAATTTTCATTAAGAGAGTAGTCTCTCTTTTTGATTTTCCATTGATTGCAGTTCACTCAAGTTGATGGTAGAGATCACGGTGTCGATTATAAGTTTGTTCTTTTTACCTGAACTGGCTGCACTAGTTTAGAGTTTATCTTTTTTACTCTACGTTGGAAAAAGAAAGATAAACTCTGAACTAGTGTAGCCAGTTTAGGTTTAGGTAAAAAGAACAGACTTTATGTAACACAGTGTCCACTAGTATGAGAAAGAGCATATCAATGTGTCTCACTCATCTAGTGGACACTGTGTTACACAGTGTCGCTTGTGTACAGTCGGCGTCAATGAATCGTTTCGTAGCCCCGGGAGCTAGGGGTAAGAGAGACGGTATTCCCTAGGAGTAAGTATTGCTAACGGGCGCCGCAATAACTAACTGTAGCAGATTTCGATGAATTGACCAATTACAGTATTTACTGCTAGGGAATACCATCCCTCTTACTCCTAGCTCCCCGCGTCCACGAAACGATTCATTGACGCCAACTGTACGTAGCTGGAAAGCGCCCAGAGAGAAGACTGAGCCATCCCATTGTAGTCTTACGACGGTTTCAGCCGCTGGTTTTAGCTCTATATCCACAAAAGTTGATCTCAAAGCCTGTTCCACATTAAACGCAAGTAGCAGATCTCGTGGAATTGACCAATCACGTTGGTCAATTGGCTGATTTGCGATTGATCAATGCGATTAGTCAATTTCATTTGAGATCTACTTAAGTTTGCGCGTAATAGAACAGGCTTAATATTCGTTTCCAAGAAATTGTTTCTTACGTATCAAGTTGGTACCAAAGAATATCAACAAAAATGGCTGTTCAAACTTTAGAGAGAGATCGCTTATTTTGGGTTAAATTGTATGAATCTTTTGAAATATGTTAACACATTTTGTACAATTGTTTTGTGTCAGTTTGTTTGTACAAAAGAGAATAAAAGTAAGAGAGTGAACAATCGAGCATTTATCTTATTTACGATGTAGGACCATTTGTTTTGGTACGTGTTCCGTTATATACACAGCAAAATAATATAAAAGTAAAGAAATGATTTTCCAAGGAAATTAACAAATTATAGATAATTAAATTGTTAAATATATTTTTATATTTCAGATTACATATACTTGCTTATCTATCTTCATTGCAGTAATTCAAAAGCATTCTCTAGTTGTTTTTCTGAAGATACATGTGCATAATATACACAGATCTCTGCATCATAGTAGTGACAGTGACATTACATTATTTAATCTGTTTTTTACAAAGTGATAACTTGTACTTTTTAAGTAAGTAACATATTTAAATAAACTTATTTACTGAGCATTATCTTATTTAGTATATACACATATAAAAAAAAAAATGACACAAACTTTTCAATAATAATTTCTTACATTTCTTATATTATTTCTTATATGTTTCTTATATTAAGTGCATACTTATATATAATTTGTAAATGTAATTGTGTACATACATATGTATATGTGTAATATAAATTTTTCTATGTATATAAGATTAGTTTTAGGAAGTAAACTATGTAAAGATCTGTCTTTACATCAGCAAATTTACTTTTAGATATTGTGAACCATGGATATGGAAGCTTCCATAACAGAGCGCTTACAAAAATTGAAGCAGTGGCAAATAGAACAGCAGGAAAAGCTTTTGAAACAGCAACAGATGCAAAGAGAGAATTTGAGTCAGGAGAAAAATCGTATTTATAAGGCCCTTGGTTTGCCACTGCAAAATTTAAACTTGCAAAACCTTCAAAATACAGAGAATAAAACTGTTGAGTATGGAACAGAGATGGATTTGAAAGAAACTATGTCTTATGAATCAATGTCTTTGTATGATATAAAAAATACAGATTGTATATTAGAAATAGAAGAAAAGACGAAGAACGTATCATGTAACAATTTAAAAGAGGAACACATCAAGAACTCTGAGAGAGATCATAGTAATCCTGTAATTCTTGAGCAAAAGTCTATGAGAAATCCTGTAAGAAAGCAAGAATTTTCTATGGAAGAGTTAAATGGTGATGTATTGATGGAGGGAATAAAACCACTAGTTTTGGATGAAGCAGCAAACAATATTTTGATAAACAGGAACATTTCAATTGATGATATTCCTATTTGTTCACCTAAAAAAGATTTTCAGACATTGTTGGAAGAAAAATTGAGAAAAGAGTCAGAATTTGTGTCTGATGCACGTACTGATGCAAAGGTAAAACCAAAGAAACCATTTTTGAAGAAAGGTGAAGGATTGTCAAGATATAAAATGTTTTTAAGTTCTTGTGCTCCGTCAAAAACTGCAAGAAGAAGTAGCATGCCTTCGTCCTTTAATAATGCGCAACATGTTAATAAAACTGAGAAACACAGGAAATCTGTTTCGCAGAAAAATGTGTTGTCAGAATCGAATATTGCGAGTGGAGCACGTCGATTATGTTTGAAAAATGTTCCGCTTCCAAGGAACAAAATTCTTAGTAAATCCGAATCTAACACTCCCACTAAACAACTTGCATGTAGCACTAATTTCAGTAGATTGAAATGTCCGCCGGAGATAAATACGTCGGACATCGATTCGAAGGCAGTAAGAGAATTGGAGGAGGTGAGAATATTTGAACTCATGGAGGAAAAAGCAGAGAATTCTAGTTTCTGTTCGACATCAAGTACAGTACTCGCATTTTTGCAGCAGTCTACGCCGTTTAAAGTGAGGAAATCATTAAATTATGTAGAAAGTGACAGCGATATTGCAACGAGACAGCAAAATAAGAAAAAAAAGAACGACGTGACCGAGAGGAAGCCAATGATCGAGCGAGCTGTGCATGTCGGACATTCGAAACAGTCTGATGTCCATAAATCTTCTCGTACTAACACCGCTATCGTTGACTCTCACTGTGATACTGTGACTGTTAATGATACTCCAAAAGAAACGCAGAAACATATGACAGTGGGTAGTCAAGTATCGCAAAACGAAGGGACACATGGAAATCGAGATGTATCGTGCATAATCTTGTCGGACAGTGAAGAAAAAGAAGAGAAAGAAGAAGAAAAAGAGGAAGAAGAGAAAGAGAAAGAAGAGGAAGAAAAAGAAGAAGATGAAGATGAAGATGAAGATGAAGATGAAGATGAAGAAGAAGAAGAAGAAGATGATGATGATGATGATGATGATGATGATGATGATGAAGAAGAAGTTTCTGCAGAAGATAATCACAATTTGGAACACAATGGAGAAGCGAATAAAAACCATCGCGTTCGATTCTCGAAATACAATGAATATAGAACAATAGATTTAACCGATATGTCTGATACAATAAATAAATCTCCGTTAATTGATTACCTTGAGCAACAGAAATTGGACGATCATTCTGATAACACGGAATCATCGACGGAATCGTCTTTAGTCGAACAGGAATTGCCGCTAAATTATAGCGAAGAAATGTCTCTTCGAGAAACTGTCAACAATGAAGAACCAATTGATGCGTTGAGACGATTGTCTTTGCAGCAAGATGTAACAAAAGATTTATATTATCACGTACTAAAAGTGTTGGATAATAACAAAAATAAAAATGCTCCAAATTGTTGCAAGGACAAATTGCTTGATAAAGATACAAGCAATGATAATAAATGTAAAATTGCTCAAACATCTGACGAAGAACAATCGGTCTCATCAGCATCAACGTCGTCATCGTCGTCGTCAAACTTTCGTCGAAGATTAAGCAAGCACAAAGAGAAAAAAAATCACGCGTTGAAAAGGTCAGAAAAAATAACAAAACAGATCATGGAGTTATGTTCGAACATGGATGAATCCGAGTGTCATCAAGACGTGATCGAGACAAACGAGGTGAATGTTTTTGAACCGGAACTTTTGAAAACTCGTCTATTAGAACTTCAAAAAGAAATTGACATATTTCGCAAGGAGAGTGCAGCTTTGTTACTTCAACGCCGTAGGTTACAGGAAGATCAGACGGCGTTGCACAAACAATACGTGATGAAGGAAAAGAAATTTGAAGAAACTAGACGAAGAGTGCAGAATCAATTGGAAGAAGAAAGAAAGAGATTAACGCGTGAGAAGATAGCAATGGAGAACAGAATACGCGATGCTCAGGAAAAAGCGAAGCAAAACAAGATAGAAAGGCAGAAGACGCAGAGCCTGCATGAGCAGCTGGAAAAAGTGAGAGACGAACTGAATGTCAAGGAGAGCAGATGGAATGCTGCCGAGTCGAGGTACAAAAGTGAACTTCGTGTGTTACGAGTGGAGATCTCGAAGCTGAAACAAGAAATTGTGAATCTGCAAAATACCAAAAGAACAAATGTGAAAAATATCAAGAAAAGCGCAAGCGGACAGACTATTACGAGAGCCATCAGTCAAATTAACAGACGCATTACTGCGGGACCGTTAAAGGAGACTTTGGCGAAGATGCCTCGAGATTTATCGAGTACTTCGTCGGACGCTTCCGTCCGTGACGACAATAACGACGACGATAACGGCGACAGAAACAAACTGATCGAACCGATTACGAAGATAATCGATGTAAATAGCGACTTTGAGCAAATAGGGAATGATGTAAATAAACTGGAGACGAAACAAAAATCTGAGCCAAAAAGTAATTTAAAAGTGATCAAACCAGCCGAACAAGCAAAAAAGAAGCAGGATTTATACGCAGCTTTATTGAAGGATGCGATATCGGATTTGGTGGAGAATAGAAGTCGGTCTCACATTAAGAAAGATGATGCGGATGATCTTCCTCAGCCGATAGTTGCGCAACGCTTAAGTCCGAAACACAACAGAACGTCCGAAAAAAGCAATGAGAAGTCTTGTTCTTTCGCAAACGAGGATCCTGGACATACGGCACATACTGCCGAGTACTTTATCGATAGATCGCGCAAAGTACATCAGGGTCGTAACAAAAATGACACGACGACACAGGACCAAATATCATCGTCGAAGGAGAAGAATTCGAGTCCTGCGTCGCATCGTTCTTCGATTGATCATGAAATCGGCAGAATGTGCGCCAAGGACGCCGTTAAAGAGGTTCGTTATTTCGACGGGCTCATCGAGTATTGGTATCCGAACGGTAACGTGAAGAAGATCTTTCCCGATCAGGGTGTTTCGAAAATGATTTATTACAACGGAGACGTTCGCGAGACCGACAAGGACGGAAAAGTGAAGTACTTTTACGCTACGAATCGAACGTGGCACACGACAACTCCCGACGGTGTGGAGATTTTAGAATTTCCCAGGTACCCGTTGCGTTATTTATTGTTGTTGCGTTTTATTGTTGTAATTTGTTTTGATTTGCTTCCTCATTTTATTCCTCGAGATTTAATATTTAATGTCAAAAACAATATACATAGCGGTCAAGTGGAGAAACGCATGCCCGATGGTACCGTTGAGGCGTCGTTCCCGGATGGTCCTGTACGAATAATACACGCCGATGGTACAGAAAAATGGTCCTTACCGGACGGAACAATAGGGGAAACTTTTAGTAACGGTGAAAAGATTCTAACATTACCGAATGGCCAGAGAGAGATTCACACAAAATCGCATAAGGTGAATTGACTAATTTTTTAATTTTATAGAGTTATAAAATGTTTTATTTCTATTTAAAATGTATTTTTTTCTGTTTTTTTTTTTCTTTCGTGATATGCATTTTAGAGACGAGAATATCCTGACGGCACTGTGAAGTTAATATATGCGGATGGAACTCAAGAAACGCGTTATTCTAGTGGAAGAAAACGATTAAAAGATAAAGATGGTAATCTTTTGATGGATTCGTACGATTAAGTTTCCTCGACCTGTTCATCGAAAGATATTTTTGTGTAATGATAAAATCTCGTGTAAAAGATTCGACAAAATGCCAAACATATTAGTACTTAGTTTTTATACAAATGTAATGCAATTTGTCTTATATTTTCTAAGAACGATGTTAAGTAACAAACGACTGTTATATAGTAGCTATATTTTTATAAGAATTTAATGAACTCTTAAGAAATACATAATAATATATACTAATTATATTTACGAACAAATGTGACATTAAAAACAAGATATTTTCCCACGTTAGATATAAAATTTATTGTCTTTTTTTTTAAATATAATTTACTTGAATTTTCGTTTAAATCAAACTTTGTAAATAAATCAAAAATTTATACTTCGCAGCGCGTATTTATATAGTCTGTCTAATAAAAGCGTGACCAACGGTTTAAACCAAATAAAAGTTTGCCCAGTCACGCTCTTGTTGGACAGACTGTAAAAAATGTAAAATAAAAGATTAATGAAAAGTGAAATAAACTAAACCATTGGTTAGATTGTTATTATTTTGTCAAATGCCGCATTTATAAAGAAAATTCTAGATCTCACTAGATTTCGACGAATGAAGTTGTAGATGGTTCAGTGAATTTGTTCACTTTGTTATTTTTAATAGACGCCTGAGGCTGCGTTCGGAAACATCACTCGTGTATATTTTATCTTTATTGCTCATTATATATAAAACAAAGATAGAATGACGCTCGTGTGTACGCGAGTGCTGTTTCCGAACGTGACGTGAGTCACCAGTTACACAGGCTGTGCAATTGACCAATTGTGGTTCGGTTTTTAGTCACGTGGACGGAAGTGTATGATCTTTGGATGCGTGCGCAATATCATGTGGTAGGGTTTGTCATTGATGGCGTGAAAGAAAATTTCACACAATTTGGAAAGTCTAGCGTAGTAGGCCGTAAGAATTTTTTTTGTGTAAAATTTCAGGTGCTGAGGACAAAGATTCGATTTGGATAGAAAATTTCCGTGTGAATTATTACAGCGGCTGCAACGTCACTCTTCGATTCTTGATCTATTGGTGTTACGAGACGCGATGAAGCAACTAAATGCGGTCATCACAAAGTTCATATATATATAACAACTAAACACCTTCGCGTCACGCCATGTCGTGCGTTCCCAGCTGACGCCTGATTTGACATATCGGATGGTGTTTCTGTAGGCGCTTGAAACGTGAGAATTGCGCAATTACGCGGAAGGTATAAACGTATACTTTCTCATGCGTGGTTTAGTCCGATAAAACCGTCAGTCGGGAAGAATGGCGGAACTGGATGATTTGTTTCACATGGATCAATATGCAGCTCCGGAACGGCTCACGGAGTTGTGCTACAAAGCTATCTGTAAGAATCTGGACACTATCTCGGTAAAAGGAAGAGATGGTCATCGAGTATTGAAAAAAGGAATAACGTTTCCCAGCGAGATATGCGATAACCTTATCTTGCATTATGCAAAGTATGTGCAACAATGCGAAACAAATGAAGATGAGGATTGTTTTTTGTCAATTTTCAAAAACTTGGCAGCAACACGACTGAAACGAGTCAAGATCTCCAACTGGATGCTGACTGACGACTCGGTTCTGACACTCGCTAATCACAAACTGTATGAATTAGAGCTCAGCGAGTGTGATAATTTGACAGAAGCTTGTATCGAATATATTAATGCCAATTCAGAAAATTTGCATAGTCTAGCATTTCACGGAGCTGTATTGATCATACCGACAAGATTGAGTGCAAGTAAGTACCTGCCTTTAGCAAGTGATATTGATGTTTGAGATGATTACTGGCTAAACTGTTTTATATTTTATATTGCAGCTAGTACATCGTCTGTCGATTACTATGAACGTGGATATGTATTCAAGGCACCGAATTTAAGACGTCTGGCACTTGGACACATAGCAATATCCGCAACTGAATATTCCTTGCTTCTGGCGGGATTGCCCAATCTAACGCACTTAGACCTGTCCAATTGCTTTTACATTGAAAATTTTGAATTCTATCATTTGGTACCAAACTTAGTATCCTTAACTTTGTACAATGTCAGAGTCTGTCACGAAGCAAAAACTTTTGTTAAGAATGTCTGTCAGTTGAAAAATTTAAGGTACATTAAAATGTCAATTTATAAACAGTATAATTTAAAAAAAAACAAGCTGCAGTATGTTGCAGTTATAACGTTTAGAAAAATAGTATATATTTAAAGTGATCAAAACTATAAAATCCTAGATGTTATATATATATATATATATATATATGTGCGTGTATATACATATGTATATATACACACACACGTACACATTCACACAAAACTAATTGTGCACGAAATATGCTTTCACAGGCATTTGGATATTTCACAATCAAATCACAAATATGGACAGTTCGAGAATCCTAATAAGACTTTATCCGACTTAGTAACTGGTCTACCACAATTAGTTTCCTTAGATATTGGCGGTACAAATCTCGCAGGAAGAGGTGTTGCCGAACGTCTTGTCGATACGAAGATCGAAGATACTATGTCTTGCCTTTATCAGTTTTCTGACATACCGGGACTTGCGTCTAGAATACACAAACCGTTACAGTTTTTAGGTCTTTACGGTACCTCGTACGGTGCTTGCAGAAGACATGATATACCAGCGAAAGTGGTAAGTTGCACACACTTATATTAATTTATGATCTGTCAAATACTTATTTACTTACCGATATTTCACATGAAATAATTTAGATAGCCGGTGATGCAAACGAAGATCAGATATTGATCGCAGCTCACGTTTGTATGGACAATAAACAAGAAATGTTGCAAAAAGTACTGAGCGATTTATATCACGTATTTAGATATGAAAATTGTCAAAGAATGGATCAGGCGCTGTATACCGTTCTTGAAGCAATGGAAAAACATCCGGGTCAGAAGCATATACAGATATCGGGAAGGTATGCGTGTGTTCATGTATATTGTACATATGAGTGCGCTTTATTGTTTATAACCTGTTTGTTAATTGTGGCTAAGAAACGTTAAAATTTAAAAACTAAAAATTATAAAATAGCGTCATAAACATCTATATTTTTGTTCTATAATTGCGCCATTCTAATCTTATATCGATGTTGCAGCGCTACGTTGTTTTATATAGTAAAAATGAAGCAAAAAGGTGAGCTGGTAGCGCGAATGAAGAAAAGAATCATCAGCACTCTCCTCATTGGTATGAGCACACACAGAGACGAAGAGACTATGATGAGGAACGGCTGTTTGGCGCTGTGTCAATTTCGCATACCACAAGATGTGGTTTGTGATATTTTTAATCTTTCAAATTTTTGCATTGGTTTACGATAACACTTGAACTTGCCAACTAACAATAGACCCGGTTCAAAAAGTCCAAAAAGTCTTTTGTTTAGCTCGTTCTTTACCACTAACGGTCTTATCTCAAAAAATGAAATATCATACCATGGAATATCCACTCTCATCTGTACATTTACTCACTTATTTATAAAAATAATTTTAATATAAGAGAGATTTAGATGTTATAGCGTTTATTAATTATTATCTACTTTTATAGATGTCGAATTATGAAGCGCTTGTAAAAGTGCTTTTACATTCGGCCAAACACTCGGAACCAGAGAGTTTTGTTCAGAGAATTGGCATATATCTACTGAACTCTCTGGCCTGTCAAGTGGAAGGCACAGAAAAAATGTTACTCGGCAAACTCGGTTGTGTTAAAACAATGCTGGAACTAGTGGAATATAGGGTAGTGTCCAATATATTCGATGACGTATTGGAAGTCGCATGGTCGACAATGTGGAACATGACTGACGAAACGTCCATAAATTGTCAGAGATTCTTAGACGAAAAAGGAATGGCACTGTTTCTCATGTGCGTGCAAGTACGTATATATTTTGCACTTGTATATATTTGCACTTTTACTTTACATTGCAATAAAATTTTTATTGTATTATTTAGCAATATCCACATAAAGAAGAATTGTTAAGAAATATGATGGGTTTACTCGGCAATGTAGCTGAGGTAGAATATCTTCGACCCGAACTTATGCAGGAACGATACGTAACTGTTTTCGCCACGCTGTTACGCTCCAATAGCGAAGGAATTGAGGTTTCGTATCTCTTTCTTCCTCTTTTTCTCGTTTTTCTTCTGATTTTAGTAGAAAGATACTGAATTCAATAGCACGTACAATATTTCTTTACACACGTAGGTTCCATACAATGCCGCTGGTATCTTGGCGCACATGGCATCTGATGGCGTTGACGCTTGGACGATAGAAAAGCCTACGCGTAATGAAGTTCTGAAGTACATGATACAAGCGATTGAAAGTTGGGACTTAAGTGCGGAACGTAATATCAATTATCGCTCGTTCGGACCGTTGTTACGCCTCTTGGATATATATCACACTTCTCCGTGTCAACATTGGGCAGCTTGGGCTCTCGCTAATCTCACCAAAGTGTACCGTACGTATGCGATATCAATATTTACATTTATATCAAAAACGTACATGCGTATTTAGCATGTACTTTTATTTAGCGTTCAACGCTAGTAGCTCATCATTACGATATAATCTTCATTGCAGCGTCGAAATACTGTTCACTGGTGGTGAAGGAAGGGGGAATGGAGAAGCTCGAGGCATTGATAACGGATCCCAGACCGTACGAACGTATAAAGGAACTCGCGAGTCTAGTGATCGAACACTGCCACCATTACGAGGATCTTTGCGACGACATAAATGTTTCTCCTTCGGCTTTAGACGCCGAATATAATATGGATGGATAAGAAATCTCAACATTATTCCGTTACAGTAGTGACCGTTTGTGTGGAAAATCAGTTTTTAAGCTTGAAAACTTAGAAAATCGTGAAAATCGTGGGATAGATTTTATCCCATATGTACTTTAAAGGTGTTAAAACAAAAAAGTAAGTCTGCGTTCTCTCATGTATATTGAGATATATTCCATAATCATCGATGTACAAGCGAATCACTACTGTATATATACCTTAGATTTGTTCTTTTTCCATACCTGAGGACTGAACTCTGTGAAAAGTGCACGCTAAAGCGTTCTTTTTATTAAACGTTTTTGTCGTTACACTGTTCTTTTTCGAAGTACATCAGTCTTGTTTCACAGCAGGTCTATTTTGAATTCGCGGATCTTTAGTTATAATGCAAGAGTGCAGTCAGAATAGAACAATTAACACGGAAATACAAAACCATACAGAGAGCATCTAAGTAAATACATTTCACTTTACCATTAACCTTTTAAACTGAACTGACGTGGTAGTTTTATTTAAATAAATCGATTCTTTTTTCGTCATTTTTTGCTAAATACATTAAAATGCATCTGCTATAAGTCTCAACAATTACATTTGTAGAACTAATTTATGCATCCAAGTGATGGATCGACTAATAATCATTGTCTTTTGTGAAATGTTTCGAAAATAGTATAGTATATTATATATTGTGCACATCATATCGTATATTGAACAATTACTTGTGTTTTAATAAAACAAATTTTTTTATACTTAGCAATTCTGTTAATTAAATGTTGTAATGAATACAATCAAAAATTATAAGTTAAAAAATGAATGTTTCGAATTTACAAGATTATTCTTTAGCAATCAAAAAACAGTACGGATATTGCAAAGAAAGTCAATGAGTCTATAACAAGGACATTCTTCAAATTTTTGAAATATCTCTTCTATGTTCTTGTTGTTATTCACGTAAAAATAAACTTTTTTCTGTTTAGAATTAGTCCTGGAAAGTGGAAAAATAACAAATATCTCTTGTATAGCGTATGTGCGTGTCATTTCTTTAACCACGATATTCATATAATCCGATCATGTATTTAAGATTGGCTTGAGGTAATCTCATGATGCTGCAAGAGGTTTTTTATTGGATACAAACTATCAAACCAAATGAACTCAAAACGATTTTAAATATGAGATCCGACTCTGAATATCGACGTTAGACGCGATAAATTTATAATCGAATCGTATCATTCGACACAAGAGAAGTTAAAAAAAAAAAAAAAATCGACGTGATAAATCATATATTCTACGGCAACTGCTCCGAAAAAAAAAAAAATAAATAAAAACGAATGAATGCTCAATATTATAATTATGAGGATTGTGTGTGCGTAGACGTATACCTATACATAACGTGCGCGTGTTCTGTGTGTATGCATGTGTACACATGTGTGCATATATATGAAAAATGCAACTATTTCAAAAGGACTGTTTTGTTTTAATTATCAGCAAATATAGGTATGTAGGTATATGTATCTATACAGTATGTATAAATGCTGGTAATTAAACTTTGCTGGTCAATCGTAAGAGATCCTATGTATATACAGCTCGCTTATAATATCGTAGGAAATGAGGATATAAGTGATCGTAATTAAAACAGCGATTGCGCGCTTATTATTTTTTAACTGTGTCTATTAACACATTGCTAACCGCACGAGATATTGAACATTGCATATTTTTCACGAACCATGCGCGGATATCAATTTGAATGACGGAAAATATTACAGAATGTTATTAATAGTGTCGAGACGTCACACCACGTCTTTTGACTTCAGAATACCATCTTCTCGATTTGAGCTCTCAACACCACCTCTTTGAGTGTGGAGCATATCTAGACGTTTTTTTCTCAGTGTACGACTCAACCGTGAGATAAATCGAGTTTGAATTTTCTTTTTTTCTAAAACACAAAAATGTATAAAGGATTTTACAATATATGCATATACAGCATATACAGTTTGCGCATGTAACATGTATATGTATAATATTTATAAATTAAAATATATATGTGTATGTTTAAAGAAACGTCATAGTACATATATTCAAAGTGTGTTCTAGAGTTAATGAGATAAAAATAACTTTTATACCAAAATTACAAATCATAAGAGATGAGAGTGAATTCGCGTCTTGTATGTTTCTTGCGAGATATTTGGAGAAAATTAAGTTTACTAAGATTTTTGTTAAAAAAAAAAAAAAAAAAAAAATTATTAATTTTACGACGTGTGTTAACTACATTGTAAAAAGCACATTCTGGTGTTGGGTACTCTTGAGATCTTGTTCGGTTAACAATGTATTAACTTTCGTATAATCTGTAGATGTTTGTTTCAGCATCTCTTTCTTTTGCTTCTTTTCCTTTTTTACGAATAATAATAATAATAATAATATAAAAGGTAATTTTTTGCTCTCGTTAGTAGAATTTTATCGACACATGAGGACGAGGAAAATCTATCTTGCGTGTAAATACAGTTAATACAAAAATGTAGCGATATGATATTAGATTTAATGTTTTGTATGTTATCGTTATAGTATTAAAATCCTATTAAAAAAATAATAATAATTAACTCCAATTAAGTACCAATTATACACAACTGTGGACGTATACTTTTGTCGAGTTTCTAGATTTGTCCCTTCGACGCAAGATGAAAATGCGCGAAAAAGTAATTAACAACGCAAGATGTAAGCGCGTATACTTTATTGACGCATATTCGGTTTGTTCGATGTGTAATATAATGTTATCTGAAATTAATGAGCAAACGCGTATTTTATTTGTACCCTTTAATCTTTTGTTTTTTTTCTTCAAGAAATAATCACAGTAGTCACACAAATTCTGTTTGTTTTATTAATCAGTTTTACTTAGTAAATCTATGTATGCTTCTGCAATCAGATCGTCTTTCTCTATAGACAGCGCTCTCATGAGGTCATCCGCAATTTTTTGTCCAGCTTTTATGTCCTGATCTTCACGCAGAACTACCTAAAAAAATATATCATTCAAACATTAACAAACATAATTTGACAAAGCTGCACAACAGATAAACCTCACCTCTAACTCTAGAAAATATCCCAAACCATCAACTTCGTCAATGTGTATTCGAGTTTGGCCAACCATGTATAAATTTCGTGTCTTCTGGACAACACCCAACACACCATTTGATTGTGACAGAATATCTACAATAGATTCCACAACATCCGAGTTCAATGTTGCTTTAGTATAATCAGACAATGTCGGTCCTTGTACATTGGGTCGCTTGTAAAAAATTAATTCTGCCGAGCCATCCTATGTAAGAAAAAAAACCCATTTTTTTAAACGATAACACAACATAAATTTTTTATATTGCACGCGAAATATAATCCAAGTTTATTTAACGCTTACCTCAAATTTTCGTAACTTGAGTCTTCCCTCCTTTGCTTTGAAAAAAGTATCATGCTGCTTGATAATAGTCTTGGAGGTGTCGCTCACCGTTTCAGCTTTCGAAATAGTATCGTCAATGTTCCGAATTCTCGCTTTTATCTCAACATTACGCATCTTTAACTTCGCAGTTTCCTAAAATTCCATAAAAGTATATTTAATACAAATTTCTCTCTCTTTTTGAGCGAATAGATCGTTTCATTCGCATCAAATCTATTTGTTGAACTTGTTTGCTTGTTGTACTTTCTACTCTCGAACGCGCTCAAAAATCTGATGAGAAAATAAATAAAAAAAACACAATCGTAACATGGAAACTCACCGACATTCCAAGAGTTCGACTCCAAGTCCAAAATTTAACCAATCAGGCGTTAATAACGCAGAGCGCGTGATTGGTCAAATTTGCACTCGTCATGCAGCGAGTGCAAGTAACGTCACGTCATTAGTCGCGCGATAAAGCTTTATATGTAAATATAACGCCGATTGGCTGTTGCTTGGATATCTCTAGAAATTTCCTATCTGACAACTAATCAGCACGAGAAACGCATGCGACACCAATCCTTTTGTCTCGTGGACGCACCATGTCTATATATAGTGTAATGCGCGACGGCGGATGGCGGTGACGAATGGCCGTTGCGTTCAGCGGAAAGGGAAGTGAAGATCTTCGCGGGCGGTCAGCGACGACGTGCGTCGACAAAGGGCGAATGTCGAGATTTCTCAGCGTGCAGAGGAGATGCGCGTGTCAGGAGACCGCGGGACAATGAGTAATGCAGAGTCGGCTGGAACGCGGGTCATGAGTTCAGAATGAGGAAATCGTGCAACACGACGGCGGAGGCCCGGACAACGGACGGCCTCGAAATTGCAAAACGTCTGCACAGGTAAAGCCCGCCTAAGTCAGCAGCATCTTATGAAATTAATATCTCACTCTGAGTTCACTGTTCTTTCTTGCGTGCTATGAGATGCAATGACCCTCGATTTTTCGAAACACAAAGAATATCACACTTCCGAAAGACGAAAACCTAACCCACTACTCCTGATCGCCATGCTTGTTGTTTCTTATCATTTCTTATCATTTCTTATCTGCTCGAGTCCCGACTGAGAAGTCTTGTATGTTTTACAAAGACTATCAGGTAGAAACAACTGAGTTTTAATAATTAAGCTGTTTGCATTTGTGCCTTTTTGTAATTATTCGGTGTATTAATCGATGAGTGTAAAAAATCTATTAACTCTGTGTGTATCATTGACAATGACCTTCATGCTGTTTGAATGTGTTAGTTACATGATTATAAATAATACATATCTTACTTGTAAGGAGTATAACGGAAATTATCAAGAAATTGGATGAACAGAAAAATCATGCTCAAAAAGTAAGCGACATATTTGTTTCATCTGGATATATTCTACGTACAAGGCTCAAGGATTACTGTGAGAAATTAATATTGAAGGATCCTGTTGGAAATGTACATAAAACTGAGGAATTATTATGGAGAAAAGCCTTTTACGAGGCTGTACATGCTGCCAAAAGATTACGGAAGGTAAAACTTAGAATTTGTGTAAATTGGTTTTTAATATACATACAGAAACTAGACATCGGAGGATATAGATTTTATTAGCATAATATACATAAGAATAGAATTTATTTCATTTATCGTTATATGTATCGTAGGACAATACCTGGAATGATTCTGAAAAAGAATTATTGTTACTGCATTTGTCAGGGGGAGTGGGATATTATCATCATCTGATATTAAAGTTACAAGTAGAATATGATTTAGACCTCACTGGTGTCGTTGACTTCACATTTATTCACACTGAAAGTATTTCATCATGTGTAAGCATCTTCGGAAGAAAATCTTATGTAATATATTTGTTATACAATATTATTTATAGCAACATATAAAAAAGCAAAAAGCTAGTAAATAGCACTTAAATATAATTTGCAATTTGCAATAATTTATGTAGTAAAAGCAGAAATTTGTAACAGGCAAAAACTAAGATGAGCCAAACCAAAACATACACCGGAGAAGTGAAAAAGAGTGTTATGCGCTTGATTCATCGAAGTTTGGTATGCCTCGGAGACTTGAGCAGATACAAAATAGAATTAGATCCAAACTGGGATCCAATGATAGCATACAGATATTATAAAATGGCTATAGCTATTGATCCAAACATCGGTATGCCTTATAATCAGCTTGGCACTATGGCGGGCAGTAAGAATTACGGGCTCGATGGAGCTTATCATTACTTGAGGAGGTTAGTATTGACTGATAAGAAATCTAATATTTTTGATTGTGTAACAATTTTTAGTTTTTGTTTTATACTTTTAATGCGTCACTTTTGACGTGAGTATCAGTATTGTTTTATAATGCTAATTTTTCTAGTGTTTTGTGTTCCGAGCCATTTGAAGGAGCAGAAGGAAATTTAAACAGATGTATAATAACTCATTCTACTTGCACAGATGAAAATAATATTGTCCATCAGTGTGTATCGCGATTATTTTCTTTATTACGTTTATGGGATTACGAAACTCCACATTCTGACAGGGTGAATCAAGAGTGTCAGGTGTGTGTGTGCGCATGTATGATAAGTATAATTGCGCATGAACGTCGGTTTCCAAATTTATAATAATTTTTAATTTTCTTTTCAACAGGATCTCTTAACTTACACTGAGAAGTGTTTGACAATGGGAAAAATTGAATCGAGTAACGTGATTTCTCTCGACAATGTAGACAATATAGAGACATATCTTCAAAATTGCAAAAACAGACCAAATCTTTATCTAACGGATGACATGATGTTTAAAATCGTGACAATATGCTTAATGTCAATTTCTAGACTAAAGAGCAAAGTTTCTAAGGAAGTTCAGGGTGTTGTTGCTATAACTTTGGCGATACTGTCGCAGTTACTACAATGTACCGTGACAAAATTACAAGAAAATGTTATGAACATGGCAGTGTGCGAAATAGACACTTACTCGTCGAAGTTGAAAAATGCGGAGGGAAGTCGAGCGCCGTCTGAAAATAACGGGCAACAGAAGGAAGAAAAAGATTCTGCTATAAGTATAGACAATAATCTATCCAATCCGAAAGAGAATAACAAAACAAAACCGTCAGATAACGGAGTCGTGAGCGAATCAGATTCCAAAAAGAGTCGCGACAAATCCAAGAGTCTTCTCAGCAAACTCCGCAGACGAAAAAGAAGAACCAGTTCCGACTCGGACACGAGTGACGTGGATCACTCGACACTGGCGTCGTCCAGCGACGAGATAAACTCAGACGTATCCGAGACGGAGGAGGATGACGCGTTGAGCGAAGAAAACTACGCGTTATCGGAAGACGCTTTATCCGACGATAACACGGACGACGAAAAGTCGTTGAAGGAAGAAAAAGTTCAAAATGACGAAAGCGCGGCAAAGGAAGAGATAAATGGTCACGCTGATGATGTTGTTGACAAAAATAAGAGCAACAACAAGAGTAACAGCAAACATTTGGTCAATGGCGAACAGCACACAACCGATCAACAAACGGAATCGAAGATGGCAGATGACAAAGATTCCCTAACGAATTCTAGCAGTGTCGTGACTGTTATGACGGATTCGACTAGCACTTTTGAGGAACGCGATGCGAATTCCGTCTCTCACATAGCGCAGCTGAAAAAACAGAGTTTGCAACCGGACGATCTTTTGAATATGTTAATGGATATGGAGATTCTCGCGTCCATCAAAGTGTGTTGCGATTGGTTGCAAAGTAATCCCGACATTATTAGGATTTGCGCTAAGAGTTCACGAACACTGTTGAAGCGTGTTACGATCTTGTTGAATCTAATTGACATGGACGCCGGAGCTTTCGTACAAAAGATCGAGGATTCCACGATCACTTCGAGCGCTGAGAGATTGAAGGAGTGCGTGAAAATCGTGCCTCTACCGGAGGATATCGATCTCTGCGGATTGAATTTGCTGGAGGATGCTCACAAATCTCTAAACTGGCAGATATTGCGCAAGCACAAGATGACCAAGCGGGAGGAGATGCTGCTGCGAACGTTGAAGTTGATCGAATTCGGTCATCATCTTAGTTCTGTTGAGAATTCAGGCGTACAATACGATCAGACCGAGCGATTGTTTGTAGTGACGGACTTGAGTCCTTCGAACGCTCCGAAGATGAACGACAAGAACGGACCGGATCATTCGAAGAGGAAACTCATGAGACACATGGGAAAACTGTGGCTGAAAGCCGAGGTTCGAGCTCTCGAGTGTCAGGTACTGTCTCATATGCCATCACCGTATTTCCTCGTACCTGATCATGAGGCTTTGGTCAAGCATATGAAGGCACTTAAATGCTTAGTCAACACAAAAAAATTTATTGTAGTGATCCCCATTGTTGGTGAGTACAACAATTTAATAAATACATGTGTTTGTGTATTTATTATGTAAATTCTTTTTGATATAATTATTAAATACTGTGTTCAACGTAACAATAACGTTACAGTGTTTTCCGCCCTGGACGAGATAAAACGCGTAAGTAGCCAGGCGAGACACGCGACGCGCTGGCTGGAGCATCAGTTTAAACTTGGCTCGAGATTTGTACGACCGCAGAGATCGGGTGAACGATTGACGCTACCGCTGATAAAAGGTCCGAAAACAAAGGATAAGGAAGCGTTATTGTTTTTTCAAATAATGGAGTGCTGTCATTATTTCACTAAAAAATGCACCAGCGGTTCCACCGGTGGTGACGGGGAAGCACCGGTGACTCTCTTAACCGGTTGCGATATAGATGATAGGAGAAGTTTGACCTTCAGTCCCGATGGATTAGCGAAAAGTGCAGGTACTTAATTTTTTTTTTTTTTTTTTCAATCTCAATTATCGGAGTCGAGCAACACAGGCAACAAATTTTAACAAACTTGTTATAGTTTTTGTGATAGTTAATTTTTACACAGCAGTATATTTTTACATTTATTTCTCAGGTGTTAATCTTGAACACATAATATCATTTCAATTGAAATGGAAATCGTCGAGTAAGAGTCACGGTTGAACCGAACCGTATTACTGGTACGTGATCGTCTGCTGCTAATCTCATTCGGAGATATCATCAATTGTTCCGGTGTCGCATATCCGGAACGATTCTCTCAAGCCAAGTGAAGAGCGAGCACGACAAGAGGGTTGGAAACCCGTACATACGGAAAATCGACAGAGTTGTGCCGCGACGAAATCGATACTGGATAAAAATGTCCTTTTCAAGCACAGAAGGGGAAATCTAAGTAATACTAAATGACTTTTTGTTTTTTGGTTTTTTTTCTCTCTGTAACCATTCATATCGCTTTTTATGTTTTCACAAGGATTGTATTTTTAAGTAAACATTTTTAAATAATATCAGACGACGTGTGTTCTCACCAGCCCTATTATATATCCAGTTGAAGAATAACAAACTGTTCTGTTCAGAAGCGAGTCTTCTAGCGCTATCGAAGAATAGGAAGCGTTGATTTGAACGAATATTTTGCATTCACGTTCGTCGAGAAATAATTGAGAGAAACTGTCTAGCTCTTCGGATATAACGCTAATTATTTAGAATATATTAACTTTATAAACATTTGAGAAAAATAATCTGTATGTAATTCTCTTCCCCGTCCCACATAAGAAGTTTTGATCATCTGTCTCCGTAGCTATTTTCGCGTTTTCATGGCTCGTTAAATTATTGGAGAAAAGGAGAAAGTGTGCGTGTTTGTGTGAAGAAGATATACGCGTGTGATGTTTCACGTTCTAAAAACGGTAAGGTAAGAAAATAGCGAGCACGGCAAGCTATAATGTATACGAGTATGCTCATAAAGAATCAAGTCTGTGTAAGTTCGGAAAAAAGATTAGAATACTAGGTATTGGATAAAAAACAAAAAACAAAAAAAAAACAATTCTCATTTTATTTTTCCACAGTATGTAAAGAGAAAAGATTTGTAAAAATATTTCCGAATATAGACGCATTGCGCGGATTATTAACGCACCTCGGTTACGTGGGTGTGAATTTTACATACATGCAAACGTCGCGAATGCAAATACGCACGCGTGTGTTACGCAGCGAAGCCGAGTGCGCAGACGCGGTAGTGCTTTCGCGTTGCAGTAGTGGCAGCGTGACATAACCTAGCGGTGTTTGCGTTTACCCCCCCATCATCGGTTTATTACGTGGTTTTACGGAGGTGCGATCGTACGCGAGAAATCAGTGTCACAAGCGTGCACAAGCGGATCCGCGAGTTTCGCGATTATTCGTATCGTCGTCGGCGACGATCGCGTGATGGCCGAACGTGGTAAAACGGCAACCATCGTGCGTGGTTACTGTCTGGCCGCACGGTGCATCTAGTTCCTCGGGGGGGCCGGGATTCGTAAGTTAGAAAAAATTTAACGTAGTTTCCCCGTCGGTGCTCGGCGTGTTTGCGCACCGGACGTTCCGGACGAACAAACGAGCGAGCAAGCGAGCAAACGGACAAGGTTGGGCGGGGAGTGTCGTTGTCATCGGTGCTGTGGGTGTCGTCGCGACATATTTACACGGTGCGCAATTCCCGTGGTTGTGCGTGAGATTGAGTGAGAGAGGTGGCGAGAAGAGGGAGAGAGACGAAGACAGAGACAGAGTGCGAGCGTGGCGAGGATCGCGCGAGCGTCGAAAGTAACGAGTCATCTACCGATCCAAGATGGCAGAAGGCCAGCAGGAGGGTGGTCCGAAGAAGATCATCGTCACCGTGAAAACGCCGAAGGAGAAGCAGAGCGTGGAGATCGAAGAAAATGCTACGATAAAGGACGTAAGTGCAAAACATTGTCCTAGCCGGCGTTCCCGTTTGCGGCGTATCGCCACTCACTTGGCGCATCGCCAAACATCAGCTGTCAAACGAATTGGGTTAGTTTCGCGATGTCACTAATTTCTTTTTCTTTTCCCTCTCTCTCTCTCGCACGCCGACAACAGTTCAAGGAGGCGGTCGCGAAGAAGTTCAGCGCTCAGACCGATCAGCTGTGTCTGATTTTCGCTGGCAAGATAATGAAGGATCACGAGACCCTCGGAACTCACAACATCAAGGATGGTTTAGCAGTGCATTTGGTTATTAAAGCACCGCGTACAGACACCACGCAGAATCAGCAAGAATCTAATCAGAATCAGAGACCACAGGGTATTTAATTCAATTTTATTTTATTTTATATTTATATCTGTACGCATGTGTTTATGTGTTTATATATACATATTTATATGTATATATAATGGAGCATTTCTAATTAAATAAAATTTGTCTTATTGTTACAAAACTATTAGTTCTTTTTAATTTTACATATACATGTGAAACAATTTCTTAAAAATATACAATTATTTACTACAAGTTGTAAATTCATAAAGACAGTTATTTGATAATATAAAAAAGTATTAAAGAGATGTATTTTATATAATTATTGAATTTAATTTTAATATATGATAAAAATTAATTTATCATAATTATTTAATTATTATTATTGTTTTTTGTACTAACATATAGTTGTATATTAAAAACAGAAAAGTACAGAGAAAGTACAGTGTAAAAATATTTAGAATAATATCACAGACTTAAATTAACAAACATTTGTCAATTACAGCTAATATCAGTGCCAGTCCATTTGGATTGGGTAGTCTAGGTGGATTGGTAGGATTAGAATCGCTTGGATTGGGAACAGCCAATATGATAGATTTACAGCAAAGAATGCAACAAGAATTACTGTCAAATCCGGAAACCATGCGTCAAGTGCTAGACAATCCGTTTGTACAGAGTCTAATGAACAATCCAGAGAATTTACGTAATTTGGTGGTTGCAAACCCCCAAATGCAAGAACTAATGCAACGTAATCCAGAAATCAGTCATATGATGAACAATCCTGAACTTTTACGGTAAATAACAATATGCATATTGTGAAATTGTCATTAAAATTCAATTAAGGGATAATTTGAATACAAAGGCTGAGAAAAAGACTCTATTCTTGTTTTACTTTGTTATTTGACTTTTAAATTTTGTGTGTGTGTGTGTGTGTGTATTTATTATTCTCTTTTTGGTCAAACTATCACTAAAGTTTCTATATTTTATATCAGTTTTTCAAATTGAAAAAATCTTTATTATATCTATATTTATCTTATATAAATCGAATTTTATTGTGATAATCAATCTGATTTATACAATACTGTTCAGTCCTAAATATGAAAAATTGTTTTTCTCAGGCAAACAATAGAGTTGGCGCGTAATCCATCAATGCTTCAAGAATTGATGCGTTCGCACGATCGAGCACTGTCTAATCTAGAGAGCATACCTGGTGGCTACAGTGCACTGCGTCGCATGTACCGCGATATTCAGGAACCGATGCTGGCAGCGGCGACAAGCGGACGTAATCCGTTTGCCGCTCTGGTAGAGAACAGCAATTCCTCTAATCAGGACACCCAAAATCCACAACAGGGTCAGGAAAATCGGGACCCTTTGCCGAATCCGTGGAGTCAGAATCAGAGCGACAGCGGTACGGCGCAGCAGGGTCAGAGCAGAGGTTTGTTAGACTCTCCGGGTATGCAAAGCCTTACGGCACAGATGATGGAAAACCCGCAACTTATGCGAAACATGCTGAACGCCCCGTACACAAGATCCATGTTAGAGGCGATGGCTGCCGATCCAGCAATGGCCAGTCGAGTTATCGCGGCGAATCCGTTCCTACGTGGCAATCCGCAGATGCAGGAACAGATGCGCGCTATGATGCCCGCTTTTATTCAACAAATGCAGAATCCACAAATACAGAGCGTTGTCACTAATCCAGATGCTTTAGCAGCTATCATGCAGATTCAGCAGGGTATGGAACAGTTGCGTACCGTAGCTCCGGAACTCGTGGAAAAGTAAGTTTTTTTTGGTTTCTTATTGTATCACTAATTACAAGGCTTGTCGCATGGTCGGTGCTTAATATAAGTGCGCGCATTATTTTAGTATGGGTCTCACAGCACCCGCGGCTGCAACACCGAATACCACAGGCACGAATAGCAATGTGTCGGCTAACCCATCATCGGACACTAATCAGCAGGATGAGTTTTCTCAGTTTATGGCACGTATGGTGAGTATTAAACATGTTTATTCTCAGTTTCAAAATTTTATATATTCCTCACTTTACAATAGACTTATCAAATATTTTATTTTTACGTGTCAGGTTTCTGCAATGGCATTAAATCAAGGTGTAGATGTTGACGGCCAACCTGTACCTCCAGAAGAACGTTACAGAGCACAATTAGAGCAACTTACGGCTATGGGTTTTCTTAATAGAGATGCTAATTTACAAGGTTAGAAAATTTAATCAGCGTCGTACTGTCAGTTTCGATGTCAATTGTAACAATTAATTACTTCATTTTTTTTATTGTGAACAAAAAGTAAAATAACATTTCAACAATATCCTTGCTAATTTTTCAGCGCTCATCGCTACGTTCGGAGACATAAACGCCGCCGTTGAGAGACTACTCTCCAATGGACAAGTATCTATGAGCTAACCACCAATCTGCAATACTGTTATTCCAATATTATCATTAATTTTGTCCTTATTTACCTCTTACGTTAGATGTGAGAGATATTTGAGGTAACTGGCTGTCAAAAATTATGAACTTATATTCTCCTCTCCCCCTTTTCCCTTTCCCGTGTCTCAGTCTTAATGGAATACACGCTACTCGTTCTTTCAATTTGCGATTTTTCTTGTTTTGATTTGATTTAGATTTGTGTTTTAAGCGATAAATAGAAGTCGATGGTGATTACCAGGGATGTGCAAACGGGAAACGTGCAAAGCGCCTCAGAGTTCCCGACTTTGGGAGATTCTCCGATCAGTCATGATAATTATTTCTTGTTAAGTGTATGCGTGTTTCCAATGAAAATTATGATTTACGACAGTTGATCAAAGATAATATTTGACAAATAAAAAAGTGTAATTTTTGGCGGAAGTTTACATTCTTCCGAAATAAATATACACGAGAAAAAAAGCCTTTTTTCAAGATATACGCCTAAAAACTGATCTTGAAATAAAAAAGTTTTTATGTATATATAATTTTCTATTAATTGTCAAACTGATCTTGAAGTAAGAGTTTTTATGTACACGTAATTTCTTCGCTTTTTCTGACATCACGTGACACTATTATCTAAGACGGCTCTGTAGCGAGTAATCAGAAGTCTTAATAAAATACGTACTTTTCAATGTAGACATTGAAAAGAAACAATAGTGTGTTAATAAAGACTGTTCTCCTCTCCCCATTACCTTTGCACGACCCTGATAATTGCCATTGTTATTCGTTTCGTAATCAGTTGTTCACCTTTTTAAACTTTGTTGTTAATTCTCGTCTGTGTATATTCTTCGATGTGCTCTAAACTGTAAGCTCCGTTGATGTCCTTTTATGTAGATTTCTTTACGAAAGTTGTCAAACAGACTTGTGCGAGTAGATTGATAAAAAAAAAAAAAGTAATAATAATAATAAGATCATGTTTATAAAGTTCAAAGCGTTAAAATCCTTACGACGTTTCTTAGAAGCATGAACGGAACCTATGGAGAATATTAGATTGCCGCTATTTAACTCGCTTTCTCTCGGCTTCGTCGATCAATTGAGAGATTTGTATTCGTCGCAGAGCGTTCGGTCGATCATTCTTTTTTGTTTTCGGATGTAATTTGTAGCCTCGTAGCGCGTATACACGTTATTTGTACTTTCCAGATAGAAGAACAAATGGACGTTTAAATCAGCTGGGAATGAATGTAATGCTTTGCGCACGGATTTCTTAATTATTTTATACGTAAAAAAAAAATAAAATAAAGAAAATATGAAGTACATCCCGGAAGACGGAATCCGCGTTGCTCTCGAAAAGCACGATCCGTGATTCTGTAACACACACATGTACACACACGTTTCCATGTAAGGTTTTATATAGGATACCGAGTGTAACAGTGGCTTTCTTTTAACAAAAAAAAAAAAAAAAAAAAAATTTCTCTTACTGGTGTGCACCGTTGGTCTCTCCGTTGGTTTCATTTGATCGTAGCGTAAAAAAAACTACTTATAAGTAAGCGTTACATGTCTTGTAATACAAATCTAGAAATTTGTAGCGTGATAATCGAGACATACTGCGTATAGGTTGTTCATAGACATTGTGCGAGACAAGGATCGGACATAAGTGACACGTAAAAAAGAAAAAAAACTGGACTCAAAGCAGGCAACATCTCTTATGCTGGAAATAGACTATGCGTGTATTCGTGATTCGTGATTCGCGATTCGCGATTCGTAGCGATGCGCTACGTAGTAGTTACGCGAATACACGCAAAAAGTGTGTTTGTATAATCGCGAATCACGAATCACGAATACGCGCATAGTCTAGAGGTAGCATTAATCGTCAGTTAGCTCTAAAGACAAGGATGCAGAGAAACTAAGAGTGTGTGTTGTAAATTTATCTTTATCGGGGGGAGGGGGGAAGAAAAAAACAAAGAAGAAGCAGTTACACATATGATTTTAATATTTTTGATTGATGTACGATTATATACGAGATAAATATTCATGCGCATTATATTGTATCTTTTATGTGTATTCAGTATACTTCACTGGACGAGACATTCAGCTGTAAAAGCGATTATATATTACATTAAATAAAGTTGGTTGATTCATACTCTGCTGACAGGTACAACCGCCGAATGTTCCGACAAATGATCAATCAGTTGACAGACATTTTTAATTTAATACGTTTATCAAAATTCATGTACGATGATCCATTCGAATTCATGATTCTTTCATTCTGTTTCATCCGATCTCTTGTGTTTTACGCGCGGAGCCGAGCCTCTCCGGTACGTTTCTTTCGATCAACCCCCGCCTCTTCGAGTCTGGCGCTTGGGACCGCTGACGACGAACAGAGAGTCAATCCGCGTCGGTCGCTCGGCCGGTTCAGTCTGTGCGTAATCGTGCAGCGTGACGGGACGTGCCTGCTCCGCGAGGCTAGTGTGTGCGTGCAGCTGCCGAGCGAGTGTGTCCGTTGACGTTTCGTCGTGAGAAACCCGTTGGTGGCGAGTGTGTATGCGCGCGCGCGCGGGTTATGCGGGCAGCCCCGTTGGCTGGCTGGCTGGCTAGTTAGTTCGGCTGGTTGGTTGATCGCTTCAGCAGGCATCCCTCACGTGCGTGCGTGCGTGCGTACGTACGTGCGCGCGCGCATTCCCGGTGCACGAGTTCTGCTGCATGTGTGTGTGTGTGTGTGTGCGTCGTACGTGTGTGGGTTTGAAAATTTGAAAAGCGACATCGTCGGCGCGACGTTTGCGGCCGCGCGCGCGTGCAGGTGTTGCGAGGAGGAAAGAAAAAAGAGAGAAGAGAAAGAAGAGTGCCACCGATCTCCAAGTTTTTTAAGCTGAATAGTTTGTCTCTTTTTTTCCGAACAAGAGAAAAAGAATTCCCACGTGAGACGGAAGGAACGTGATTTTCGCCGTTGATTGTCGTGGTCCTCTTCCTTGTCGTCGTCGTCGTCGTCGTCGTCGTCCTCCTCGTCGTCGTCGTCGTCGTCCTCCTCGTCGTCGTCGTCGTCGGCGGTGGTACAGCACAGCGGAATGTGGCACGAGGTGAGTTAGCTGCCCGCCCGGTTTTGCTTACCCGACCAGGGACGGACTTCGAGACCAGGCCCTTTCGCTGACTCTTCTCTTTCTCTCTGCTCCCCTGTCCGTTGGAAATCACCGTCTCTTTCTCGTTTTCGATTCCTTTCGCCAAATCGCCGCGGATAGTCGCGCGCGGCTTCGGATAGGCGCGCGGGAATCTCTTTCTCTCTTATTACCTGAGAGTAACGTACTCTTAGTGCGGGCTCTGTCCGATGCACAGAATTCTAGTAACATACCGGCCTTGGATTTTGTACGAAGAATTTCATTTTCGCGCGGCAAAACAGAAAAGATTATGTACCAGTGTCTGCAGCGAAAGATATCGTAACCACCTTCTGTATCGCGCGCTAAAATTCTCTCGTTTACGTACCATCGAAGAACGATACGAAATAGCGTTTCTTCGAGTGTATTTGCTCCATTCAAATCGGTGGAATTGTTCAAAACAATGATACATGCACACTTGCTCGGCGGTAGTAGTAATTCAAAGTAGCATTTGGAGTCTAATTACATTTGTGATATTTTATCTATTATTCTAAATTTTAGTTTTTGGTTCAATTCTATTTTTATTACGTTCACTCAATGATTTACATATTACCGCTAAATAATTTTTTTCTATGCTTATTTTTGTGCTTAAAAGAGGATATTCTCGAAGCGCTTAATAAATAACGCTTCTCTCCTCCTCTCTCTCTCTCTCTGTCGTGTGCGGAGTGTTTCGAGCTCCGTTCGTCTCTTACCGAACCGGTATAATTTCGGTTGAGACCAGATTTCTGTGCTGCATATGCACGGGAATATATACGAGCTCTATTCACAAGTGCGCGGGCTTTAGCTACGCGCTTTATTGATACGGCTTGATCGTATTTATTAATAAAATATAAGTTACATTACACAAATCATGCGAAGATGATAAAAATGTTCCGTTAACTCTCGTGAACGCGCGACACGCGGCGTGTGTCAGCCGCGCGGTGAATAGTAAAACTTGGGCCCTTTTTTTACCGTCGTCGATTGATTTTTGCGTCAGAAATGTTTGACTCTCGAGAAAATAAGATTAGCAGATTCTTTATTTTCGGAGAAAACGAATTTAGCGACGCAAAGAAGATCGTCAATACTCGCGATTTTGCACGTAGTATTTTTGCGAGTCTTATTTCGCGCTGGAGTTTGAGCTGCTTTGAATTTTTAGCTCGTGTTGATGTGATATATTTAACGTCTTGAATATAATCTAAACCCGAAAGTCAGCTGAAAATTTAACTCTCGATCAGATTCGATCGTGAGAGAGCTGTGACATCGTGAACCAGAGAGCGATGACGAACCCAGATAGTGTTCTTGATCGTATAAATAAATTACAAAAAAGAAAAAAAACAACGCGCAACATAACGAGGTCACGGACGAGATTAGTTCGCGCCTTACGTCACTGCCATAAGAGTTCGGCGCCGTTTCGTATTCACACCAAAACACATCACGACCTATTTTTTTTATCGTCGAGCGAGCGTACGACGCCGTGTGCTCCCACACGTCTTCGTTTGTTATCGCCGTTAGATAACCCATAGCAATCTGTTCTGTCCTGAGAAAACAAACTCGTATCTTGTTGCGCGTGCCGCGAAATATCCACGAAATTAATCGCCAAATGAGAGAAAGAAAGAGAGAGAGAGAGAGAGAGTACGATTTCATCCCGACATTCCGCGAATTCCACACGTCGATGGATTCTTATTAAACACGTATCGACATCTTCCAAATCGGATGCGGCCACGAAAGTGACTTGGCACTGTCAAGTTGCAGATTGAGCCCTGATGACGAAGGTACAACCACAAAAGTTGCGTCTCTCCCGTGGACGGCAAAGAAGGCGCTCCTTAGTTCTGGCTCAAGGTCGGATTATTAAGAGGCCTGAAACACGCCCGAACAAGAAAGAGAGAAAGAGAAAAGGAGAGACAAGTTTACGACTGTCTTTTGTTTTTTCGAAAAAAAAGAGACAACACTATCTGTACGTGAGGGAATGTCAAAGTCGACAAATAGTCGGAAAAACGATGAAAAGCGAGCTTCGTGCGAGAATGCGAATTCAAGCTCGTCTTCATCTTCGCCGACAATGGTAGGCGCACGTTTAATCGCGATAATAGCCGGAACACAGTCTGCAGTTTCGCAGCAGGTGCATTCTGCGCAATAAGAATGCATGTTTGTGAAAAAATTCGAAGCTTCTCATTCTCTACCCTTTGATGTAAATATTCATTTTTTTGGGGGAGACAAATGGAATATAAGTTGCTATGATAGAGTGTCTGAGATAATAAAATAGAAAAATTCAGAAAAATGTTCAACATATGAGAAAAAAGCTACTATATATGTTTTTTTTAAGCCTCAATTATATTCGCGCAATATTCACGAGTTGAGTTTCTCGCGCGCATCGCGTCTTGATGCACTCGCAAGAAACTGCTCTGGGGAAGGGATGTAACACGATATTTCACCCTAAGCTTGTCAGTCACTTTCGTGACGATATCCTGCGACAAGGAGATACACTCGTATCTTGTTCTATCGCGATCCGATTTACGGGCACTCAGCCTTTATTTTTATTTATTTTTTTTTAGTTCCTCAGCTCGGAAATACGAGATGCGCGCGTTTCGGCTTTAATACCTGTTGCCCCTTCTCCTCCTCGGAGAGGAGAACATCACACCACCCTCGAGATTTTGCCCCGTAAAGTGGCAGCGTGTGGCATCGTATTCAAGCGTTGACCGCAAAGACTCGTTTCCTCGTCTTCGTTGATATATCGGCGCGGGGCACCGCTGCGCGCGCGATAATTCTATATATCTTCTTTCTTCTTCCGATAAATCACGTATTAACACACTTTGCATGCACGCAAAGGAGCCGCGTGTAATGCAGGTAATTACCACCGACGTTTTGCGTTCGAGGACGTTTTTGCGGCAAACATTCTGAGACTCGAAAATAAAACGTGGTTGAATATAATGGGCGATGTATTGCTCTTTGACGCGTACAAATTATTAATGACAAATTTCTCTATTAAAAATATTTGTACTGTTATATTTTTATTGTTATTTATATAAAACTAGTTTTCTGTAATTATATATAATAATTTTTCTTAATGAGTTTCTAAGATTTAGATAAGACTTTCATGCTTTTTAAAATTGTATTTCATTAATTACTATTATTTGATATCCTGTTAATTTTTGTAACAAATCGCTGAGATATTTGTACGTCACACTTTAAACTGTGGTGCGAGGCCAAAAGCGCGACTTTAAGCCATGGAATTATTCTTCTCAGCGTGTGCGGTCGTACGGTATGTCGTTTTGCAATTTTCTCTCCTTTCCCACAATTCTTCCTTGCGCGTTCTCTCTTACCTTTGCCCGATCCCGACCGGCGCTCTCCTCCCGACCGACTATACTTTCTCATCTCCCGAACCGACCGCATTGTTCGCGGTCGAATCTGCAATCTTCTCTACAAGGTAGGACAGACACACAACCGGTGCGTCGGTTTTGTGACACTGATTAAATTATCTGTTCTTACTTACAATCACAGAAATTCAGTTAGAATGCAACAGAGAATTACTTGAAAGATATGAGAATTATGAGAAAAAGCACTAATAAAAAATATAAAACGTGAGAGAGAATGTAATAAAAAAATGTGATAGAACAAAATCTACAAAAAAAGAAGAAAAAAATATTGTTTTCTCTGCTTATTTTATACTCGCGGAAAGAAAATTTGCTCGCCAATACAATGTCCGTCAGTCTTCTGTGAGGTAGTCGAATAAACAAAGAAAATAAAAAATGAAAAAAAAAAAGATGTATAGGCGTAATGTGTACGAATTCTGGCTGAACAAAGTAACTCTCTCTGATATCCTCCAGATGTATTGTCGGTTTCTAGCTACTTTGTGCAGCCAAATTCCCCAACGAGTTTCCGTCACATTCCGGAGAAATCATTCACGATCCCGCCGTGTAGTCTGTTAGACATCAGGCTTGCCTGCCTCTTCACCTGTTTGCTCGAGAGAGCGGCATCGCAGGTAGTAGCGATCTGCTGCTACACGCGGCCTGCTTCTC